GGGTTTTGATGCTATGTTAAATTCCCCAGTAAAGGTTAGGCAATTTTGTTTGGAGGAGGGGGATAACATTTAAATCCATTTGAATTCCCTGGTGTCTTTTTATCGTATCTCTTGATCCTGATGGTATAAACTCAAAATAGTATTTTCCTATATTTCTTGTAAATGATAAAACAATTTCATTTGGACCAACAAATCTGATATCGCGTTTTCTGGAAAATAAAGTCGGTAAACAAATTAAAATAACAACATCAAAGGGTGATGCAAAAATTGAAAAATTATTAAATAAGAAGCTGATTTCTTTGATTAAAGATCAAAATTTAAGAAAAACAAAATTGCAAGACAATCTTTGTATTTTTGAAAGCAAAATCAAATGGCTGTAAGGATCGAACAGCTTTGGTGGTTCCAATAAAAGACAGTATTTTGATTGAAACGGTTGTTCTTTCAACTGCTTATTAATTATCGATGTGGACTATTATCTGTTTCGTTCTGTTTTGTTTCTGTTTGTGTTAGAACACTTGTCATTGGATATTCTTAGTTTCTTTAATTATCTGGTGATCAACACATCTCTCATATAAAGGAAAACTATTTCAAACCCTGAGGAATTTCTTAAATAGCTTTAATGCCAAAATATTTAAAAAAACAAAGCTTACCAGTGTTGAATTAAAGTGGTCTTTGTTGCTTGAAAAGGTATTTTCATTTTTTTAATAGAAAATTGATGATTTGATGACCGAGACTTTTCTTTTTGACTAATGATGGAATAAAATTAGAACTGAAAAACAGATTTGATTCTTTTATTAAATCCATTTGGGGAGAGAAAATATATTTTGAATATCTTCAAAGAATTGGCTTGGTGATTCTGCTTTTTTTTTCATTTTCCGGAAACTTTAAAAGAAAACAATAGAAATAGCAATAACAATGGTGAGGATTTTGAAAGTATTGAGAGTTTTGGCAATATCAGTAATATTATGAACAATCTATTTACCAAATTGATAAAAGATAGTTTAATAATGGAAATTATATTATTGACTAAAATTAAAGATATGAAGCTGACATCTTTTATAATTTCAATTCCAATTCTCAAGAATTTAGAAGTTTTAATTAATTATGATAATAATATTTCAAAAACTGAATTTTTGAATTTTAGGAATTTAAAAATGATTGCTTTGATTAAAAGTTAAATGGTGAAATTGGAATATCTAGATAGTTTATCTAATTTGAGAAAACTGGTGTTATTTGTTGTTTCAACCCATAGAAATCAGAACTTTTAACAATTACTTAATCAGAGAGTATTAAATATACCTTCTGACAAATTGGTTATAGCGGAAGACTTTAACTATTTAATTAACTTAAGAAAATTCAATTCAAAATAAAATTCAATTCAAAATAAAATCCGCTCGTAGAAATAAGCAGATTAAGATTTCTAATTAGTTTTAAAAAGCTAGATGCTAGTTGCTGCAATATTCAACCCATTGATAGATTATTGTCTACTTTAGGTTGGCTTAAACGTTTGATATTTGGTTCAAACAATCTGGAAATGATTGAAGGTGTCATCAATCCATTAAATGTTCAGTTAAGTATTTTTGGATATTTTAACTCTGCTTTCATATCTCATTCAAAATAAAAATATCGAGAAACTAAGAAAACGAGTGACTGTATTAGAATTCCAGAAGAGAAAGCAAGAAGTAGAGCACAGTGTAAAAAGAGATAGACCAATTAAACAAAAGTAAGAAACAACGAATTTCTCAGGGGTTGCTTGCAGATTTTACCTATTTCAGAGTAATTGCTTGCCGTCTCATGAATAATGTTTTTAGTGATAACAAAGGTATGGAGGATTATACTATCTTTTTAGAAAAAGTTGTTTAAAACCGCTAAGCAAAGATAATGATGGCAACTGAATTTTCTATTTATCAAAGTTAGAGAGGTAAGTATTAAAAGCCAAATTGCATTCCTCATATGTAAATTCAATGTGTATTTATATGAATCAAATAGGATGGAAATTATCATTTTTTCTACTCTTCACTAAAAACCCGTTCAGTATTAATGACCAAAGTCAATTTATCTTTTTTTAGTATGTTTCAAATTGGTTGAGGCAAATACAAAAAGAAGAAATCACCCCTCTAATTGTATAATTGATTAAGGGAGTGATTGAAACAAAGATAAAAAACATATCTTAGAATTGTTTTATCTTCCACGTTTTTTGAATATATTTTGTTTTGAAAGTTCTACGATAAACCTGATACAAGATGTTTCTGATAATATTATCGTGGGAGTGAGTGGAAAACTTGGCTGAACTGGTTGGTGGATTTTGTTTGCTACTTCAGCTACATTCTGCAATAAGTTTTTTTGTGTGATAAACAAAATTTTATGAAGTTCAGCAGCACCAAAAGCGAAGCCCAATGATATATAGATGCGGTTATTGAATCCAAAGGCAACGGACCTCGGTTCAGCACTCAAATGCACTCCGCGGAATTTGATTACATCAAAATGCTAAGCCGAAATGCACAAAAGAGCGTTACAGTGCTGCTTTATACTTGGGGCATGTACTTATCGCCACTTGGGGAAAGTATCTCCCTACCAAGAATCTCCTCAACGTCTATTGTTTGAGCTTGCGAAGCACATGCTGATCATGCGAGCTAAATCCAAAGACGTTTGTGTTTCTCGAAGTTAATATCTCTTAATATTAACCTTATCTTTCAGTGCTGACAAAGTGACATATCTTAATAGGGTATGACCCGAAAGACGTAAGGGTCGCCGAACCGAGCTATTAAGATCTACTGTCGATGTTGTGAACGTGTAATAGAGGAATCTGAGAATTTCCTCAGAAAAGTATCTATGTGTTGGTTGTTATCAGACAAACTTATGCCTAAGTTGTGAGATGATCAACTGGGTATACGTAATTTAATATTCAATCATAATCATTTGGCTTTGATCCATTTGGTGGTTTTTTACTTTAATGTTATCAAATTCACTAAAATATACAATAGATGTCACCAAAAAACCGATTTTGTTTTGAGGCAATATCAATATAAACCAACCCGAATTAACACCGTTAATGATTGACCGGTCCTCAAATCTTTTATCCGTTTTAATTGAATTGCGTCTTATAAATCACAAAACTTAAAATTGCACTCTAAATCCCTAGTAGTAAATAAATTAAACCTTTTATGCTTTCTAGTGGAAGTTACCAACGGCTCAGCTTCAAAGTTATTCATACGAATTTCACTAGTACAGACTTATAATCCTATATAAAAGCATATATAAAGACTTTTCTAGAAAAATTTTCTTTGCTATTCCTTCTCGAACTCAATTACAATTCATAATTGGCAATTCAAAATCTATTGCAATCAAATTGCACCAATAATCTATTTACAACAATGACAGATGTTGCTAAATCATATAATCTTTATAAGGTTGAATTCTTGAGTTAAGACACTCAAGATCATATTGCATTTCTTTTAGAAGTTGCTCCAAACAAATACAACACCTTTGATGTTATTGATTCTCCTGCTGCTGGTTTTCAATTCCATTTTGCTGAAAACTTTCATTGTGAACATGATTTCACGTATATTGAAGGTTCAAAAAGATTAATTGGAAATTTTGATTATAGTGTTGAGGAGTTTACGAAAATTTTAAAAACAGTATCTCCTCCTCCAAAACAACGATTGCAAGACATTAAAAGAGGAAAGATTCTTAATTGTAGAAGTTGGTTTGCTCACGCTAAAAGGGAAATTGAAAATCATAATAAATAGTTCTGATAACTCTGAAATGTGGTAATTATAATATGCACTTGATTTCTAGTCTTGGAATAAAAATGTAGTGATTAATTCTTTTAGTGTTGTAAATTATAACATACACTCGAACAAGGCAATTGCTTTCTGTTTCACTGATTTTGATAGTCTTTCAATCAGAATCTAGAAATTTGACTCGATGAAAGATGACCAATTTGTAAACTATTAATCTCCTATATTTTATATGCTGAATGTATAGCAATCAACTTCTTTATTTTGAACATAACATAAATTGTATTTTTCTGTAATTCCTCCTTCAAAATTTAAAACTTTGATTTCATCTTTATTGTTAATCAATATGTTACTTGGTTTAAATCACCATGATAATAATTATTTTCATGTAAATCATTAACGGCATGTTTAGTTTGTTTCAGTATTTTAAACGTTTCTCTTCAAAATATTTCAACCCACTTCCAATAAGTCTTTTATTTTCATATAAAATTAAGTTCTTAAATTCAATTATATTTTCAAGCCTTACTCTAGATAAAATGTTTATTTTTCTTTCAAATTCTTAAACTACTCTTTTCTTTTTAATAATTTACAAACGATATAATTTTCTGAAACCTTCCACAATTATACTCCATAGTTTTATCACAATATTCAAAATAATCCTTACCAAATTGAGCAGTAAATATATTGCGCCTACTATTTTATGGTCTTGTGCAAAAATCCCATAGTGAATTGCTAGTTAATATTCTCATCATGAAATATGAAATATTGCTCACTATGGGAAGTTCACGTAATATAAAATTGCTCATTCATGGTACTTACTCTAACTTCCTTCCAAGAGATAAATATATAGATATATATAAAAGCCATAATAAAATAATAAGATAATACAAATAATTCCAAAGGTTTATTTTCTGACTTTTAGTGAATAAAAATATCATTTACTAATAATTTGGGAATAAACTCTGGTGAAAACAATTTGAATTAACCCAACCGTTGAAAGTTGGAAGGGATATCTCATTAAAAAATATATAGAGGAAGTAAAAGGAGAAAAAAGGTTATAAGTGCTCAACATCAAGCAACCACTTGCTGAAGCAAAAGGAAGGCTATGAAGAGCAGCCACATTTCTTTCCAGAAACACCTACATCTTTACCTGCGTTCAACAAAGTGATCCATTTAATTGCTCACTATGCTCAAAATTTTCCTAAAGTCATTTCAAAAAGAATTGGAAAAATTGAAGTTCTTATCTTTATAAATTAAAGTTCAAGAGTCTCCATTGAACTCAATTAGAGCTGCTTCAGCAATTTTCAATTGATTTTTCAACATCAGGTTATTTGGAAAAAAAGCCAAACCTCGTTCAAGATCAGCCTTACATTCATCAAGTAGACCCATTTTCAAAAAGCAAAGGGACCTCCGGGAAAAGTTTTCAAAAGTGTTTACCTGCAAATTTAACAACAAATCCGCATCTTGTTGTGCCCTAGGCCAATCATTTAGCAATATATATGAGTCGCATCTCCCATTAAGCAAATTTGTCACCTCATTAATGGTTACCTTAAAGGTTTCCCACTTGTTTCGCTTTACCGCTAGATTGAGACCCAAAGAAAACATTTTCACTGCGTCTTGAAATTTTTTCTCTTTTATAGCCTTTAGTCCGTTTGCGTGAAATTTCTTGACCATGATGGAAAGTTGAGGTGAGGGCATTGGAGATTCTGGCACATCTTGGTTCAGACTAATCAAGTTTTGAGTGAGCTCGTTGAGTTGTTTGATATCTGTTTCGAGAAGAGTCAAGTGAGCATCATCCCAAATAACATTCTCTAGATCTCTGTGGCCCGGCTTGTCTAGCTCCACCTTCTTTGTAACCGAGTTGTAAGCAATTGGTAACTCGAAATCCATTTCCTGGAGTCTGACGTTGTTCACTGGTCGTGTCTTTGTGGTGAGTGCTGTGAAAAAAATGCTTTGAACATCGGAAGCTCTCTTTTGGCTTTGCTGGCTTTTCCGCGTACTTCCCGTTTGGGATGCCGATATAAGGTCTCGGTTGCGGAAGGTTTTAATCACTAATCATTATTGCTAGCCTTCTTCCGCCACCATAACCTTTTGGCATCCTCTGCTATTTCATCATCTTACTGGTTTCAAATGGAGGCGTTGACCTCTAATCAAGTTCATGTGTTTGAACTGTTTAAAGAAATCACACAGTTTCACACCCAGGACGATTCTCAGTTTCATTTAGATTCTATCCTCAACTTATTGGCTTCCACAAATTGGGATTTGCAGCTATCCATTCAAAAATTTTACGATAACGATTTTAAAAACTTGCAAAATACCAGTCAAATCAATGATGTAGATATCCACAGCGATATTCATAGGACTACCACTCACTCCAATAGCAATCTCGGGACTTTAGACTTTATAAACACTAATTTTAATCCTCATTCGACTTCTTCTTCATCGGCTGTTGGCTCAGACAACAATAATCTTCACTCAAGAACTAATAGAAATCACAGTATTCCAATTGATAATAATCATAATAATACCAACAATAATAATAATCTTGGTTATCCTTTTTACCATCCGTTTATTGGATTAGATTCTCTTCCCAGTTTTCCCAAAGCCAACCTTATCAAAAATAATTGGAAATTAAATCTAGGTCTAAAAAATTTAAATCACACTCTTTTAATAAATAGTACTAATACTAATACTAGCACTGAAAAAGCGGATAAAAATAAGAATGACAATAACCAGATAAATGAGCTAAATTCAAATAGTAGTCAGAAAAATCACTCTCCACACAATCGAGGTTTAAATCTACTTTTAACTATTATACTTTTTATTCCAAGAACATTGATGTTTTTAATTTTCAACAAAGTAATATTATACTTTTTTCCAAATATTCAAATTGATTTTAATTTTGATTTTTTCAATACTATATCCAATTTCATTCGAAATATTTTTACTTTCAATGTCAATCTTAATTATAGTTTACCCAATAAAGATATAAATTACAAATATCATAAAATCTTAAACTCCTATTATTATCAATCCTTAAACTTAGAAACCAATTCAAAATTATTTAAATTTCCCAAATCTCCTCTATATTTAAACTATATTGATAATTCTATATTGAAAGATAATTCCATTAAATACATTGAAAACCGGTTCGATTCTGATGTTTGTGGTGATAGTGATCATTTTACCGAATCTGCACATGGAATTACCTTTCAAGATTTTCCTCCAGTCGATCTGACTCAATACACAGATTTTAAATCTCATTTACAATCTTTGTTGAATCACTCTAACATCAGCAGAACTGATAAAGAAAATTACAACACTTTAATTAGCAATTTACCTGTTTTTAATGGTGAATTTAATGAAGCTTATCAATACTCAAAATCCAACTTAAAATTTTTGTTACTAATATTATACAATAATAAATTTTATTCAAATTTATTTTTGCAAAATATTTTTTTCAAAAACTCAAATAACCTATTCAGTTTGATCCAAAATCATGGTGATAATTTTATTGTTTGGGGTGGAAATACAAACTATTTGGAATCATTTTTGATTGGTAACACATATAAAGCAAAATTTTTACCCTTTGTTGCCTTAATCGGTAATGTGTCAACATTTAATAATACATTTCCAACAATGTCTATCATTTATAAAGAAAATTTTAATTTTTTAAGTCAATTTTCAAAGAGTAACATTTATTACAACCTTGATTTGAAACAAAATTTCAACTTTCTTTCAAATCTCAATCTTAATACTGATCACGAAAATGAAATAATAACTTTATTTCATAAGAAGGAAAAATCATTAATTAAGAATTTGAAACTATTAATTACAAATTATGAGCCACAATTAATCAGTCAACAGTTTGATTTACAAGAAAAATTTTTAGAAAGAAAAATTAAACAAGAACAAGATATGGAATATAAGAAATCTTTGGAAGTGGACAAAGAAAAAAAATTATTTAAACTAAATAAAAATAAAAAGGTTGTAACTTTTTTGAATTCTATAAATTTAAAAATCCTTTACTTTAAATTTCAGTTGCTTTCAAATAAATATGTTTTGCTTTCAAATAAAGCTTCTTCAACAAATAATAAGGGCTTGAAAGAAAAAAAGGTTTTGATTAAATTTCAGTTAAATAATGGTAAAAGCATTATTAATAGTTTTTGGAAGAAAGACAAAATTGAAAAAATATTTCAGTTCATTGAATCCAAAATCATTTTACGTGAAATATTGAGTCACAACGACTACGACGAGACCGACGAAAACATTAAGCTAATCATTGAAAACATTGAAGAAAACATTAAAACATTATTTATTCAAAGAGACATTGAAATATTGTCTAAATATTATCAAAATCTAAACGATAATAATGGCAATGAGGAAAATTATCAAAAGGTTGTTCAGCAATTAACAAATGAGAATTTGAAAAAAATGGTTTCAAATTATAGTCATGATTATTATATTGAACTAAAATCATTTCCAAAATTTGAATTAAAATTTGAGAAGGACATTAATGGAGAGAAGGCAATTGGAGATTTTGAAGAGCTTCAAAGAAATTGTAATTTACTAGTTGAATACAAAAATGAATTTGATGACGAAATAGATATTGTTTTGGATAACTTTTTTAATGGAAGTGATGAAAAAGCAAAAGACGCCGAAAATAAAAACGAGAAACTAATCAACAATAAAGAAGTTTTATATGAAGATGTCGATGATTTAACATTCAATAAAATCGATCAATTGCTTGAAGACATAGAAAACGGTAACTGAATATAAAGCAAAAATAAAAGCAAAAATATCTCCCCTCCCGATAACAACTTGAAGCTGAAAAATAATTTTATAGGGTGCAAAGCTACTAATTAGATAATTCCATATCGTAACAGAAGGTAGAAGTTAATTCAGTTTGTCTAGTAAAGTAATATATAGGTTTGAAACGATCCATTTAAAAATAATTGAGTTTTAATACGAGTATAGGAATTGATAAACAATAGGCTATAATTACTTACGGTCGATAAAATAAAAGCATTTTTTTATTAGGTAGCTAATTTATAAATAAAAAATAAAAATATCAGTATATAGATATATTTATAAAAGAAAAGCTGAACCGATAGCAAGGGCAACACCAAAAACACCATTATAGTTTACGTTGATCAATTCATTGGCTCCATTACTTGAAGTGGTATCGTTTGACTTGTTCTTCAAAATGTTAATAGCATGACCTTGAGAACGGAGTAGTTGATCATCAACAGCAGTATCATCAAGAGATAAGTCAGATGTATCTGTGTTTTTAACTTGAGCTTGATCGTTGTCTAAAACTGCTTGATTGTCAACAGCATAATTCAATAAATTGGAAGCAAGATAGGCTTGAATAAATTGTTGAATTTGCATTTTGGTAATTTTGATTTGAGAGCTAGGAGGTTAATCAAAGAAGAAAAATAAGTTGCAAGGAGCAGATATTATATAGGTAGCAGTAGAATCAATCAATTGAAGACAAATTAAAAGTAATAAGGGAAAAAGAGCAAACAGAACAAGCTGAGGAAAAGCAGCAGATTCTCCTTTTCAATACTGAGTCTGTCAATTTTCCACTTGCTCTCGAAAAGCACAAAATGACTGCCTGGGCCATTTTCCCAAAGCGGGAATGCAGACTTGCCTGATTGGGCGCGATGGAGCGCGCTTCCACATTGGGAAAAATATCACAATCCCTGCTTTACGGGGTACGATGACAAAGTAGTCATGTGGTCCGTTTGCGGCGGCTTTTCTGAAAGAGGAAGGCGCTGCTTGTGGGAGCGAAAATGGAGGAAAGAAGCAGAGGCAGCTTTTGCAGCACAAGCAGCAACTTCCTCACAGACCACCACCGAATGGCCACTCCCACAACTAAGATAGATATCACCAAGCTTCCTTCTGAACAGATAATCCAATTGAAGAATCAGGTTCAGGAGGAGTTGAATCATTTCACTTCTTCTTTGCAGGCACTTACCACTGCTCAGACCAAGTTCAAAGATTGCATTGATAATATTAATGAGATAGCTTCTTCTTCTTCATCTTCTGAAAAGAAGGAGATTATGGTTCCCTTGACCGGTTCATTGTATGTTCCAGGCTTTATTAAAAGCGAGAACAAATTTTTATGCGACATTGGGACTGGATATTTTGTTGAAAAGGATTCTAAAAATGCTAAAATATTGTTTCAAAGTAAGATCGACAAGTTGACCAAAGATAATGAAAAATTAACTGAGATACTTCAGTCAAAAGCTGATACTTTGAATTCCATCAACAACGTTTTGAGGTCAAAATTCAAAGAACAAGACGCTGCATATCAAGCAAAAGCAAATAAATAGTCATTTGATTCAATATATTTAATTATATATTTAATCAACACCAATTAAATACAAAACTAAAAAATTGAATTTTTACTAAAAACTTAATTAAGAATATATAGAACTATATGAATATGTAGCTAGTCATCATTAAATGTCATAAACCGAGTAATTTCAATTAATTACAAACTTCCAAAATAAAGCAGTTGATGAAATAATTAAAACCAAAACCAAAACAAGAAAGCCAAAAAAAAAAAAATTGAAAAAAAAAAGGAAAAAAATTGAAAACATTAAAATCTAAATACAATTTATGATGCAAGTCACAAAGTAAAAAAATATATCTTGAAACAAGAAATGAAGTGATTAACCAACTAAACCTTCTTGTAAAACAACCAATTCTTTACAAAACCCAATAGTATGGAATAAATCATTTTTGTTGTAATCAAATTTGTTTCCAAATTGCTCAGGTTCTTGAGTGTCCAAGTCAATTTCTTGAAGATCATTGCAAATATCTTCTTGCTTTTTACTTTTGAAAAATCTAAAAGCATTTGATCCCCTTCTTTTGCGTTGTGTTTTGTCTTTACTTTTATTTTTATTTTTATTTTTATCTTTATCTTTATTACCATTTGTATTATTATTGTTTTTATCATTTTCATTGAATATTTTAAATTCTTTATTTAACTCAAAATTATAATCATTGAGAAATTTCAATTGGCCCTTTCTAAAGGACTTGATGAATTTACAAACATCTGAGTTAAGAACAAATAGAATATTGAAATTATCTTTGATTTCATTTATATTTCTTCTTTTTTCATCCATTTGAGTGTCCTCAATATTTGAAAAAGTGCTTTTGCTATTTGTGTTGTTCATTTTAATTAAGTTGACACCACATTTTGTTAATTCGTTGTTGTTTAATTGATCGAACTGATTTAGTTTATTTAAATCTGAATTTCTTATTTGACTGTTGTTATTATCATTACTATCTAGGTTGTTGTTATTATATTCATTAATGAAATAGGATCTGCATGATATGACAACTTTTTTACCAATCCAACTCTCTCTCTTTTTTAAAGATCTGATGCATTTATAAGAGTAAATTAGATCAATTAGGTCGTTTTTATTTATAAATAATTCGTCGTTGATGTTAACGTTTAGGCAGGTGTTTGTAAAGCATTCTGGTTCAAATAAATTATTTATGATCAAGTTATCGTTATAGTCATCATTACGGTTGACAAGAGTTGGAGAATTTGTGGGTTGGTTTTTCTTTTTAGTGGGTTTGAAGTCGTCATCATTTTCACTATCAAGATCAAGAGGAAAGGCATTATTAGAGTTGAAATTGTAGTTAGTAGGAAAGATATCAAGATCATTCAAAGGGTAAGGTTCACTGAGATTTGTATTTGTTGAATCTATTGAATGGATCAAGCTTAAAGAGGAAAACTCGTCAGATTGTGTCAAGTTTTGGGAATCAGTGGTTGAAAGACTAAGAGACCTATTTAAAGAAGGTTGGTTGCTGGGGGTGGATTCTGGAACTGAGTGGAGTAGATTGTGGTAATTTTGGATTGAGAAGTTTTCCACAAAGTCCATGTCGTAAAGGTAGTTAATTGATAAGAGATGCTTATTTCTTTGAAAGTAGAAGGATTGAAACTTGTTATTGTCGAATTTATTGTTTGAGTTGTTAGAAGAAGTGGAGGAAAAAGCGTTTTTAGCGAGGTAATTTGTATAGAAATTTTGGAAACTTTCATAGTCATCAACGGATGAAGATTGTGTGTTTGATCTGTGATGGGAAGTTATTGGATCTGGATTGGAAGTGGAAGTGGAAGTGGAAGTGGAAGTGGCATTGGTGTTAGCATTGGTGTTCGAATTGCTGTTAGCATTGGTGTTAGCAATGATGTAATGTCTTCTTGGAATGTTATTTTCTTTTATTAGAGATCTTCTGTCTATAGTTTGAGAGAGATCTATGCCCCAGTTGATTGAGTAGTACCAGTTAATTTGTAGTCTGAGGTTGATAAACTTGACTAAAATTTGATGTAGTTCTATTCTCAATCTTAGGACAAAGTTTTTGTCTTTGATATCGTTTGCTTTGCCGATTAGGCAATTTTGAAGAGAATAGGAATGTTTTGGAAAGGGATCTACTAACGAGTAAAACAAATCAATTGAAAGGGGGTCATTATTGTTGTTATCAATGTTGTTATCAATGTTGTTGTTAATGTTATTGTCAATGTTACTGTTACTGTTAATGTTATTGTTGATATGGTAATTTGAGTTTGATAATAAGATTGATAGTAAAGATATTTGATTAGGGTCTAGTTTAAATTCTTGAAGAGATTGTGATAGATTGAAGTTGAATTGGTTATTTTGTTTGCTGAGTACGCTTGAAGAGGAAGAAAAAGAAACAGAAGAAGCAGCGGAAGAAGAAGTGAAAGGATTGAAATTTAGAAAGGAGGATCTTGAAGAGTTTTCATACTGAGACAATTTTTTATTGATTTTTTTGAATTTTTTATTGAGAGTAGGGAGTCTATTCTGATCTAACTTGCTGAAGAGATATAGCAAAAAGTTGATTATGGTCTTATCAGTAAAGGAATAAAAATTTAGCTGGGTGGAATTCAAGTGTAATAAATAAGGTTTCCAGGCATAACTAAATTTTTCAATATCATAAGGTGTATAAAACTCAGTTTTCTTGAAAACAATGGTGTAATTGGAGATGGAAGAGGTGTATTGGGGTAGAAGGTCGTCGTCTGGAATTCCAGTTGAGGCAGACGATGCTGGGGCAGTTGCTGCAAAGTAGGACGGAAGATCAGCATCTGGGGCGGAAGCGTAGGACGTAAGTGCTGTATCTGGGGAAAGCATTTGGAAAACGAAGAGCAGGATATATTAGAATACAGTATAGTACAGTAAGAACACGAAGAAAGAGTAGTGTATGAAGAGCAGAAGAGCAGAAGAACAGAAGAACAGAAGAACAGGCAAGCCAAACAAGATCGAGTAGTGAGGTAAAAGGAGAAAGGGTATTGGAGGAGGGAAACACAGATTATATATCAGTCGTCCTGGTAGAAAGCGAGGAATCATTACTTTGCTCTACTCGACCTATCAGGCTCAGTTAACGCAGTGAACTTAGAGAAGTTAGCACGGTTCAGGCCCTAAACTCAGGAAACTTATTAATCATTAATAATAACCTGAGAAGAAAACGAGATCTGGAACTGGAGCTGGAGCCAGATCAGATCTGCTCGGTGGTCGTATTGCCTGGTGGATTAGGTTGGGTAGAAAACATCAGCTAGGCTGCGATATCAGCGCCGGCGTTGATTAGCCCAGGCTTTTCATCTCCAGCAACAAGTGCTCCAGATCCAATTACCACATCCAAACCCTAATCAGGTCTAATCCAAACCCTAATCCCATCGTTGCACGCGCAACTCTCTTCTGCGCAGGCGAAGCTTATTTAACCTTTTTTAGAGTCCTGTCCTCCCGCTAGCGCAGTTCCGGCCGCCACCGGTCTGTCACCTCATCCGTTTACACTCCGCGCGCAGTCATTTTATCGACTTACCAGGGCAGACCTGTGTCCTGTCCCGTTGTTGCCATCCTCGCTTTACGTAAACTAGCACGTGTATTCCCTGCACTTTCAGCACACTTATTGCCGAGCGGCGTTGTCCACATCTGCCGCACTCAAGCAGATTCCCTGTGCCACTGCGACTGTGCTGCTTCAGGCGTCTGGATAAGGCCCGTGAGGATCCTCCCCAGAGCGGGGTGCGTCGGCCGCGCATGCTCTCTAACGCATGTTTCGCTACCATGACATCACATCCGCAGTGGCTGACGTGCACAATACAACACCACAGAAGAGGTTCAGTAAAGAGCGCTTCCACTGCTCATGCTGCCTTTGGTGGATCTGCTTCCTCTGCTTCCTCTGCTTCCTCTGCTTCCTCTACTTCTGCTTTCACAATGATATTTGACTGGGCCACGCCGGAGAGTGCTGCGACTGATGCTGATCGTTTTGTTACCCAAGTATGTGAATCTGCAAAAGTAAACACATCCAGTAAACTGCATCCAAACATAAACAATAACAAGGGGAGCAGGAGAAAAAGGAGAACATCACTCACAATAGCAAAACAACCAAAGCAAACTTCTTTTTAGTCAATTGATACTAACTTTTTCTTCTCTCATTTCTAAAAGGCTGAAGCATTATTGTTTCACAATTCTTCATCTGTATCGCAATTCTTCAGGCTGTTTATATTAGATCAGTTTGATGCAATTGCTTTCATCAACAAAAATAATTTAAATCTCTCCAACAGCAGCAATAATGTTAATGATCAAGATCAACTGAATAATCAATTACCAACTGAAACACAAAATGATATTAAAAATGAAGATCAGAATGAGGATGATATCAAAATTCTAAATTTAAATAAAATAAAAACAATATCCAGTGATCAATTCGATTTGGTAATAGATTATTACTTAAACGCTGCAAATCTTTATTACTCAATTGAAAGCCATTTATTATCCGCTATTAATTTCGAAAAAATTGCAATTTTGCTATCTAACATCAACCTCATCATTTCTAATAATAATACTAACAACCAAACTTTACATTATTTAGATAATTTAGATTTAAATCTACAAATCCTATCTCATCTTCAAAATGCTTTAAACTCTTATAATTTATCAAACGCCTATCCAGACTCAATAAGAACTCTAAAAAAAATCATCAAAATTTATCAATCTTTCAATCACAACCTTAATCAGAAAAATAATAAAAATCTATTCAATAAAAATACAAATCTAATAGCAGGCTATAATTATCAAATAGCTCAACTCTACCACTTGAATCTAAAATCTTATCAATTAGCAATCTCTTATTACACCATCTCTCTAGACATTTACCTAAATTTATTCAATTCAACTTCAAATTTCAATCAAACTTCTAAAATTATCTCATCTTATGATAATATTTCCTCCTCCTACATCAATTTAAACGACTTTTTAAACTCCGCAATCAACTACAAAAAATTAATCATCTTCTTGACAAACAATTTCAACTCCTTTCAATTGAAAAACACTCACTCCAATCAATTAAACTTATCGGTTTACTTTCTTAAAACCTCTTTATCCTTTCTAGCATCTGATGACTTGGTCGAATCAAAAAAGTTATTAAACCAATTTTGCCACTTTAACCCAGACTTTTTAACCTCAATCGAATTCAAACTAATTAATGATATTTTCATATCAATAAATTTAAATGACTTGAACTACTACTTAAATTCTCTACACTCTTTCAACAATTCTGTCTCAACTAAAAATTATTTAAATGACAAATTGTTTCTAAAAATTCTATTGAAAATCAAATCTCTAATTACCACTGATAATTTATCAGATGATGAAAATATTTTATAATCATTTATTTCATTTCATTTTGTTTCATTCTTATTATTTGCTAAATAAATCGCTACTATACTCTAACTCAATCTCATTTTCTCATTTTCTCATTTTCTCATTTTCTCATTTAAAAATTTTTATTAACCAATTCTTTCACATATTTCCAATTGTTTTTACCAACATAATCTAAGATAACAACTCCATTCCCTTTGCTAAATGATTCAGATAAATTATTCTTGACCAAAATATCATTAATCTTATTAGGCCAAAGATCTTGATTGAAAAAATTTGACGCAGAACAGAAATTTAAAAATAATTTGGGTGGATTCGAATCTGATCTTTGATATTCAGCTGACCTTTTACAATGGTCTTTAATATAATTGATTTTAGTACCAATTGATTTTACTTCCTTGATCTCACAGAAATCTTGAACTCGAACTTTGTCACGGTTATCATCAATTGTATTATACGACCAAAAGCTGGCGTTAATACCAAGATTGTTATCGCCACCAATTTTCTGTTTAAATTCATTGTTGCGAAGTCCAAATCTCCTCAAGAGAATAATCTTTCCTCTGCAATCATTCAATTTTGGAATCGAGTTGTTTAAATACCAATATTTCTTGAATGATCCATTATTTTTGTTAATATAACGGTTATAAATGACTTTGGGAAACTCATCGTTGTCATTGTTCCATTCGCCTTGTCCTTCTTGTTTAAGTGATAAGATAACGGTTTCAGATGGGTTTGAATCAAGAAATTTGTATGTTTGATTCAAAACCTCGTCAAATCGAACATTACCACCCAACTTGACAGGGAATTTTCCATGAATAACCACTAAATCATCATTTTTATTTTGTTTGTTATTTTGGGGAATTTTAATGTTGCCAAAGAGAGAAGTTGGAAGAGCATTTGTTATGGTTGTTGTGATATCCGAACTAAGATTTCTAGATAATCTAACATCTAAAAAACGAACACCATTGTTTAGTTGATCAGAGATATTTTTGTCTTGACACTGAACAGAAGGTAGAGCATTATGGCAAGCAGCAGAGTTATGAGTACCAGGAATCGATAATTTTGATACCAAATTGTCACCATTGACTTCTTTCATCCATTGATTGTACTGCATTTTGAAGAAAAAACAAATAAAAACGGTATAATAGTGTTAACTAAATTGCTCAATAACTAGAGTGGTTAGCGTGAATTTTACACTTAAATATAGAATAAAAAGTACAAGCCACCTGAAGGAATGTTTTCAAGTAAAAATGGAAAATTTGGTAAAAAAGACCAAAAACTAATATGTGGAAAAAAGGTAATGGAATATGGAAAAGCTGAATTTCAAAAGGATGAAACAATTGATTATATATGAAGGCATTTTTGAACAATTATATTAAGAGCAATCGATAATTTCAATAGGTTTCTTTTACAAATTTCATTTGCAATAGTGGAAAGTATGATGTTGAATAAATTTTAAGAAAGGTGTACTGAAATTTGATATACACAGTAAAAGGGTTCCAGAGAGCAGTTGGGGTCTGTGATTGGCCGAGGGTTGCTGCGTGGGCACTTGCAGAAACGGGAGAAACAAGGATTGCCTGGGGGCATTAGTATGGGATGTGTATTCAACAAACGGGAGAAGGAGAAAAAGAAGTATATACATGAAAGAAGAATCAGTATTTCCTGCCCTTAACTCTGATAAAGTCCCATTTTACGTTGGTGATGGAGACTTCATTAGAAGAGTTATCGTCGTAGTCATACCATTCATCGTCAGCTAGGTCTATCTCGTCGAAAGTGGTGCTCGAGTCAAGTCCAGAGCATGTAAAATAGCCATTTGCAGGAATGAACTGGATGATTTCGCAGCCTCTTGAGTTAATGTCCAAAAAGGGGATCTGTTTGTGCCTTTGAGAGTCATCGTTAGTGAGTTTCAAGTTGGTGGGAGTGATGGAGATGTTCTTCGTCCCTCGTGAGCCGCAAAATGAGCACTTGAAAACCAAGGAAGCAGAGCCTCTAGAACCAGAAATGTCGTGAGCCTCGAAGGTGTTGATGGTGATTTCCTTGCCATGGACCTCCTGGCAGGTGGTGCACTTGACCCTGAAGGTAAACTCAAAGGGAGCCTCAGGAGTGTTAAGAGGCATCATGTCTGTGACGTTGTCCAAGTCTGCAGACACAACGAGGGAGTAGCTCATAGTGGTGCTGTTTCTGCTGCCTCTGCTGCCTCTGCTGCGTTTGCCCCCAAACTTATCTCCGTGGTGGTTGTCGCACGTGCGCACGCCGGGCTCGCAATGCAGATTTAGGTTGGAGCTTCACTTATCTTATCTGTGTTTCTCTTCCCTCTTTCTTTTTTACCTTCTCTTTTTGTTTTCCTTCTTCTGTTGCTCACCACTGTACTTCTGAACAAGCTCTTCCTTCTGCTTGTTCTATCTACTGCTCACTCTCTTTGTCCTCACCATGGAGTTCCATAATCCTGCTTGCGATTATCCTTCCTACTCTTACTCATCCATCCATGAGGCTACTCCCCCAACAAAAAATGAGTCCTCTTCCTTTGATTCCCACAGCTTCTCTTCATTCCCTTCTCCTACTTCCATTACCTCTCCTTCTAAATCCTCAAAGAAACATAAAATCATGAAACACATTTTCTCCTTCATTTTCTTTTCCACTTTGATTTATTTCTACTACGCTGTTAGTGGTAACTCCTTGCCCTCTTCCAACCCTATATCCAAAATTTCCTCATCAAAAAAAAATGTTATATTTATGGTCTCTGATGGTATGGGTCCAGCTTCTCTATCACTTACAAGGTCCTTTAGACAATTTAGAGACAATCTAAACTACGACGATATTCTATTGCTAGATAAACATCAAATTGGTGTCTCCAGAACAAGATCAAACAACTCCTTAGTAACAGATTCTGCTGCTGGTGCTGATGTCTTTTCTTGTGGCTTGAAATCTTATAATGGTGCCATTGGTGTTGATCCTTTTAAAAACCCATGTGGCACTGTTTTAGAAGCTGCCAAATTAGATGGTTATAAAACAGGTTTGGTTGTTACCACTAGAATAACTGATGCTACCCCTGCTGCCTTTTCCGCTCATGTTGACTACAGATTTCAAGAAGATCAAATCGCCGAACACCAACTCGGGTATTATCCTCTTGGTAGAGTGGTTGATTTGATTATCGGTGGTGGAAGATGTCACTTTTACCCAAGAAACACTCACACTCCTTTTAATGATGGTTTTGGTGATGCTGGTTGCAGAGCTGATAATAGAAATTTAATTCAAGAAGCCATCAATGATGGTTGGTCGTATGTTGGAGACCGTGCTGGTTTTGATTCCTTACAAGATGGAAACAATGTCACCTTCCCCCTCTTGGCCCTTTTAGCTGATACTGACATTCCTTACGACATTGATAGAAATTCATCAATTCACCCTTCTTTAGCTGAACAAACTCTCACTGCTTTAACCGCTTTGGAAAATGCTACAAAAGACTCAGATAAAGGCTTTTTCATTTTAATTGAAGGTTCAAGAATTGATCATGCTGGCCATGATAATGATCCCGCTGCTCAAGTTAGAGAAGTATTAGCCTATGACGATGCCTTTAAAGTCGCCAAAGATTTCGCTGATAACTCTGACGTTGAAACCATCATCTTAAGTACCTCTGATCATGAAACAGGCGGTTTAGCAACAACAAGACAAGTCTCTCCATCATATCCTGACTATCTCTGGTACCCTGAAGTTCTATTAAACGCTTCTCACTCTGGTGAATACACTTCCGCTCATTTAAGGGAATCCAGCTTAAAACTATCTAACTTGGAAGATTTGAAAAATTTCGTTGTCAATGAAATTCTTCACAAGGACTTGGGTATCAAAAACCCATCTAATGAAGAAATTAACTATCTAATAAAACACGCCACTACCGCAAGATACTTTTTAAATAACATGGTCTCCTTCAGATCTCAAACTGGTTGGTCAACCCATGGTCATTCTGCTGTTGATGTTAACGTTTATGGCTACTCAAATACTGATAGCGGCTTAATCAAAATTTATAATGCTTTAGCTGGTAATCACGAAAATACAGAAATCGGTCAGTTTATGGCTAATTATCTTGAATTAGACTTGAGTTCTGTTACTCAAAAAATTAAAGACACTGTCCATTCCCCAAGAATCAAACAGGACGAACTTTCTTTAGATTCTGATGATACATTGATTGATAATCATGAACATCACCATGTTTATTAATTAAAAAACTATTATATCTTAATAGTAAAATATAGTAATTACTAATGTGATTAGATAAAGAATCATTTTACATTTATTTCTTAGTTTTATTTGGTTTTGTTTATCTTGGTTTTGTTTCTCTTTTTGGATAAAACTTTTGGTTTCTCTTCAATCCTTTTCAACTCTTATATCTTATTTATTAGATCTTTAATTCTATTAACTATGAATATATATATTCACATTTTTATGACTTCTTCCCTTTTTGACATATCTTTAAACTCTTTTTAGCATTGTTATCTCAAATATACAGATTTCCATCCATACAATCTCTTTTCTTCTCTAAACTAAAACGCTTCACAAATTATCACCCTTGAATATCCTTTTTAAAATCCTCATTTATGTGTCACGTGATAAGAAACTCAGACCTTTTTCCCATTTTTTTTAGTGAAATTTTTCATTGTGATTTGTGAAAGAAATCAGTTTTTGTCTTTGCTCAGAGCTGCTCATTGATAGAATTAATATCTCTACAACTTGTTTGGCTTTGATCTGATTGCATTTTATTAGCATCCTATTGAATTTAGTTTTGGGCTTTATATCTATTTGTATCTCCAGCCTCAAAAATGGATCCATCTTCTACCACCATTCCTGACGTGGTGAAAGAATTCATTCAATATTTCTATAAGTGCTACTTGGAAGATAATGTCTATGAATTACATGGCTGTTACGAAAATACTTTCAACAAATTGACTGAAAAATTTTATAAAAATGAAACCTGGCCAGATCCAATTAAGGAGGTCGCTCCTTTAGTTAACAATGATCAAGTTTTTTTGGTTTTATATTCCGAGGTTTATTACAGACACATTTATGCTAAATTGAATCCAACTTTACAACAAAGATGCGACTCCTACAGCAACTATTGTAATTTGTTCAATTTAATTCTCAACAATGATGGCGGTCCTGTTACCTTTGAATTGCCAAATAAATGGCTATGGGAGATCATTGATGAATTCATTTACCAGTTCATTCAATTCACTCTCTATAGAACTAAATTGGCCTATAAGTTTAAAATGAGCGAACAAGATATTAATGAATTAAACTACTTACAGGAACACAATGAAGTTTGGAATGCTTACTCTGTTTTAAATGCTTTATATTCTTTGATTGGCCGTTCAAAAATTAAAGAACAGTTGCAAGCTCAAAAAAAGGGTTTCACCCAACAACAGATCAACGAGATTGCTGGAGAATATGGTAATTTACCATTGTATAAAAATTTGGGTTATTTTTCCATCATAGGTCTATTAAGAATTCACACTGTTTTAGGTGATTTCACTTTAGCTTTAAAGACAATGGAAGATATTGAATTAAATAAAAAGGCTTTTTTAACTAGAATACCTGGTTGCCATTTTACAACTTATTACTATGTCGGCTGCTGTTATTTAATGATGCATAGATATTCTGATGCTATTAAAATCTTTTCTCATATTTTGCTTTTTATCTCTAGAACTAAAAATATTAACAAATCTGGTCAATATGATGCAATCACCAAAAGATCCGAACAAATGTATGCATTATTGACAATTTGTATTGGCTTATCTCCTACAAGAATTGATGATATTCTACATCAACATATAAAACAAAAGTTTGGTGAACAATTATCCCAAATATTGAAAACTAATGACTTCAACAAAACTGTACAAGTTTATGAAGAATTATTCAAATTTGGGTTCCCAAGATTTATTTCAATTTCTTTCCCAAATTTCACTAACCCTCAATTGAACACTGATGCATTGGCTTTACACTTAAAAGTATTTATGATCAAAGTTACAAACTCTGTTTTCAATAATTTATTGAGAACCTATTTAAGTTTATATTCAACGATGGAATTGAAAAAGTTGTTGAACTTTTTAGTTTCTGATAAGGATATCAAAATTGATAACTTGGATCAATTGAGATCAATTTTATTATCTTTTAAATTAAATAACCGCCAAGTCAGATGGGTAGATCATGAATCGTCATCTGCTCAAAACAATGAAAATTTGGAAAACACTTTATTAGAGGGATCAATTTCAAATGTTAATGATTTTGATATTAACTTGAAAAATGATAATTTGATTTCTATTATTGAATTAAAAGTTGCTAGAAAATTTTCTGATTGGTTTATTAGAAACACTCTTAAGAATTATCAAGTTCAAGATACCATTGCAAATGCTGATAAGCTTCTTGAAGAAAATTCTCAAACTTATCAAAATAATAACACTAATTCAAGTTTTAATTCTAATTCAAATAAGCAACAAAAAAATAGAAAAAACAAAAATTAAAGATAATTTCTTGCTGAAATTTTTAATTCTTTGTTTTTTATTTTTTTTTCTATAAAGTATTTTTTTTTTTATTTTAATATTTTCAAACTTTTACTTTTATAATTTTATATGTTTTTTTTACAGTTAGTTATTTAAAAATTAATAAATACGCATAAACTGAAGAAAACAAATTGATCAAATGAATTTTATGTTTTTACAAGTATTATAAAATAATGAAAAATATCTCTATTAAAGCACAACTGTAGATTATCAACTTATTTACCTATTGAGTTATTAGTTCCTTCTTGATTTTTCTGTTTTCTTTTTTGATCTTTTTTTCCTTCTTAACTTTTCCTTCTTTTTTTGATTTTTTGTCTTTCTTATCTTTCTTTTCTTTTTTTTCTTTTTTAATTTTCCTATCCTTTTTGTCCTTTTTATCCTTCTTAAAATTTATTTGATTTTCGGGGAAGATGCTTGAATCAGCCATCACTATATCTGAATTTATATAATTTTCAATATCCTTGTCAAGATCATAAGGTTCATTTTCATTTTCGTTCTCAGAAGCGTCGTCATAATCAACTTGATTTTCTGCATTTTTGGGGACTAAGTCATCATAATTTATAAATTCAGTGCTTTCTTTATAATCATGCAAACCGTAGCCAGATGGAAAATTTCTCATGTTAATATTCTTGATTTTTTTAACATCCTTTCTTGGTTTTATTACTTTATCGTAATTGATTTCGGGAATTGGAACACTCTCCGAAATTGTAAAGAACTTATTAATTTCCAAGTCAGATTGTATTTTCAATGTATTATCTGAACTAGCTGGTAACAAAATTCGATATTTCAAGGAACTTGTAAATGGTTCAGCAGTTGAATTGAATGAATTTTCTTTCAATTTGTAAGATTTATCATTAAAATCTAAAACTGAAGCCTGTTTACCAAAATTTACTGGCAATTTTTTGATGGTTTTAAAAGAAAAATTTTTTGGAGTTTTAATTAGCCATATCTGTTTGTCTTTCAAGTGTGAAGGACTGATTGAATTGAAGTTTTTAACCTGAACATAATTTGTTGGAGGATGAAAAACATATTGATCGTTGTTGTCCAATTCAGAATCTGAATCTCCTATATACTCCTGAGATTTCAAAGTTTTTGATGCGACCATGGAAGTAAAATATGTTGTGTATTAGTGTTGAACAGCTGTGAAAATCAATTTCCTGTGGAAAGTGCTGCTTGAATCGATTTGAGTTGAAATTTTTGATTTTAGACACTGATTTTTCAGCATCAAAATAAAGCACGTGACTGAAAATTTAGTTTGAGAACTTGTTGCGATAATATGCATAGCCTACCGCAAAGTACATATACAAAAAACCTTTTTATTGCTTTCTCCAGTAATAAAAACTTCTTCAATTAAATCCATAAAAGGCGTATTTATAATTCAACAAATTAGATTGTAAGAGCTTCTTGTGCTGAGAGATTATCAGCTATGCTTACTACAGAAACTCATATATGTTAGGTGTATATACTACAAAATTGTGTGCAGTCCCTTGAAATAAACATTGAATAGCTTTTATTGTTCCATGAACCAACCCTTTCCTACTTTAGAATAAGTTAAAAACAATTCAGTATAGTCCTTTAGAAAAAACTAAAATCTCTCCCAATCCACCATGTACTTGATTATTAAATTACTTTAAAAAAATTTTCAAAGAATAGAGGAGAGTTATCAATAAATCGGTGAGTTGCCAAAGCCAACACTGGCTCGCCAATATACTCGCATACGACGTCCTGACAGTAATTGCAGATTTCTACTATAATTGCTAACTGATTGGATATAAATAGATCTGGATTGGAACTGACATTTCTTGTAGGTATTACCAATAACTACAAGGCTGTTGCCTTAATGTTAGCGCTTTCATGCCATTTCAAACTCATATATGATGGATCCTTTTGACCTCTGATTTTCACCAATGCATCAAGAGGAACGTCGATGATTTTGTCTAATTTATAATCTGAAATACCAAACATCTGGTGCCAAATAGGGCCTCTGTATAAATACAAATTCCAGTGATCACTGGCATGGGGTTGAGGGTTATAATAGTTTTTGAAAAGATCAATTGAGTAGGGGACTTCGATTATTAGATTTACCAATGATTTATTAGTGTCTCGAGAAAAGCTTTTACCTGGGATTGAGGGTCAGCTCTGAAATCTTACTATTAGTTCCAACGAACACAACAAAAACTTTGAATTCAAGCCCGATATTTCGTAATCAGAATTTGAAGTCTGTAAATAAATTAATAGATGGTGAGTGGTTTAAGTTTTCAGCCCAGTTTTCAACCAACACACTGCATTTATCAATCGCAATCAAAATGTCAACAACATCTTCCCAGTTTTGAACAGGCAGCATATTGATAATATAGCCACAAATTATGAAATTCACTTTTGTAATATTAGATAAATCTAAATATCAAGCCTATAACAAAAGAAGATTGAATTTTTGAAAAGAGGAAGAGTTTCCATCAACCACCTCGTTTTTTCAGTCATCGAGACATTGATGATAGCCGCACAAGGAAGAACTAGAAATTTATAGACATAATATATATCAGCATAATTATCCAGGGTTGCTTTTGTGTTTTGGATTTCTTCTGGAGTAGAATTTATTAATTTCAAAGGCTTCAACTCACTGTGGAAGGCAGTCTCTAATTAAAAGAAAGATATTTATGTCTTGTGGTTGAAACACTCTCTTATGGCTTCACATACTATTATCGCATGTTCGACATTGAAAATTGTGATCATTATGATAGCTTTTATGGAGGTGTAATGGATTATTGGAATGTGCAAAATGTATCAGCAGTTGATATTAATTTTTGGTTTCACAGCAATCGTTCAGACCGCAAAAATAACGTCCATCAAAGGTTGATACTTTTCCCAAGTGCATCATTGTCTTTTAGTTGATGTTGTTTTTGGCATTCCACAAATGAAAACCATGGCTCACTTAATCAACAGACATAAGTTCTTGCAGTTATATAGGTTTAACATTATTGGATGCTTAGTCGATTTCTGATTTCAACTATTTTGCATTGCTGAAAAACTGCCGCATTTCACTATCATACCAAAGACACAATTCCAGCTCATGTTGCAAAACCTGTTTTAAATTCTTCTTAGGTTGAAAATGAATTGAGCAACTTGGAAAATCAATAAATTGGCACAATTTAATACGGCATTTATGGACAACACAAAGAAAGTTTGGAGCACATATCACGTGTAACTGTGATTTTCGAGGTAGTTTGATAGTAGATGCTACCGGAAGTATGTTTGAAGTCACGCGCTCAGAACCGAAATGGAGAATTTATTGTAATGTGAACGTATTTTAATATATTGTTTAACACTAATTTCTTATAAAATTGATATTAAATTTTCGCATTTCTCTAAGCTTCCTTCTTGGAATCTGATTTTGTCTTGATTGTATTTGTATTGATTATGATTATTATTATGTTTATGTTTCATTTCATTTTTGATTATTTATTCAGTTTCCAGCTAACGAATTAATTTTTATTAGCTATTAATTTGATATCTTCATCGACTTTGGGTTATCAATTTAGTGTTTGATTAATGAGTTAATTGTTTTTTAGTTCTGAATAGACACCCAATAGTTCTAATGTTCTTTTCTAGAGTGTCTTTGATTATTTATACTTCGGAGGTCTATTTGACTTATTTCTTGCTAATCTGATTAGCAACCAATCAGCAGCATCTTGAACTCCATCGCCAGTTAGAGCACTAATGGGCAAGACTCTTGAGTCTCTGGCACCCAAGTGTTCTGCAATTCTGTTAAAAATCTCTTTTATATCTTCAACCTCCAAATGTTCAGGCCTGTCCTGTTTATTTGCCAACATTAATATTGGAATACTTTTATCAATATAATGGTCCGTTTCACCTACACTTTGGAATTGAGACTCATCTGGATCTAGTATTTTTAATAACTCCCTTTGGCACTCTTCTATTCTATCTCTATCGCAACTATCAACGACAAATATAATTCCATGAGCCAATTCAAAGTAATTTGCCCACATCGACCTTAGCTCGGTTTGACCACCTACATCCCAGAATTTAAGAATTGTGTCTTTCGATGCTTTTATATAGCCTACATTTTGTCCAACAGTGGGTAATATTCTTTCATTGGGTATTATTTTCACCTTTTCTTTATTGATTTTGGAGTAGATCTCCTTCAACTTTTCCAAGAATGTCGTCTTTCCTGCGTTATCCAACCCCAATATCAAAATTGAGTATTCCTTTTTCTTGTTGTACGAATCATACAACCCTCTGAACAAATGAAACATCTCTATACCAATAACACTTAAATCAAAAAAGAACCAAGAAAACCAACACAATCAAGTAAACAGAAAGAGCATTAAATGCCTTGAATTTGCAATCGATCTACCTGTCCACTATTCTCTTAAGCCATGTCTTTTCTCACCCATCACAAGTTTTAGCAAATAAAAAATTGCGTTCAGATCAGACGGAAACAGGAAAGAGAAAACAGGAAAAAAAGGCTCCCACACAAAAATTATCACCAATCCTTCCAGTATTTTCACCCATTAAGAGCCTGTCCAATAGCTCTATACCACTCTTGTAGCTAGCGAAAAGTCTCCAATCCTGAAGAATGTCCTTATTTGTTCAACTTCCTTCAAGGACATTGTCTTCTAACCCAAAAAACTCTTTATATATCTTCAAGTCTTGTTTGCAATTCAAGAACAACATATCAAGTTCTGCACATCTTTTAAAAGACATTGGTGAGAACTTCATAAAAAACAACTTTATCCATGAGTATTCGATATCACCAACTACTTTTTCTTATCAATTGCCAAATAAAAACTCAAATCTTGATGATATAACAATAGCACCAAATCCCTTATCGTATTTATTCGATAACACTGGAACTGAAACATCTGTGACAAACTACTTGAACAACGAGCCAAATTTTGAAAAATATCCCTTATATGATTTCAATTTGTTATTTAAAAAGTATTCCAACCAGTTGTTTATCAATAAATTGAATTTGGACGTGAAAAATAGAAAGATAACATCTGTCAGACCTAGAAATCTAAAATTAACCTCCAAAAGTTTCATTGATGATAGTTTGTATAATCCAAATTACGGTTATTTCAATAATAATGATGTTGAAATTTTTCATTTAGACAAGCCCTTTGATTATGCAGAATTGAAAGACATTGATGAGTTTTTGGATACTTGGGAAAAAAAATACGACAAATACTCCTCAACAAATAGAAACAATCTACAACTATGGCATACACCAACTGAGTTGTTTCAACCGTATTATGGCGAAGCCATTGCCAGATATTTATTAGTCAACTACAAATTATCCTATTATCCTTATCACGATTTGATAATCTATGAAATGGGAGGTGGTAATGGTACTTTAATGTTGAACATTCTTGATTATATCAAAAGAGTCGACCCTGAAGTATACGAAAGAACTCAATACAAAATTATTGAAATTTCTTCAAAGTTGGCAAATAAACAAAGAAGCCAGTTCGTTGAGCAATTGTTAAAGTTAAAAAGTTTCAATGAACACAACTCGAAAATTCAAATCATAAACAAGTCGATATTTGATTGGGATAAAAGAGTAGGAGACCCATGTTACTTTCTTGCTTTAGAGGTGTTTGATAATTTTGCTCATGATATTATTCGGTACAACAATCTAACTGGACAGCCGTATCAAGGGTATGTTGTAACTGATGAAAATGGTGATTTCCATGAATATTTCAATCCAGAACTCGATTACTATTGCGATTTGTTTTTAAGATTAAGAGAAAATGGAGAATATCCTCAAATAAATAAGAAAAAAAGAAGTTTCAAAAATTCTCTAAGACCTGCACACCCTTTAGATGAGTTCAAATTCAAAAAGTTATTCATGAACCAAGTTTTTCCTTTTAGGAACCAATTGAGTTATTGCTCTGAATTCATACCTACAAGATTGTTGGAATTTTTTTTCATATTGAAAAACTTTTTTCCCAACCACTCATTATTGTCCTCGGATTTCAATTATTTGCCAAACTCTATCCCCAGTTCTTACAATGGCCCGGTGGTGCAGACATTTTATTCCAAAACTGAAACATTTATCAATAAAGATGGAAAAATTGAAGTTAAAAATGAAGATAAAGAAAAAATTGTCGAGTATAAAGACGGAAAAAACAATGTTAAACAACTTAAACTTCAATTCAAAAAGAAAAGAAGTTATCATGATCAAGTCATCACTGCAAACACTTATATGGTAAACCAGGGGTATTTTGATATTATGTTTCCAACCGACTTTCCATTGATAAGTGATTTGTACAGACAAATCAACGGAAAAGTTGGAAAGATTGAATCTCACGAAGAATTTTTGACTAGGTGGAGTGATTTAGAGAGAACCACCACCAAAACAGGTGAAAATCCAATGACTGAGTTCTATAAAAACGTTTCGTTCTTCTACACCTGAAAAAGATGAGCCAAATGATGATTACATGTTGATATTCCATCTCTCATTCCCTTTTGTTTCTTGCTTGCGTCTATGTTTTTGTAAATAATTTCAGTAGATAAATACAATTGAGCTGCCCAAATCTGTAATCCATTGAAAATGCCACTTTGCCCCCAGTTTTACCTCCAGTTCTACCCTCAGTTCTGCCTGGATTTGCTGTCGAGTTCCTCAGAATCACCGAAACAAGCGATAACTGCCCCAGAGTCTGATCTCTTCAGAGCCTCGTTAGGGTGGGTGTGGGATGTCTTGTTCAGCCAATACAGCTCTGGAGAAACTGGATTACAAAGAAACTCAGAAAATCAGCAAACAAATCAGTGCAAGCTTGGAGATGAACTGGAAGAACTGCCATTTTGCGAGAGGATGCTATTTTGGCTACTGTTATTCAAACTCATAAACCGTAAATATTCAATACTCAATACTCAAATCCATCCTGTGCATACACTGAGCTTTTTTTCACAAATATAATGAAGGCTTCGTTACTACTTTTCAAAGCATTGGCAAAAAATGAAAATATAGCAGTGGTTGGAGGAGGTATCTCGGGATTATCGTATGCCTATTTTTTGACCAAACTACGACCAGACTTGACAGTGACAGTCTTCGAGGAATCAAATAAAACTGGAGGCTATATATACTCCCCAATTGGGTACAAGAAAGAGCTACCTCTCAAGCACAATCTAAATGGTGCTGTTGAAGAAAATTTCGAGAAAATTTTATTTGAAAAAGGACCAAGAACTTTGAGAGGGAAATCAGATGGAACATTGATTATATTGGACCTATTGCATCGATTCAAATTAACTGATCAAGTCTACGCGATCCCCAAAGACTCAATTGCCAACAAGAAATATCTACTTTCTAACGGCAATAAACTTATTGAGGTTCCAAACTCGTTTCTTCGCAATCCCATTGTTTTGTTAAAATTTTTAATGTCGCCAGTGTTTCAGTTTCGAAAAGCAATGGTTAATTTAATTTGCGAAGTATTTCGAAGAAAGAAAGGCTGGAGTGACAGCAAGATGGACGAGTCGGTTGAATCATTTTTAAATCGAAGACTTGGTAAAGAATTATCCAATATTGCTAGTGCAGTTTATCATGGGATATTTGCAGGAGACATTGGAAAATTGTCTATTAAATCGCTAATGCCGGGGATGTATCAAATAGAAAAACATGGCAATTCACTAGTTGGGATTACTTTACTCAATACCAAAAGAAATTTACTAAGTATCTTTATAAGTGAGCAAGAAAAACGAGTTGCTAAACAAAAGAGAAATGACAACTTATTATCAAAGGACATCAAAAAATATGAAAAGTTTTTTTTCAACAAAGATCTAAATCTAAGTAAATTATCAGTTTTATTGAAGAGTATTCCGATGATATCGTTCAAAAATGGATTACAATCGCTAACAACAGCGTTGGGTGAAAACTTTAGCCTCTCGAATTCAGGAAAAAATAGAATTTTAACAGAAAATGGGATCACCCAGATTGATATCAGTGAGGAGCGTAACAAAATTATTGTGAATAACCAATATGAATTTGATTATCTTAAGAGTACATTAAACTCTCCAAAATTAGTGAAAATCTTGGAAAATAGTACGGAAAATCTTGAAAAGAATGGCAAAATTAGAAATTTAATTGAGCTCATGAAAAGAATCAATTACGTGACAGTTTGCGTGGGTAATATTTACGTTCCCAGACAGGATTTATTAAAGAGTAATCATGGATTTGGATATTTGATCCCTAAAAACTATGAAAAACAAACCAATAATAAAGAAAAGCTCTTAGGAGTAATATTCGATTCAGATATAGAAAAATCACGAAAATTACTTTTCAATGAGCAAATAAGCAGGAAATTAACAAACGAAGAATTACCAAATAAGGATAAAATCGATAAAAGTGCAAACAATAAATTGTTTTACACAGATGTGAAATTTCCTGAATTGGAACTAGATTTTAATAAAGAGCAGTTGGATTATACTAAAATCACAGCCATAATGGGAGGACACTATTGGTCGCCTAGTAGTAATAACCAAGATGTTGATAAATACGATAACGAGGAGAATGTTCCATCCAAGTCCATTGCACTCAAAATGATTAAGCTGGCTGTTTCCAAGCAGTTGAATATCGAGTTGGATGACATTAAAGAAAAGCTCATTGAACTAGAGATCGTCAAAAACGCCATTCCTCAGTATGAAGTTGGATTTATAGAATTAAGGGAGGAGATTCACCAAAAGGTCTGCGAGATCTACAAGGACAAGGTCAAGCTAGGAGGGATGAGCTTTTCCAATGGGATTGGAGTGCCAGACTGTGTTCTAAATGGATTTACAGAAGCATTGGCAGATTCAGGGATAGAAGAGAAGGAGGAGCCAGACAAGTAGGAAAAAAACAGCTTCTGCGATGGCTCTGCTGCCAGAAGAATCAATAAAGGGTATATACTTGATGATACTCATCCAGCCAGAAGAGAATAAGTGCATTTCTTTCTCCACGTTCCAGATGATTGTGCTTCCTGTGCTGCTACGACGGACCCAAGGCTGCCGTAGTCCGTAGAGCCAGGTCCGTAGAGCCGTGAACGGCAGAATGAGACCCGCTTCGATTGGCGTTCGTGAGTGGCTGATTCCGAGTGCGGAGGCATCCAGCCGCGGATTGCCCCTGCTCAGCATCAAAGGAACGCCAGCCAAAAGGCGGCTGCCGTGAGTATATCTGGGACCTTGAGGCATGGAAATCCGCACCGCGTCCGTAGGCCCGCTGCGGATGATTTCAGCACTGGACGGAACACGGCTCCACGTGAACTGGGACTTCGAAAGAAATAAATAGAGTGCAGGCACAAAATATTTCGTTTCACTCTTTTTTTCTGCTTCTTTCTCAGAAAAACACTGTTTATGAAAGCTCCCCCAATTGACCTTATTTCGTTCTTACCGAGCTTGTATTTGGTTTCCACTTTCTAGTTCTCTTTCTGTTCACTATCTCAAACACCAACACCTTCTCTGGAATTCTCTAATCAGCTTTACTTTTCACCTTAAAATCCTTTCCAGCATCTCATTTACGTCGACCGTTGCCTCAGCGTTAACTTTCTGCCCTTCACACTAACTTTGGTTCTTAACTCTGGCTTCCTCCACAATGTACTATCCCTCCACCGCTACATGTTCAGGCTACTATGCTACTCCAATTCTAAATGACTTTTCCTATGAAAAATCCTACCTGGACAATGCTGTCGCTCACAGCTTTCAAAACGTTGACGCGAACCTAAATCCTAGAGAGAAACATCGCTACAACTTTGGTTTCACTCAAAACCTTTCAACTGCAAAAAGAAAAAGCGACAATAGCGATGAAGAAACTGATTTTCCTGTCGCGATGCACACCAAGTTGAGAAAGATCTCAAGGCCTCTTGGTCTCACCACCCAAACCAATTCAAACGACTGGCCTGTTTATCAACATCCTTATGGTGGAACCATACAATACACCTCCTTTGGTAACGTTAGAACCCAGTTTGATCCACAAAACAACCTTGAAATCAGCAGTTTTGATAATGAAACTGATTTAAACACTTTCTCAACTGCTGCTGGCCCTCAACCTGCTTCTCACTCTCCATTATTATCAAATTCAAATTCAGTCCCAACTCCAAAATTTGGCTTGTTGACTCCAAAATCCTCAAGATTAAGTTTAAACAACAGCGATTTCAACTCTCCTTCAAATGAAGTTGAGTCTTACTTACTTGATGGTTATAGATTAAATGGCCAACAATCAAATGCTCAAAGAAATAATTTTGCTACTTCTACCTTGAATAACCATATCTCTAATGAAGACCACGATCAAGAAATGCATTAATTTATTTTTCTGGAACAAAAACAATTCGATGACTATATTAAAAGTATGATTTTTTGTATATTAATATTAATTTATATGATAAAACCTGTGTTTAAGTTTACTTTTGATTTAATTTTTTTACAAAAAAAAAAAAGAAAAAAGGTTAGAAGACCTTTTATATTGATGTTTATTTTTATTTTTTTAGAATAATCCTTTCTATATTTCTTATATTTCTTATATTTTTCCCATTTTTTATGTTTTTAATATCTTCTAAATTTTTTTATTCCTTAAATTTTCTCATTTCTTTATTTCTCTGTTTCTGTTGGTTTTTTTCTCCATTTTTTATTTCCTTTACTTCTTGATTTATTTCTACCCAATTTATTAATTTTACTTTTTTCTAAAGTTTGTGGGTTTATGTTTGATTATTTATATGTTCAGCTGTATTAAAAATGTAATTAATTTTTCTCATTTATCTTTTCTTTTCTTTTATATTTATTTATATTTATATTTATATTTATATTTATATTTATATTTATATTTATATTTATATTTATATTTATATATCTTTATCTTTATATATCTTTATCTTTATCTTTATCTTTATCTTTATCTTTATCTTTATCTTTATCTTTATATGTCTTTTTATTGTTATTTATTAACTATCCACTCTCTATCTAAAAAACTTCTTATTGTTAAACTTTTGTTAAGCTACTTTTGTCTTTACTGTTGTAGATACTGGTTCTCTAGAGATTTAACAATTACTCTTCCTTCTGCAATCACATCTAAATATATAAATCAAACCTATTTCTTAGCTCCCAAATCAGATTGTTATGTTCAAGAGTTGTTCTACCAACTAATAACATACAATACTTAAAAATGAAGATTCTTCAGTACAATTTAGTTGATACTTCAGGAGCTTCCACTAATCTATGAATGATACCCCAGAAATATCAGACCAGTTGTTGAATCCATAGTCTCAGCTGCGTTAGCTCTACATATTACAGTTTCTTTTCATCAACGACCTCTTCAGCTGCAATTGAAGGACAATGCCAACATACTTTGATGACATGATGGTGTATTGTTACTAAGTCTACAAACCCAACCCACTACAAGACACTTGTAGTGACAATTTCTCAAAAAGACAGTTCTTATTCAACAGATAAACCAGTCTTCAGTCTTCAGATCCAGTTCTTGATAGCATTAAGATCAAATCAATCGATATCAGTCCTCCATAATAAACATACATTCTGAAGACTAAATAGAAAGCACTCTTATAACTAGGCAAGACAGACTCAGAAGTATAGCCCTGTTTCTATTTGACATAATCTTTTATTTCAAAATCATTAACTTAAATAAGAATATATATAGTTGTAGGCAAAGTAAAAAGCTGAATTATAAATATAAAGGAAGGATAAAAAGACAAACCCCCCAATCAAAATAAACTGGAAGAGAAACTGAAGATAAATAAATAAATAAAAATGAAAAAGACTAAGATTTCAAGTTTATTCTCTTGATAAAACTAGTGATAATTTATTATTTATTTTTGAAATATAACATAATACACAATCATGTTTCGATTAATGTTTAATAAATTACTTATATTTCTTTGCCAAAATATGTCCATTGATCAGGCAATGGTTTTTCTTGCAACTCTTCCCAACATTTTTCTTTAGCTAGCAATTGTGCTAATTCAAACTCATTGGCAGCGTTAATTACTAGTTCTTCGATTAAACCATCGTTAATTTGAGTTTCAATTTTCTCAACTATTTCATTTCCTTCAACAATCTCCAATCTTTTCTTGGTGAAATTTTCAGTGGATTGTCTGTAAACTGAGTTTTTAGGAAAGTTTTCCTTTAAATAATCTAATGTAAACTTATAAATTGAAATTAAAGCAGGTCTTGGGTCAGGGTGGGATTGAAGACCAGCCAAACCAGTTGGATAACCTTTGTGTGTAGCATTTTGAACGAGAACATTTGGAATTCTAGCTGCTTGTCTTAACACTGGGAAGAATCTCATTTTGAAATAATGGAGGGAAAAAAGGGAAGAGGAGAGGAAGTAATTTTAAAATTTAAGAACTCTGCCAAATACTCAGTATAAAAGTTCGTTGAGATCAAAAACCTGTTTCTGATATATTAAGGATAGATAAAGGAAATGCTGAAGTGAGTTGAAAAATGAATTATATTTACTAATTTGCAGCGTCTGATTGGCGGAAAAAGGTATCTGGAATCTTAAAAGATTGCCTAATAGAGTATGAGAGGTGGATATTTTTTTTATTAAAACAGGAAAACTCCAGTAAAAAAAATCTCTTTTGGCGATACAATAGCGAGTTTTTTTGTTTTTTTTTAATAATAATAAATAAAAATAATAGTATAGTTTCTACATTTATTTTTGTTTTATTTTCCTATATTGTCAAGAAGTTGAGCCCTAATTAAGTATAATGTTTTAGTGAAAGTGAGAGTTATATGTGGTATAAAATCCTAAATAAAGAATAAAAAAGCCTTGAGTAGATAATTTTTTTTGTGCGTCAAAAACCAGAGATAAGAAATAGAAAATAAGAAAAAAGAGTGAGAAAAAAGAATGAGAAAAAACAGTGAGAAAAAGAAGAGAAAAATAATGAGGAGTAAATAATAAGCTTTAAAGAGCAAAGAGTGAAAACCGAAAAGATATAAAAAGAATTGATGAAAATTTGCAAGTAATCAATTATAATAAATAGGCACCAGTAGACAGTAGACAGTAGACAGTAAACAGTAGACAGTAGGTAGTAGATAGTAGATAGTAAAGGGAACAAATAAAAAGTGAATGATAAAAAGGAGGAAAAAAAGAATGCAATCATTTGTAGATAAGTGATTAGATAAATGTTAAAATTGAGATGGAGATAGAGATAGAGATGAATAAAATTTAATTAACTCTATAGGGTTGAATTGGAATAATTCTTGGTAAACCAAGTATTTGTTGCAAAACAAATTCTTTCTCATCAAGTAAAGTTTTATTATTTTCTCTTCTATCATCGATATTAAAGTTTTGGAAAAAAGTTATTAATTTTTCTCTATTTTTAATCAAGATATCATTAACAGGTTTTGATTTTCTTGGATTGGCGACAAATACTTTAAAGACGTTAAAAGCTTCAAGTTGAATATTTTTAGAGCGATCACTTAATAGAGTCATGATTAACTTTAAATTTTCGGGATAGCTGACGAAGGTTGTCATTAGTAGGTTATTTGATCTTTCTAATATTAAATCGGATAGTAATTTAATTGATTGTCTTTTTGTGACGTAGTTGCCGTTGATTAATAGGTTATTTATGTTTTTGATGAATTGGAACAAGTTGTTAGAATTGGCGAAAAAATGAGATACCAAGTTTTTATGAACAGATAATAAATCGGTCAAAGTGCTGAAAGAATCAGTTGCAATTTCAAAAGCCGAATTTTTAACGTATTCAAAATAGTTCCAGAAAGTTTGATTGTCAATTAGCAAGTATCTTGCTAAGGGTTCATATTTAATGCATTCTCTAATGATTTGACCAGCAAATAAAGAGGATTCTGGAATTTCAGGAGATTTGTATAATAGTTGGAGTATTTTTTTCTTATTCAAGAGATGATCAATAGTTGGGGGTCGTCGCAATAGGGTGATGAATAGTATGGTAACATCCTTTCTCGAATCAAATTCCAAATTGGAGATGTTTGATACAAGTAAATACAAGCAATCTGTGGAGTAAATTTCTTGGGCCAATTGATTGATTTGGTCAGGTTGAGGAATGTTTTCGTCGTCACCATGCAATATGATTTTGATTTGATTCAAGTATCTTGTGCATTCTTCCTGAGCTTTTTTTCGATCAGAGGGAGTATTGTCTAGCTTTGCAATTTGGTCATTGAGAATTTTGATCAATTCAGATGGAGTCTTGGGGTTTCGCTTGAATAAAAAGGCCATGGCAGCAGGAGGGAGAGTGCAAACAGAACTAGATCACAGGAAAGAATGAGAGGAGCAGTCAATTAGCACACCAAAGGAACAATCAAAGATCTGAGATCAAAGATTGAAAAATCAATCCAAAGTGAGAAAATTGCAGCAACCACAGCTTCACAGGCTGGAAAAGTAAATAAATAAAAGACAGCAGAAAACAAGCACAAATTCGCCCCAAAGCGAGGTCACGAGATCCGTCTCTGTGGACAGAGCCAGTGCTATGGACAGAGCCAGTGCTGTGGAAGAGACCGCTCGTGCGGATGCGTTCACGCCTGTGGGTTCAATGCAAAGAGCTGCAAATACCAGTGAACCATGCCCGGCAATTCCGCACCAGCACAGCGGGTCGGTATGTGCCGGGAGAGCACGCGCTCAACAAATGAAAGAGCAGCGTTGGGCTTCCTGATTGGGTCTGGGTTCTATATAAGTTCTCTCTCCATTCTTCACCAATGTTGGGAACTTTTGCTTCTCTTTGAATTGGTTTGTTCTTTTTTTCTCCTTCTCTTTTTCTTTCTTGTTCTTATGTGTTTTTACAAGCCTCTCCATCTATATTCTGCTCACGCATCTCAAACAGCTTCCACTCCTTCTTCCCCTTCCGCTCCTTCCTGCGTCTTTTATTCTCTTGTTGACGATATTTTGCCTGCCACCATGCTCACTCCTAGATCCTCCCTAGACAAGAAGAGACCCTCCGTCGAGCTTCCCACTTATAACCACTCTGCTCAAAGCTCCAATTTGAAAGAGCAATTTGATGACTACAAAGAGAAATACATGTCTCAAGAATCCATCGTCTCCTCCAGTGATGAGAAATCATTCAAACTTAAGGTTTCCACGCTCATTAAAGACTCCAATGTGTTTTATTCTGATGAGAAGTTCGAATTGCCATCGCCAGTTACGCAATCCACTCACCATCGCTCATCTTCTTCTTTGTCGTCCATCCAACTATCCAAGTCTTTGAAAAAACAGTCCAATGTCGTTAAGCAAGGTGTTGTTGTTTACTTGTTTCTATTGTCTGTTTTATTCTACTTGATTTTCTCAGGCGAGACTTATATTCCTGCCACTTCATACGAACATAAATTTTTTTCATCTTCCAATGCTCTTGCCCACTCTGCTGTTGATGACATTGCCATGCCCTGTCACAATCATGACGAGTCTCACATCGACAAGACCATTATTGAGCTATCTCCTTTCAGCGATCCAAAAAAAATTAACGTCATATCCACCACCACTATTGAAGATAAACAGGTTCAAGTCAAATCCACTGACTCGAGCTCTGATTCCGAATCCAAGTCTTACAACGTCAAAACTCAAAAGCTACTAATTGATGAAGATGGTGACGGTTTGGGTGAATCTTACTATTTAATTGAGCAATATATGTTATTAGATTAAATCGACTTAGCCTCAAATTCAACTTAGTTCTAATCAATTTAATCTGGCAACGTTCTTGCTTGGTGTTTCTTATTGGTTTTTTTTATTGTTCAGATTGTGGTTCATTATCGATATTAGCGTCTAAAAATTTTTCTTTGCTCCCTTAGTTATTAGTTATTATCTAATTTGGTCTTTCGTTTCTGGTTATTTTTTCAGGCTTTTTTTGGCTATCCTATTTTTGTTTCATTTAATATTTTTTTTTTTTTTGTTTATTTGACTTCATATGATTTTATTTAAGTTTATTTTATTTTTTTGTCTTTGTTCATTTCTCGGATCTTATTGTTCTTTGTTTAAGAATTACTTGATCTTACCAAAATTACATATCTTTATCAACTATTGTTTTTTTTCTTATCTTTATTTTTTTTATTTTCAATCTTTCTACCCAAGCTTTATGCAACAAAAGTCTCTTAATGATCTATTCATTCATTCATTCATTCATTTATTCTCTATCAATCTATATCAGTACATTTGTTTCAATTGTTGAAACTAAATTAAATTAAATTAAGTTAAGTTAAGTTAAGTTAAGTTAAAATAAATCAAATCAAATCAGTCTGCAAACCCTTACTGAAGTTATTTTCAATTTGTAATTTGCCTGTAGTTTACTTGTATTTTTTAAAACATAACATTAACTTAATGCCCCACATCATACATGCCACTATTATACTCAACACCAATGTCATCTGCTACTGCTTGTAAAGAAACATAGTCATACTCTTCTCTACTGCACCTAAAGGGAAGCTGGTGTGAGGTCAATAAAACCAGTAAAACCAGTAAAACCAGAGTGAAAGTAAGCCATGTGCTCGACAATTCTGTGGATCGTAGGTCTTTTCGAGAATTGCTCCTTGTTTTATTCACACTCAACTCTCAAAAGTGTTTATCGGCCTTAGTTCTGTGAGAATTCAATCGACCTCGAATCAACAATTTGTTATGAAGTCATCAAGCTGAGTAGCACTGATCATTTTGGGTTCCTTGGGACTCACTCCGGCACTCTACTTCAAATAATATTAAAAGATTCCAAGAAACGTTGAAAATAAAACCAAAAGTAAAAGTAAAAGTAAAAGTAAAAGTAAAAGTAAAAGTAAAAGTAAAAGTAAAAGTAAAAATAAATAAAAAACAAAAATAAATAAAAAACAAAAAGTAAATATTGATAACATTCGCAAATTAGTCGTGGTTTTCGTAATACTCAACTTTTGAATCTTTTCTGTTATTTGATTTCTAATCTGAGTATTCAATTTGTACTTTTTTCTACTGATCACTGAAAACGATGATCACAGCAGGTGGTTGTTATCGCCTGAATCACTCAAGCAATTGCACCATCAGAGACCAGTATCAATAGCATTCTGGGATTTGTTTTGACACTGCCCACTATCGTTCTTTGTATCACTTTTGAGTGCTTTGATTTAACTCTATAGTTCTGTAACTCTTTACAATAATCTGGACAGAAGTATAGTTTTTTGTCTTTTCTGTCTATTAACATCAACACTGAATGACTATCCAAATCAATGACGATTCTGAAACAGTAGTGCAGATAATAAATAGAGCATGAATAGATAAGAGCCCAAATTAAGATATAAACACTTTGTTTTCTCGCTAATTTTCTTAATTTTTCTTAATTTTCTCTTTCTTTTATTCTTTCTTCAATTTTCTTTTTCAGCAGAGTATAAATATTTCAATAATGGTCACATCTAACTCAAACAAACAAATTAGCACTATTTCAGGTGCTATTACAGGAGGTGTTGCAGGAGGTGTTGCAGGTCATAGAATCTATAAGAAACATCCACATTTTGGGGCAACAGCTGGAACCATCATTGGTGGATTTATTGGTTATGAGGTTGGAAAAGGGTATAAAGAGTTTTTCAATTCAGAAGAAAAGCAAGGCTCAAAGATTAAAGGTAAAGATAAAGAAGAAGTTGACCAATCGCATTGGAAAACTTCTCAAGAGAACGAAGGAAACTAGTTTCTCGCTGGAAGTTCAAACTCTGGATCAGAATGAAATTAAAAGCCAGGATCTAAACCAATATCAATACCAATATCAATATCAATATCAGTATCAGTATCAATGTGAGCATGGATGCCAGACTAAAGAAAAAATCAATGTAATTCGTGTTCCAATTACCATCCCAGATTTTATCAATCCGATGGTCAAGAAAAAAAAATTCAAGAGAACTATCATTTTATTCTTAATTAACAATCTCAATTTATTATATGTTTTGTATGGTTATTTCAAATGGAGCTGCGAGTACTTTTTTCATTTAGCAGCTTTTGCAGTTTTATGTTTTATCTTATATCTATCTCTTTCCTCCAGTCAAGTTTTTCTTTTGTCCTTGTTGTTACTTTTTGTCGTTAGGTATACTTCATGATTGGACTTTTATTTTTATTGCCATGTCTTTTCTGTCTTATTATTTCTACGACTCTTTACTCCTTTTACTCTTTTTACTCTTTTTACTCTTTTTTTTACTCTTTTATCACTCTCTTCTCATGATTTTATTACTATTTTATTACTATTTTATTACTCTTTTTTCTCTCTCTTTCTCTTTCTCTTTCTCTTTCTCTTTCTCTTTCTCTTTCTCTCTCTCATGTATTCTCACGCTTTCTCTCTATTCTTTATTGCGCCTTTCTTATGTTGTGTTATATATCCAGTGTATCCATTCTATCCAGACCTCAAGTATATAGTGTAGTTATATTATATTATATTATATCATATTCTTTCTCTCAGCCCCAGCCTTTGCCTCCACCCAATCCAGCAAAAAACACTCCAAAAGAGCATTTCGGTGGGCGTTCTCGTTTCTACTCGCATTGCAGTTTCACTGCCCTTTTCCATTCTCTTTCCTATTTATTCGCCCATTCCCTAGCTTCCTCTGCTTCTCTTTCCTCATCTTTTGCTACACCTCTTCCTGCCATACTTGCTCCTTCTCCTTCTTGACCCTCCACAATGAAGAAGTCTCATGCCCTCTCTGTCGCCATCAGTCTCTTCCTCCTCGCTGGGGCTACCTTGATGCTCATCTTTGTCGTCATGTCTGGCTCCACCACCAGCTTTCCCATCAACAGACTCTACTGGGTCGAAGGCGACACCTCCCTCATTTCAAATGCTCCTGATGTCACCAGATGGACCTTCTGGGGAAGATGCGAAGAAATCTCCAGCAGAAACAGAAACTGCGACCATCTAGGCCCTGCATACCCCATTTCTCCTTACACCAACTTTGATACCACTGTTAATGTTCCTGAAAAATTTGTCAATGAAGAGGACACCTTTTACTATCTCTCTAGATTTGCCTTTGGTTTGTTCTGGACTGGTCTAGTTTTCACAGGCGTCTCCTTAATAACTGAAATCTTTACTTTATGCTCCCACACTTTTCAGAAAATTGAAGTCGTATTCATCTCTCTAGCTTTATTCACTACTCTAACTGCTACCTGTTTAATAACTGCCTGTGTTGTCTTGGTTAGAAATGCTTTTCATGATGCTGATTTAGATTCTGAAATTGGCTCAATAATGATTGGTCTCATCTGGGCTTCCGTTGTTTGTTTATTACTCGTTCATCTGCTCAGTTTTGGTTCTTGTTGCAGAGAATCTTACAGAAGATCTAGATCAAAGCACTTCTCAAATGATCCAGAAAAACCTGCTGTCTTCACTGTTAACGATCTCCAACATCCAAATCATTTGGCTCCCAATCCAAACAACGATAACGTCTCTTTTAATGCTGATCCTTATCCACCTTCAGCTCCTCAACCTGCTGCTCAAAAACAAAGTCGTGGTATAAATTTCTTTAAAATCAGAAGACAAAAACATGACGATGAATCAATTTGACTCTAATTTTTTTTTTTTTCTATCTGACCATGTTTTTATACCACTTAATCCTATTCTATTAAAAAATTTCATATTATCCTATTGCCTTAATTGATTGAATCCCCATCTCATGACGTTGATCCTTTTTTTTTTCTTTTCTTTAGTTTTTTTCCCCTTCTCTTTGTTTGGTGAGCTTGTTTCCTCTAATATTTTTCAATATCTTAGATTTCTTAATATTATCTTTAATCTTTACTGGCAACATCTAATTTAATTGAAAATATCAAAAAAATAATTAAAAAAAAAAAAAAAAAGATTATTCTAGGGTGTTATTCTTAGTTCTATATTTTATTTAAAGGTCAATTAAATGTAATGGTTTGTTTTGTTTTGTTTTATTTTGTTTTGCTTTTTCTATTTAATTTAATTTATTTTATTTTTTTCTTTCCCTTCCCTTCCCTTCCTTTGGTTAATCTAATGATGAATTATATTACTCATTCTAATTGTTCTTTTTTGGTTTTTTATAAGTTCTTAATCTGCTGTCTGCTGGTAAACAAAATTATACCTTAATAATTGGTTATTTTTTCTTTTTTGATAAATACATCATATAATAAACACATTTCTATATATCCTTATGAAAAAAAAAAAAGGCTTCCTATATTTCTATAAATCGAAAGCAATCGATATCAATTGCTTCTTTATCAAGCGCATAAACCTGAAGATCTCTACATGGATTTTGAGGTAATTTTAATTTTAATTTTCATGCTAATTTTTATTTTTATTTTTATTTTTATTTTTATTTTTATTTTTATTTTTATTCTTAATTTTAATAATTTTATTTTATAACGAAACAAATTCATATATATTATTTTCTGTTTCCAAAGGATTATTATAAATAATTATAAAAAGTTTACATTGTAAAGAATAAAAGGACATCCTTTTTATAGTAACTAAAAAAGTTCCTCAAAATATTATCCACTTGGAAATATTATTCACTTTTAAATATAATTCCAAGATTTTATAATTATAACCAATTCTATTAACAATCAAGCCCAAGCCCAAAATGAAGGATAAATAAAATAAAAAAGGGAGATTACTCACATAATGAGATCATACTCATTTATTACAATATATTTTTAATAAAACTCTGTTTAAGGTTTTTATCATCTGGGCTCGAATATAAATCAATTTTGGTGATTTTAATTAAATTTCTATGATCAAAATCAACATGACCTGTATATTTGACCAAATACTCCTTTTCTTTATTGAAGTTGCCTTTAATTTTTAAGAATCCCTCAAATATTATTTGTAAATTTCTTAATCTGGCTTTCTCTTTTTGAATCTTCTCATCTTCATATATGTCTATGATTATTGTGTTATTTGAACTATCATGCTTCAACCCATTGAATTCTCCAATAGAAGCCCTATTGGGTGATACGCCATTAATATCCACGTTAAAGTAGTCTAAAATATCTCTTATTGAGTTTCCAATAATTTTTCTAAAATCCATTGGTTGCACAAGTAAACTAAACTTCAATTTGTTAATTTGTTGGTTACCTTGGGCCTTTTTAGAACCTGTTTTATTATTGTTATTGTTATTGTTATTATTATTATTATTATTATTATTATTATTATTATTATCACCAAGATCTTCTGGATTTAGGTGATCATACAAGGGCAATATTTCTAGATAATATAATAATGGATTTTTCTCATTTAGCCATGTTGTAAAATTCAATTTGTTTTCTTCATACGAATTGTATATTAATAAAGGCAATCCGATTTCATTTCTTATGTAGTTTGAACTGGATAAAGATTCCAATACTTTAAATTCGGCCTCTGATATTAATAATTTTTCGTTTAATATATTAAATTCCTTCAACGTAACATCCAAATTGACATCTGAATCAAGCAGCTTTGAAATTTCCTTCCTTCTTTGTTTATAGATCAAAAAGGGAAGCAAAAGTCTTTCTTTCCTGTAAAACAATTGGTATCCCAAGATCAGCAATAACGTAAAAACAACAGTTGAGAGTATAATTACAATGGTTTTCTTTGAATTTTTTTTGGTTTGCTGTTTATACTCAGTTTCAATGGCATCCTCGATGATTTTCTTTACAAATAACTCATCCTGCTTTCTATTATCGAAATGATTGCTGTTTATACCTTTGTGATTGATGTAGCTTCTGATAGTGTTGACAATTCCAGGTCTTTTTGCAGTGTTTAATGAGGTATTTCTTGTTTCAATGGAAGGAAGAAGATAGGACTTCTGGATCTTGATCAGTTGAAACTTGCAATTATAACCACCAAACAGGGAAAGAGTTCTGGTGTGAAGCACTAAACTGGAAACACTGTAGTTGCTGAGGCTCCAACGAGAGAGTAAACCACTGAGGTTCCTGTGTGGTGTGGAGGACATCATTGTTGATAGAGAGGAATAGTAGCAGAAGAGAAGTGGAAGCAGCTATCGTTGAGTGGTTTTCGGCAGCTCTTCACCCCGTTTCTTTGTGAGTGAATATAATAAAGGAAGAGCCCTTGATAGGCTCTGAGGTGCAATTCGAGCTAGAAGCTGGTGGATTTGGCTTTGGGCATTGGAAATTGGGCATTGGAATGATGTGCTACAGTAAGAGAGAGCAATGAGCTATGGGCTGGATCTACAGTTGTTGCCATTGCTCGTTTTGTTTGCTATTACAGAGATGGAGGCATTTTCATTTATCCAAAATCGAAATGGAGAAAATGTAATAATTTAAGATCTATATTTTAAATTTATAAAGCAAACTGATTTAATGCCAATTGGATAGTAGAAATTAATAATTAAAGAGAAAAACAGGATGAAAAAGAGAAAAAAAGAAAAGAGAAAAAAAGAAAAGAGAAAAAAAAAAAAAAAAAAAAAATAATTTAAAAAATCAAATTTTGGATAAATCATTAAAATATAGTATGGTTGTTATGGTTGAAACAACTATTGGACTCTATTTTCCGAAACAAAAGAACCTTTTGCAAAATCCCAAGAGTCGTCAGAGATACGACCTCTTAACACAGGGATCTCACTACCAGGAACATAAACGTCTTCGAATAAAATGCTCATTTTGGCTTCAGGAGGAGGAGAGTTATCAGCTTCTTGAACTTGTTGGTCGACGTATTTTCTGGCAGCTTTATCGTAAGCTTTGATTTCGTCTTCAGAAGCAATGTTGAATTCTAGCAATTTGTTTTTAAGACCATTAATTGGGTCATTTGTAGATCTCATGTGTTGGATTTCTTCCCTAGTTCTGTAAGTGGTACCAGGATCGGACATTGAGTGACCACCATATCTATAGGTTTCGAATTCAATTACCAAAGGACCATTGCCGGAGATGGTCCAATCTTTGGCAAACTTGGAGGCCTGGTAAGTAGCTAGAATATCCATTCCATTGACCTTTAAACCTGGAATATATTGACCTCTTTTGTAGTAGTCGGTTAAGGCAGAAGACCTTGCAGCAGAAGTGCCCATACCATACTTGTTATTTTCGCAGCAGTAGACGACTGGCAAGTCAAAGAGCTTAGCCATGTTAAACGACTCAAACACCTGTCCTTGATTAGCAGCACCATCACCGTAAAGGGTGAAGTTGCAGTTTTTTTCGCCTCTGTACTTGTGAGCAAAAGCTAGACCTGTACCCAAAGGAACCTGAGCACCAACAATACCATTACCACCGTAAAAACCCTGAGCATACATGTGCATTGAGCCTCCCTTACCGAAGGAAACACCACATCTACGGCCCATCAATTCACCCAACACTTCTTTAACAGAAGCACCTCTCATGAAGGTGAAACCATGACATCTGTAGGAGGTTATAACAGTATCCTTTTTAGTTATGGCGTTTTCAATACCAACAGCAATGGCCTCTTGACCAATTGATAAATGACAAAACCCTCTGATTTTCTTAGCTTTATATAGGGCATCAGCAGCCATTTCCATTCTTCTGATGATGATCATGTCTTTATACATTTGTAGTAAAGTTGTTTTCTCGGTGGTAAAAGTTAAATCTGGGCCTTCCAACTCGTAACCTTCGAAAGAAGTTGGAGGCAAAGTGATGTTGACTAAATCATCGCCATCGGTGGTTTTGGCTTCAATTGTAGCATAATTACGGTTGAGGCATGAAGGAGATTTTCTTAAGACAGTAAAAGCTGAAACAAGATTTGGCAATCTTCTTAAGGGATTTGTTACAGTTCTAAGCATGGTGGTGGATAGATAAGGAGATGAGAAGAATAGGGAGACAGACGCAGTGTGAACTAGACAGAAAGGAAATGGGTAGAGAGGAAAAGAGAATTGAGTTGAGCGAAATGAGAAGAGTTAGGTCAAATGAATCAGACGAAATCGAAGAGCAGCCAGATATATTCTGATATATTCTGATATATTCTGATATATTCTGATCGATAGTGCAGAGGGATATATAACAAAGTGCGATCTCAACAAAAGGATAACAAAAGGATAAAGCAGTGGATATCCCCAGCCGGAACCCCAATCAGTGATAGCGGTGTTTGTTGCGATGGAAAGAGATTCGATATTGATGTTTTGCATGGGGGATTTACCCGACCGGCATCGCCAGTTCCGGATCGTGCAGGGATAGCCGCGCTTGGTTCGCGCAGAACAGCGAAAAGCGCTCACTCTCTCCCGTTTCGATGGTCACAGTGGAGACTGCAATCACCAGACGGTTTTTCCGTGCGCCGGCAGCGGTCTCCGCAAATATCCGCAGGGCTCTATTGGCCGCGAGCCCTTGAAACATACACGTGGTATGCACATGCGGTGGAAAACATCCAAACAGGAACAAACGTGCCCGGGCTTCCAACCGCTGCTTGGCTGGATACCCTGTTGCGGGCTCATACGCCGTGTGCTGCGGAAGCAACGCCGCTGGCATGGACTGCTTCTTTTAGTATGGGTGTAGGGTTTGTGGGCCGGAGCTGAAATTCAGGATCCCACATCCACGCTCCTACCCATGGAAAACACCTTTGGGCTATCATTTTTCATTATATTGATTTCGTCAACTGAAGGTTTTCTCCCAGATATTATCTTGTTTATATTATACTAGCTTGATTCACTTTTCAAAGCATCTCTGCCGCAAGATTATCACCACAAACAAAGTTCTGAATTTTCTAATTTTCAAAGTTTTGTTTTAGAGAGCTCCAGAGATATCGTAGAATATAATTCACACTTTATAAATCATACAAACAATAATAATAACATAATACAAAATGAGTGAAATTGATCAAGTCGAAGCTGAAGAACAATACGAAGAAATTGTTGACGATGTTGTTGAAGAAGTTAAATTCGTTGAATTAGCCACCAGAATCCCAACTGAAGTCCAAGCTGCTCAACAACAAATTCGTTTATTCAACAAATGGACCTACGAAGATGTCACCGTCAAGGACATCTCATTGACTGATTATATTCAAATAAGATCCCCTGTTTTTGTTTCTCACACTGCTGGTCGTTATGCTTCAAAAAGATTCAGAAAAGCCAACTGTCCAATCATTGAAAGATTAACAAATTCTTTAATGATGAACGGTAGAAACAATGGTAAAAAATTAAAAGCTGTCAGAATTATTAAACATGCTTTAGAAATCATCCATGTTTTAACTGACCAAAACCCATTGCAAGTTATTGTTGATGCTATTGTTAACACTGGTCCAAGAGAAGATTCGACAAGAACTGGTTCTGCTGGTAACGTCAGAAGAACCGCTGTTGATGTCTCCCCATTAAGAAGAGTCAATCAAGCTATTGCTTTATTAACCATTGGTGCAAGAGAAGCCTCTTTCAGAAACATTAAAACTATTGCTGAATGTTTGGCTGAAGAATTAATCAATGCTGCTAAAGGTTCCTCAACTTCCTACGCCATCAAAAAGAAAGATGAAATAGAACGTGTTGCTAAATCTAACCGTTAAGTTCTCTTTTTACATATATTTTTTAATAAATTATCTGTAATTTTTAACATTTCAATTATTTTAATTTTAAATTTCGAATTTCAAATTCAATTTAATTTTAATTCTAATTCTAATTTTTAATTATCTAAAAAAATAAAAATATTAAAAAAGTCAATTTTAAAATCTATCATCTATTCTTCAATTTCTACTTTTCCTTTGTAAATTACAATCCAATTTATAATCAAACAAACAAACAAAAAAAATGAAAAACAGTAAAAACGAAAAAAAAAAAAGTATATATATATATAAATATCCAAATGTAAAAATATCCTCTTTTAATCAATAATACAACACCCTTATGTTCCATTTCATTCTCTTTTAACTTTTATCACTTTTCAGTTGAAAAGTTCCTCTCCTAATCGATTAAATTCATTCAATGCGCTTTCAATATTGTAAAATCTATTTTCAAAAATATCTCTATATTTTATATCATTCATTTGGTTCATTAAATTTAAATCCTCACAAATTATAATCTTATTGTTTTTTCTATTCCAGTTCTCTTTTAAACCCAAATCACCATCATCATTGATACTTCCATCTCTATTTCCATTCATTTCCTTAGTCATATCTTGACTATCTAACCCTCTTTTAAACTTCAACTTTCTTTCATCTCTATTCTCACTAAAATATACTTTGAAAAAAATATCTTTAATTACTTTCCGGATTTTTTCAATCATTATGTGGTTTTTACTTTTATTTTCGTTCAATTGGCTTAAATTCATCTTATACTCTTTTTTCAATTTTTGTAAAAGCCAAAGCCCAACAAATGGATAGTCTTTTTGTTTAACTATTCCCGCAATAATTATTTTCAATACATTGCTATGATCAAAAACTTTTTCTTGAATAACTTTAATAGAAATTTTCTTATTCTGAAGATAATTTACCAACCAACATATAAAGATTTCCAACTCACAAAAAGATGAAAATGAATAAGTATAATTTGCTAAAATCTTCTTCCAAATCAAAAGCATCATAGAAATTTCTTCTTTGTTAAGTCTATCAAATCTCGCGTCATCAAGAATTTTAATAAACAAGTCAACAATATATTTTAAAAATTCTTTATGATTTCGAAATGTCACATTCGTAAAATTCTTATATTTTTCCTCATTAAACATTTGATGATTATATAAAAGATAGTTGAACAAAATAAAAATATTTTTAAATTTTATTTCACCCTCAATTTTACCATCAACAACATCATTGAAAACTTTCTTACTGTCTTGTAGTCTTGAGGATTGGTTTTCAATAAAGGATTCTAATATTATACTAATTGCTTCAGAAAATTTTTTAGTTTTTGTGTAGTAGTAGAGTCGTACATTATCAAATTTTTTATATTCCAGCGCATTTATTAGCTCCTCATGATTCAATTTTTCAAAAATTTTAAGAATCAATTTAACATTAGCAAACTTAGCGGCTATAACACTTTCCATCGTTTTAGCATCCTGAATTAAATCCTTATCAGACCGTTTATAAAACTTATTTTGTGCTGGTGAAAGAAGATTTTTACTTTTTAACGAATAATTCAACTTGCCAATTCCATGGTTAGCTTTGAAATTGCTTTTCTCAAAATCAAAATTAGAAAAACCATAAATATAATTGTTACAAATCTGAAACATGTAACTCAATATTGTTTTCCTCATGATCATTATTTTTTTGGGATCTGTCTCATTAATAGTTCCATTGTGAATTTTTAGCAATAAAGTGCTGAACTTGAACAAAAGCTTTAAAACCAATTGAAAAGTTTTTTCCGAGTATTGGTTTTCGGAAGCTTCTAAAGACAAAGAAAAAAAAATATCTTTATAAGTGCCTATTTTAATATAGCAACCAATGAACTGAGGAGACAATATATTCGAATCTTGAAAAGACTTTTCAAATCGTTCAAAAATACTATCAATTGGAAATGAAGAAATGTACTTGTTAAATAGTTGAACAATTTCAAGAAATAAAGCAAACCTTTTATTTTTCTCAGTCACTTTATATTTATCAAGCTTCTTTAATAACAATTTGAATTTTATGTCGTAAATCAAATAACTTGAATCAGATAAAAAAAAAAATGGCATAGGTGAGCTTTTATCAATCTTTTGTATTGAAAATAAATCTGCACAAAATCCGTTGAAAAGTAGATCAATTTTCTTAATTGGAATAATTGAGCAATGAAAATAAACATTGTTCCAAAAACTTATTTGGTTTTTTAAATAAATTGATGAATAGACATGATTTAATGATAAACAACTTAAAAAATGCTCAAGATTTTCTAAAGGATAAGAGGATTGGTTAATTAAAGATAATATTCTATATGATGTTGATTTTTGCAACCAAAGGTGTGTAAAGTGGTTTTCAGATGGTTTTTTTCTAATGTTAGAATTAATGATATATGATAAATTTTTTTGATTTCGAAATAAAAGATTGAAAAAAGCATCTACATAGTTTTTATGCACAGATGAATTGATTTTTTCTTTAAGCTTTTCCGAGGTTAGGTGGTCTAAAATTGGTTCTAAATAAGAGCTATTTGGTGGTAGATCATTATTTGAAAATAAAAAGAGATTGTAGTCCAATATAAGTAAAGGAGAAAAATGATTTCTATTCAAATTGTTAAATGGCAGAGAATATTTAATAAAAAAACAAATCAAGTGTTTGTAAAACCCCTGACCGGCAGCTGTGAAGTTTAATGATTTATATAGATCATATAGTACATGCAAAGAGGAGTACTGTACGTTTGATGTCTTTAAATTATTATTGACATTATGGTTATGATTATTTTTATTTTTATTTTTATTATCATTATCATTATCATTTTGAGTTTCAGATGATTTAGTAAAAAAATAATCGAGAATAGATGATTTGAAAGAAGAATCATCATTTTCTTGGTTTATGGTTGAAGAAGTGTTATTTTGATTGAAATCTGGCTTGAGTTGAATGTAATTATATTCTTCATTTAAGAAAGCCGATTTGATTATGATTTCCCAATTTATTGTTGAAGGATCAACTAATGTAAATATTTGTGAATGAATTTGATATGCTAGATCCAAATTTAAAGATATAAAACATGAAGAAAGAAATAAATTATAAATATCATTTCTGAAATAAGTTATTTTTTCTAATTTTAAATTTCTCAAATCTTTTTCTTTTTTTTTTTCTTGATCTGAAATTTGGGATTTACTTGAATGCAGATGATTAGGTAAAGATTGGATTTTTGTTAAAACATTGTTGTTAAAGAAGTAACTCTTGGTCAAAAAGTTAAAACAGTTGAGGATAAGAGAATCTGTGAATGATAATTTTATAGTAAAAGCAACAAAGAGTTTAAATTCATTCAAATCTAAATTATTTGACATTAAATTTTCAAAAAGATCATCATAATCATGATTACTCAAACAAAAATCATCCCATAAACTTTGAAATTTATTAGAGTTTTTACCATCAAAAAATGGGAAATTTAAAAGATTTCGATATAAATTAAAAGGCAAAACCATAGGATTTTGATTGGGGTTTGGATTCGTAGCAGCTACTTTCTTTAAATTAGCTTCACATGCTTTCTTGTAATTTTCTAGCAAAACAACTCTATAAGTTTGTGGAACAAGAAAGGCCTTGTTTTTGGAAAAAATTTTCAATTTTTTATTAATCAAGATAGGAATTAAATTTAGCTCTTTATTTTTATCCGAGAAGCTCTGAGTTGGACTGCTTTTGCTATTAGAACGAGAGACATATGATAGAGTATGAAAGGTGGATACAACCGTTTTTTGCAGAGAGACAAGAGAAAGGAAAAAAGTGTAATAAGTGATTCTGAAAGAGCCATATTTCAAGAATAAATTTCTTTGCATTCTTCACTTATTGTGAGCATTGTGAGGAAACTTTGGTGTTGTCGAAGAATATCTCTAAATTTTTCAGTCACTTCCGTTGTTTTCTGAAGATATAATAACATTTCCAGCCTATCACGTTCTGCATGAAATATATCCAGATAAGAGGAACTTTGTGGATGACCTGCAAAAGACACAGATAAGTACACAATAGTACGTCAAACCACCAGTCTGGATAAATCTTGCAATTACCTAATCTACTAACATTAGCTCATTTCTCACTAATCTGAATCACGTGTTAGACACTGCTGAATAATGCACATCTTCTCATTAGCTGCGTGTTTCTTTCGAACCGTGAATGTGGTTTTTGTGCTCTTTGCTCCCGAGTCAAAGGGTGGTGGCCCGAGTCATAAAAAGCCGGTGCTTCAGATTCGCTTCCTGTGTGTCAAAATCCTATCTGGAGCTGATTGATCAATAGATGAGTCGACATTGTTGGTGTCGCTAGGTCGCATTTTCCTGATATCGCTGCTTCTTGGGTATTTTATTGTATTGCATTCTATTTTTTGTTCATTGTGCTGGCTTTTCGTTGCTGCCCTCAAATTCACTATTCCATGACAATGTTCATCCCTTCAAAGTCACTTCCTCATTTTCTCCCAAAGGCCTCCCACCCTTCTATCAGATTGATAAGTTCCTCGCCTGTGAAGAACAGTCTCAATACTTTGGCTGATGTTCCTGTTTCGAAGTTCAATTCTTCTGATCCGATACCAATTGCTACTGATGCGATCGAAAAATCGAGAAGAACAAGGGATTTTTCAAGAAAACTAAATGATGGCCCATCATTTGATGATTTTTTAAAGGGAACTGCTTCTTCCTTTTATTTGGATCCTATAGAGAAAGCAAGGGCTTTGAATTTATCTGAAAATGTCAATAAGTTAAATAAGCTTCCTAAATGGTTAAAGGTGCCCATTCCAAAAGGCAAAAACTTTACCAAAGTTAAGAACGATATTAAAGAATTAAAACTATCAACTGTTTGTGTTGAGGCCAAATGTCCCAACATAGGTGAATGTTGGGGTGGTGGCTCTTCCAAAACGAGCACTGCAACAATAATGCTTATGGGGGATACATGTACCAGAGGTTGTAGATTTTGTTCCGTTAAGACTAATAGAGCTCCAAGTTCTTTGGATCAAAACGAACCTGATAACGTTAGTGAGGCAATCTCCAGATGGGGACTTGGTTATGTTGTTTTAACTACTGTTGATAGAGATGATTTGCCCGATGGAGGTGCTTCCCACTTGATTAAAACTATTCAATTAACTAAACAGAGATCACTAATAAAAAACAATAAAGAAATTCTTATTGAATGTCTTAGTGGAGACTTTCAAGGAGATTTGCTTCAAGTCCAAAAAATGGCGCTATCAGGTTTGGATGTGTACTCCCACAACTTAGAAACTGTTGAAGAACTCACTCCCTTTGTCAGAGACAGAAGAGCAACATATAGGCAATCCTTATCGGTACTAAATCATGCTAAATCATCAAATCCAAACATTATAACAAAAACATCTTTAATGTTGGGTTTGGGTGAGTCTGATGCTCAAATTAGGCAAACTTTATCCGATTTGAAGGACATCAAATGTGATATTGTTACTTTTGGTCAATATATGAGACCAACAAAAAGACACATGAAAGTTGTTGATTATATAAAACCTGAAAAATTTGAATACTGGAAAACAGTTGCTGAAGATGAATATGGCTTTCTATTATGTTCTTCTGGTCCCTTAGTTAGAAGTAGTTATAGAGCTGGTGAATTTTTTATTGAAAATGTATTAAGAAAAAGAAAATTGGAATCTAATTCAAGATTTAATTCCCATAATTTATCTAATAAACTATAATATCAATCATTTAAACTGTAATAATTCAAATTATAAATGAATCTATATAAATTTATTTAAATTACTCTCCTATAAAATAAGTCAATCAAATTAATCTAGGATAATTAATAATTCCATAAATGATATATTCAATTCTTTATTTCTTTTTCTTTTTCTTTTTCTTCAACATCTTATTTTTCTTTTCCTCTTTTATTAGAACAAATAGATATATTGCATAAAGTTGTTATAATCACTCGCTAAGACCTCTTTATTTCTTCCTTCAATTTTTAACTTTCAAGTTTTATAATTTCCTAAGATTTAATCCAGTCCATCCTCTAATAATTATAATTTTCTATCTTCAGATTTCATTTAATAGCGTAATTAAGGTTTTCCAACCAGGCTTATCCAAAAGTGTATAAATATCTAACATATCATCCTTAACAATAACTTTAACAATCAAATCCTTCTCTTCTTCATTTAAAACTCCCAATGTAAACAAATATCCCAATAGATGGAAATCAGATAAATACTTTATATATTCTTCACTATTTTCAAAACCTTTAATACCCAAATGCCTTTTAACAGAACTAATATCCTGTGATGCACCCATTGAAGATCTATTTTCAATTGGAAATATTTTCTCACATTTAAATAATGGTTTAGGAGCTTGAGGAAAACCATGACTTAGTGTGACTAAAAGAAAATCAACTGGAAATGCAGGTTTAGCATTTTTTTTCACCAAAATATTATATTCATTTCTCATTCTGTAAAAGATTTCTGGTACATATCTTTCGGAATTGGTGTCATTGATGTATGCCATTGAGGGATGAGATGACCCGCATATTATATCAGCTTCAACTAATGCTTCAGCATCTTGTGAAACTTGATAAGATGATATATCAATATCTCCCTTTTCATTACCAGATATAACACAAGTCACAAACTTGGAGGAAAATCTACCAGAATCTGACCATTTGCAAGGGTTTTTGTTTTTATTTTGTAAAGTTGCAGCTAGTATAACTTCCAATGAAGATAAGAAAAATGTATCTTTATTTCGTTTACAGAAAACAGTGCCATCGTTATTACCTGCATCAGTTAAATCAGTGAAAATCATACCAATTTTTTGTAGCCCGAATTTTTTGGCTAAAGAATCAATTTTTGTCTCATTTTCCCAATTTATATCAACAATTAGCCCATCGTCTTCATTTTGTTGTGTTGGTTCATAAATGACTTGAACAACACCTTTAACACCTAAAGGGACTTCTTCATATTCTTCATAAGTACCGTATAAATATCCAAATCTTTGTTTGCCTGTTATTCTCCAACTTTCAATAAAATTATTAACTATTTGAGAATGTGCAAATTCCAAATGGTCTACTAAACGAAACTCTTGTTGTTGTAAAGTTATGGCAGACGGTTGACATTTGGAGCAAATACCCTTTGGCCATGGTAGATGACCATTTCTGCAATTTTTGTCAACAATGAAAGAAGATTCATTAATTGGAGAGATATATGATGCAGAAGAAGACTTCTTATTGGTAGACTCATTCGATTGTTTAATAAAAGATTGAAAAGACATGTGCTTAATGGCATGTTCTTCCCTATATTGCTTATCCCAAGGAGGCAAGGGGGAACAATACTCACACATCCCTTTATCAGAATGTCTACAAAATGTTGAACGCTTTCTCTTTATGTAGCCATCCACCTTGTCATATTTATCGTCGATTGGTAATTGTTCAACAGGTTTCGGGCCTGATATATTATTATTTGGTAGAGATGATTTCATAGCTGGTGATGTGGAAGACAGAGTGGATTGGTCATCTGTTGTGGAATAAGATAGATATAATAAGGAACCATGTCTAAAATAAAAACAAAAGGTTAGAAATTGCCAAAATAACAATAAATATTGGAAAAACATATAGTTAAAGAAAAATAAACATACTTTAAACCCAATTGAGAACAGGTTTTTTCTGATAAACTTGAAATGGAAATCTCATCTGATGTTGGCTTTTCAGATAGTTCCAAAGAAGAGAAATCAACATTTTTAGGTAATTTTGGTGACAACTGTTCCAAGACAGACAATAAATGTTGATCTTCTTTAGCTTCTACTCTAAGCATACCAACCTTGGTTCTAAAACGTAAAATCTGATTAACAATTTTCGAAAAACATTTCCAATTTTTGTTAGTGAACAAAATACTTCCAATAATCCACAGAACCAATTTGCCTCTTTGAAAAATGAGGTGAACAATAACAGTTCCGGCAAATAACATACCATTTTGAAAGCAGTGTTTCGGTTAAACAACAAAAGTATAAACTAGATGATTCTTAAAAAACTTGACTAGAAAACAGATTCTTGTGCCCCTGAGATGTTGATAGTTGCTGAGAGAGAAGCAAAAGCAGTTGAAGCTTGTGTGGAAATAGACTCGTGTTGCGGGCAGAACCAGCTGGATGGTACTGGCACTGCTGAGTCAGCTAAGCGTGCTTCTTTTTCTTCAGCTCCAACGACGTTGTGGATAGAGATTGGATACCCATGAAAGAAGAGCAGCTTCAAGCACTGAGCCCAAGAGACTTTTTCTAACGAAAAGCGTTTAGGAAACAGCGAGAATTCTAGTTCAATGCCAGCTTCCTATACCTGAAGTACTAACACATTCATATCTCAGGCAATATTACACGCTCGCTTTGCGAAATGCTGTCAATAATATTAAAGTATCAACTAAATATCTTTTGATCATTTAAGTCAAATTCAGAAAAAACGAGCTATTTTTGATTTATACTAGTAACTATATTCATAATAAAGATATGTAGTTTTTGAAAAGCTGTTGTAAGGCCTATTGTAAATCTTCCTGTTCAATTGCAATTATTGTGCATAAAAATGCATAAAAATGCACATTGTACAGATATTTATCCGATAGTGTACATATCCGGATAAACACTTATTGTTAATAAATACCCTTTTCTTCAGAATGTATGTTTATTATGGAGGACTGATATCGATTGATTTGATCTTAATGCTATCAAGAACTGGATCTGAAGACTGAAGACTGGTTTATCTGTTGAATAAGAACTGTCTTTTTGAGAAATTGTCACTACAAGTGTCTTGTAGTGGGTTGGGTTTGTAGACTTAGTAACAATACACCATCATGTCATCAAAGTATGTTGGCATTGTCCTTCAATTGCAGCTGAAGAGGTCGTTGATGAAAAGAAACTGTAATATGTAGAGCTAACGCAGCTGAGACTATGGATTCAACAACTGGTCTGATATTTCTGGGGTATCATTCATAGATTAGTGGAAGCTCCTGAAGTATCAACTGAAGATATATTGATACACAGATATTGATACAACTTATTGATCGAACTGAATAATATTTTTGACCATCAATTCTTTTTTTGTTATAGAGTAAAACAAAATCATGAATTTTAGCTTTCTATTTATTTCTTATCATGAAATTTTATTTGAATATACTTTCTAACCTCATTTTGATCAAGTCTAGCACATAAACTAACTCACAATAACCATCACGGATTCTAGAAAGTATAAATAAGTCATATATCTTCTTTATTCAGTATTCTAAAAAGTTATTTTGGTTAGTTTGATTCAAAAAAAGCATTTCAAGTTTTTTGGGGCTTTTTTTATATCCTTTCCCCTTCCAATTGTCAAAAATAGTTTATATGTTCTAATCAAAATACCATTAAGTGTGAAAAGTTAATCACTAAATAATTATCATCTTTCGGGCTAGACTTCATATAAATACTGAAAATAGTATGAATTTAAAGTTGAAAAAATTAATTTATTATTGTTCAAATAATACTCTCAATGATACTTATTTATTTAAATTCAAATAATATTATAAATTTATGGTTATTAAAACACTGGCAAAATATTTCGTTGCCATACATTTTAATATAAATCTGCTTCCGAGGCCATCTCGGCTTATAGCTAATCAACTAAAAGCTATGAAAAATACTATATTTACCTCATACTTTTTTTAATAAATGTCAGTTTGATCAATGTTAAATATTACTATTCTGAAATAAAAATGAAATACTCACAATTTTGTATTTGAAATAAACCATTACAGCTTTAGTACGCTTTTTTTTTGGCTTTACAATAAGTGATTTGAAGACTCAATTTGAAGATTCGATTTGAAGATTCAATTTTGGATATTAATTTTAATCAGATTCAAACCATAGTTATATTAAAATCCTGGAACAGATAAGGTATTATTTACTAAAAAAATCGCATAAAAAATTAATTCAGTACTATTTATGAATCAATAAAGAAAAAAAAGTTATAAAAATTTATTGACCAAATTTCAATCAATTGAAAAAGTTGAGAAAATTACAATAAATGGTAGCATATTTGGTATACTAACTGTCGGAAACATTATTAGAATCACTGTCAGAAATATCACTATTATTGCCGGCATAATTATCAAAATAGTGAGCAGTGCTATGGTCAACACTATAGTTAGTAAAATAGCTAATAGGAGTACCAATGGGCATGGACATACTAAAAGGAGGAAGACTAATAGAACCATAAATAGGGAAACTTATAGGATAATGAATAGGAAGACTAATAGGAAGAGTAAAAGGAAGACTAATGTGAGCACGAATAGGAAAACCAAAAGAGTTAGAATAAGGACCAACAAAACTATCACAAAAAACTACCAAAATTTACACAAAAATCATTACGACAAAAAGATGTAATTGGTTTCAAAAGATCACTCGCATAAAGTACGACAAATTGATGGGCTTTGTAATCAACACCAACGTACATAGGAATAGATCTCTTAGAACAGATTCCTCTTTTTATATTAACATAATCACCAATATAAATAAAATATGTGCCTATATGTCCATGCTATGAAAAAAATAATTTTTGGTTAACTTGTTTGAAACTGTAGGGGTTGATTGGAAGTGATCGAGATAAAGGTTAGGAAAAATTTTTTTAAACCACAGGATATAAATAATTTAATCTTGATTGGGCTTCTGAGCAAAATCCGTATAAAGGCAAAGTGTGAATAATAATGTGATACTTAATATTTTTGAAATATGAAGTTAAATAATCACAGGAAAAACAACAAAATTTTTTATTAGATTTATAAAATCCCTGGTCATTAGATGTATGATTTAATGAAATTGAAATTTTATCTTCAGACCTAGTGGTTTTGATGTTTCTGCTGTTAAGTTTAACCATCTTTAAATAATGAGCCATTAGAAATATTTTGGTGCAATTCAATATAAAAAAAAAGAGGGAGATTTTGCAATATTTATAGACAAAATAGATAAGGAGAAATTTAAAACCATTTGAACTAGCAGAGAAACAATTTGAAAAAACAAAAGAAAATATCTATGCTTTTTATCTGTTAAAATGTTTCACTTTTGATTTTCTTATTTTTTGTTCTTTTTCTAAGAAAAAGAAAATTAATCAATCAAAGAAAAACCTAGCAAGATTTAATGGCTAGTCCAATAAAAACATTTGCCTCTAGCTTTGAATTCTAAAACCTCATAAGAAAATGAATTTTCTAATATCATTTAATTAAATACAATAAAACCGATTATCCTAATCACCATAACCAAATTATTGATAAACAAAGTACAGAATTCATATCAATTTTCTAGTCCATAAACTGCAACAGAAAAACAAGATAAACCTTAGATAAATAACCTGTAAATTAATAAGTTTTGTATAAATAAACCTTGTATAAATAGGTTCCTCCTAATTAAGTTTCAGTGAAATAGTCCTTATTGAATTAATTACTCTAGTAATTTTTAATTGATAATAATACCCAAAAATAATTATAAAACATGTAAAATATCCCAAATACAATTTTATGAGACAAGTAAAAGAAAACAAACTTTCTCTGAAATGAATGTATCAACAATAATTTTAAATGATAGGTCGAAAAACACTGAATCAACAAAACAAACTCAGAGAAATTAATCAAAATAAACTGTTTCGCAAAAGTTGATTGATGAAAACTAGCCCAAAACTAGCCCAAAACTAGCTCAAAAATGTTATTTAATTTATTTTGAGTTGGCATTGTGATTGAAAACCAAAAAAATTTTAGCATATTTAATCTGTTTAAACACAAATGAAAAAAAGGCAAAAAATTTAATCAATTGCTAAATTTGCATGATAAAAGCATAAATAAATATCTTTTCTGACTCACTTTGAATATAATAATATCAATTTGGACACAAAAATACTCCGCAGTTAAATCAACAGAAACCGACTTTGACATATAAAATGGATATTGAAATGCTTAATCTAATACCTCAAAGTAACCACCCAATTTGCATTCAGTTTCCCCATAAACATTTTAGCTTCAATAAACAACCAAAAGTTGTTTTGAAAATCTCACTGCTAAGTTACAAAATATGCTCGGATTACTCCACTAGTGGCTAAAACCATCATTGATTTGTAAGCTTTGGTGTTTTCTTTTGTTTATTCCATCTGGTCCAACAAGCATTAAGATAAAATACAGCTTCTATATCAAGCACTAATAAATTGAAAAATCCATATCAACTATTAACCTTAGATTACCCAAGTTGATGTTAATGACAAAATGTTTTGCTAAGTAACTTTATTCGGGTCAGGAAAATAAAATAAGTATTGATTAATCAAAAAGATTTTTAGTTCTCGCTGGATGACAGAATTCGTCGTAATATATGCCCTATGGTAAAAGGTGTGGTTTCAGTTAATTATTCCAATAGCTCACTTTAACCGAATTGTTGGAGAATTTCAATGGGTTTAGTTATTTCATCAAATGATATTAATTTGAAAAAAAAAAAAATTAATAATATAGCAAAACCATCTTCAATTAATTTCTTGGTTTTCTCAGGTACTTGGGCTTTTTGAGTTTATAATTTTGGATATTATTATGATAATCATTATTAATATGATGCTGAACCAGAATCTTGTCGATTGAATAGGTAAAACATTGAGAACTTGCAAATTAGAGCTTTAATTATATTTTGAAAAATTGAATGAAATCATGATAGACAATGAATTGAATACTAATTTTGTTTCAGCTGATGGTGAATCATATAAAGGGATTATTCATAAAATCCAACAAATTACTATGTATCCATATCAAAAAGCAAAAATATCTAAGGTAAAAATGTGTGTTATTTTTAAGATTAATTAACAATTATTGCAGCAAAAGTATTATTTTTTTTTTAAATTTTTAGATTTTGGAGAAATGTAACCCTTGGAACCAGTTATAATGAATTAATTCCACCTAGTAAGTAATTTTTTGTTTTTAAAATAGAAAAACTAAGGAAACTAAAACAATTGATTTTTTGATCAAAACAGAATAATTTTTCTGAAATCAATAATAAACAACAGTGCCACAAAGATTACTACTAAATTGGTTATTACTATCAATATAAATTTGAGTTTTTTCTAGATAAACCTTCAGAGAATGACTCAAAATAGATCAACAATAATTTGAACTTGAAATTGGGCTTAAGATTGAATTTGAAATTGTTTTTTAATATTAACAGCAAGTAATCAAACCGTTAGATTGATTTTGTTGTCAAAAAAATACAACAGAAAAACGTAATTATTTCCATTTGCTAAAAAAATTGTTAGTATTTATAAGCCTGAATGTTCAGTATTTGACAAAGAATACATTCTATTGAACAGCAGCAACTATTTGAGATAATATGGTAACATCAAAAAAGATAAAGCACATATTATTCATCCAGCTGGCAAAAAATGGAGTGAAGGAGCCCATGCTTTGATGTGAAATTTGTCTAAACTGGCTGATATTGGCTTTAGAGTAACATATTATTGATAAATAGCACAGTTCTGTGTTTAAATATATTCTCAAAGGTATAATTCAATTTGATGACATCAAGATTGTTATCAAACCAGTATTTCTTGTTTTATTTTCCTTAATCTGATGGCTAAAGTGAGAAAAAACCACCATTGGAAAACGATAGTATCTGCTTTTTTCTCTATATTTGTTCTGGTCAACAGATTCATGGGCATTTTTAAAAAAGGAACTGCAGGAGAGCGAAGTGAAATATATCTTATTGGAGAATATTGATTTCTGTGACTAGCTTTTAATCCTGTTATTGGAGATATTTTGAGGATTGCAATTATTGCTTTGGGCGTGAAGAATAAAATCGGCAGAAGGTCTTCATTCTCATCACAATCACAGTAACTCGAGATCAAATTGACAACTATATTCGATAGCACACTTTTATCTATTTTGCGTTGGATTTTATGTCTATTGAGTATGCCTTTACTAGGTTTATATTTACAATTGCTCGGAGTCTGAAAATATATAAAGTTTTCTCACGAAGTTGAAATAGTCTTGAGCTGTGTTGGACTATTATCTATTCTTTATCTTTCACAACATTTCAAATCTAAATAATGTATCTTATACAAACCATTAAGAATTTTAGAATATAGCTTTGATCAAACTGCTCTCCCGGTTGATTTTAGAAATTTGGCCAAATATTCCATGTCTTCATTATGGCGTTTTTGCCACTCGATTCAAGATCTATCTGGTAATCCGGCAATTTGATAATTTGACAGTTTGAGCTATAATAGAGTAGCTCCCAAATCTATGAAGTTAGGGAGGTTTTATTATTGTGCTTTTAATTGGGCGTTGAAATCAATCTTCACAAAATAATCTGAACCTAAAACTTGAAATTTTCATTTCAAGCAAAATTGATGATCAAAATGAATATACTATTTTCAATGGTTTTTGATCATCTGAAAGCAGAAAATGAATGTGAATCTTTGATGGAACATATAGCAAATATAAAAATATATCTGAACCACATTTCCAAATTCAGTGCCAGCACAAACTAGACAAATAAAGCGGGTCATATTTTTGTTTCTACACAATAAAATTTGCAGACAGATAATTAGGTTTTAGAAGCTAGACAAAAGTCATTTCAAAATTGTGCAGAGACACTGTATTTTGAGAGCAATATATTGAAATATCGCTAGACTGCTTTTCGAACCAACAGTTTAGAGCCAAAAGTTGTAAAAATTCCCAAATAAAGCAGAAACAGCAGTATTTCTCACACTTTGAGCAGCACAAACAACAAATCCTGCTTATAAACACAAGATGTTGGGGCAAAATGGGATGGTCGGAATACCCTCGGCAATCGTAAATAAACTGCTTGTAATTAGCAGCCGCTGATGCATGTGTATGCGAGTTTTCACGTGTAAATTAAACTGGTATTTATTTTGCATGTTTCTATAGAACAGACACCAAGAAAGACCTATTGGGGTCTGATTGTGCAATAAAATGAAAACTACTTGAATCAAATCAATGCTTTATCAAGAGCACCATTTGTGCCTACTCTTCTTCGCTGATCTTGCTAATGGTTCCTTGCTGTCTGGTCTCCCCATTTACGCCCACTATCAAGATCTTGTCCAACAGAGTGTGGTTATCCTCATCCTCACCATCGATAAAAACATTGAGTGACTTACAATTCTGAAATTTAACATACTTGAGTTTGGCAACATACCATTCTTCTGTTTCTTCATCATCTCCGCTGACTTTGATCCACTTGTCTTCATCTAGCTCTTCTAGATGCTGGAAATTGGTTAAGGAATCCGCATCTTCAAAGGACAACATGTTGGGCAAGTTGTTCCATATTTTCAATTTTTTAGGTTTTTGCAATTCATCATATTCCAAATCTTCTAACTCATCCCCCTCATTTGATTCCTCGATGGTCTTGGATATTGGTTTGAATCTGACCAACACCGAATGAATTTTCGATATGTTTTGGAAAGGAATAAACATATTTATTTGCGAGTCTGCATCAGAAATAACGCTAGAATATTTCACTTCTTTGTTGTCGTCAACCAATTTCAATAGGTTTCTAACTTTTGATTTATTCTTGACCAATGCTAAGACATTCAAAGCTTCAAAATTTGAAAAATCAATCGAGTCATTTAGCACTTCAAAACCCTTTGGAATCAATCCCAATTTATCAGCTTCTCTTATGACTGCATTTTTGCTTGATCCCCTGGCTCTTGAATTTATGTCACCACTTCTTACCGCATTTGGACTCAATTGACTGAATGTCGCAAAGTATGAATTTAATTCTTGAGGATTTGCCCCAGTAATTTGGTTGACTTTATTCTTTTTATAAAAAAATAAAAAGTTTGGGACACTTGTAATCATATATTTGGATGCTAATTGGCTATTTGTATCAAGGTCTACTTTGCAAATTTGAATGTTTTTATAACTCTCACCAAATTGCTCGATAAATGGCTTGATGAATTTGCATGGTCCACACCATGTAGCCGTAAAATACATTGCCACCAATTCGTTTGAATTTAAATACTTTTCAAACTCTGCCTCGCCATTAACCATACAAACATTTCCTGACATTTTCTTCCACTACTACTAGTTCTCGATACGATACAACTACACTTTCAACTTAAAAACCAAAGGATGTATATTACAAGGATACGTTGGACAAATCTCTGCAGAGCTGTTGTTGATGGCGGCGAAACAACTCGGACCAACAGGGCACGTGTATAGAAGGAGACCGCCTGTGGGGGAACCATGTATTTTGCGCACCAAAACCACCAACAGCAACAAAACCACCACAATCAAGACCAATTTCATTCAATGTCAAGTAATTGCCCCATACGAGGCATTTCTTGATCTTCCTTCTCTGCGATGTTCACCTTGTTCATTGGAACTATCAGGAACCATTAGATTTATAATTTCCTGGACATTGATCTGCAAAACAGTTATATTTTGAAAGTATTCATTTTTAAGATCGTTAATATCATGTAGCAGGTTATTTAGCGTCAATGATTGGTTCAAATTATTATTCCGACTGCTGTTAGGCTGTGTATTATTTGTACCATTATCACCATCCACTTCACCTTCACCTTCAGCATTACTCTTTTTTCGGGGGTTAACAATAAACCGAATATAGAATAGAAAGCATTGTAAAATAAATATAATGCTTTCATAAATTAAAAGATACCACTTGGAATCAATTGATATCTGCCCAATTAATTGGAAAGTGTAATGTCCATATAAATAATTATTGTTTTCATCTAAATCAGGCAATGGTTTCGGCAAGTCATAAAAAATGGGATAAATAAAACAATATAAATTGGATAATAAAATTAAATTAAATGCAAATGACTGCTCTTTTGATATATCGTTTATTGTTATCAAAATTTTTTCTTTTAGTACCACAAAATTTATGAGTAATCTGAAAATTAACTTCAAAGCACTTGTATCATAGAGAAAGACTATAGCAATAAAACAAAATGATAGGAGGTCCAAGTTTGAATCTAAATGATTTAATAATATTTTTCTTCTTTTCTTCAATGCTTTGATTAATCTCAAAGTTTCTTCAAAATCAAATGAACCAGAATTGTTAATTGTATCTATTTGTTGTTGTTGATGATGTTGTTGCTGCTGTTGCTGCAAAAATGGATCTGAAGGCAAATTATCATTTACCAGCACACCAGGAAATGAACCAGGCATCATTTCAGCGTTTATAGCATTTGTATTAAATATAATTAATAAACCTTTAAAATTAGAGAATCACCTAGCAATCGAAGCAATGAAACTGTTATCAATCAAAGGAATAGTATCGAAAGTTTGAAATAAGTTTTAAGAAATATAGGAACTGATCAGTTAATCGGATATCTTACAAGTTATCTCTATCAGAGCACGTGCTTATGTATTTTGTTTGATTCTACAACATAAATATCTTAATAAAAATACTATCAATATTAAAATAATTTCAATTCCAATAATATCAAGTCTTTACATTAGAACACAGTTCCAAAAAACCCTTTTATTAAATTAAGTTTATATTAAAAATAAATTTATTACTAAAAACAAATTAATGAGAGTAAGACCAAACATTCTTCAATAAACCATCTCTTTGACATAAACGATTTAATGAGTCATCAGCTTCACCATTGGCTCTGATAAAACCACATAAAGCATAAGTAGTGTTCGAGTTTGGAATAATGTGTCCATCTTCATCAACATTAGCAATGTTGATTTGAACTGAAGAGTGATCTTTAGCTTTAATGATACGATTAGTAGCAGAACATTTACGTGGGATATAAAGTTCGACCTAAATTGAATTGTTAGTTTCACGACTTTTTCACATTGTAAATTCATTTTAATTACAATCAATGCTTTAAATAAACAAAAAAGATTTTTAGAATTGAATGTAACAAAATAATTTTCATTCTCCTTAAAAATTGAGCAAATTTATATATTTCTATGATTCATTAAATCGATTTAATTAAATAAATGTTTTGTTGCCAATTTTTGCTATTTTTTATTTTAAAATAAATAGTGGGTATTATAGAAATCGAAATAAATAAAACTTTCTTTGATTTTTTTAGTTTCTTTGAAATTTTATAAATTAATCGACTCATAAAAAAATAAATCTTTCTGGTCATTGATGGTTTTTAATAAAATAATCTTCTTAAAAATAGTTCTTTTAAAAATAGTTTTCTTTTAAAAATAATTGTTATTCATTTTGAAATATTTTGTCAAAAGTGAAAATCCTAAACCAATTTAAATTCAATCTGACATTAGGTATAAAACTAATTTTTACTATATCTTGAAATACATTTAAACGTTTATAAAATTCAGAGGCCAAAATCTTTAATGTGAAGCAAAATCACAGGTTGCTGGATACATACGAGTTGACCTTTATCGTTTTCCATTTTGAATTATTTGTATATTTTATTATATTAAAAGATATTATACACTCTTGGTAGATGATGAGCTAACAGTCTACTATCCACGCTTCGCATACTCTCCAAAAGTCCAAAAAGCTCCATCAAGGCTATAAATCCACGTGCACATAAAGCGCAAAAGTTCGTCTTCCATCTAGAAAAGAACAGAGTTCGTTTTGGGTTAATAATGTGACTGCTAATACATCGCACATAACCATAGAGTAGACCACGCATTATCTCTGTGTTGAGGTTTTACTTGCAGATGGAGGTTCGAACCTCTGATGTGAGCTATGTCACACAAAATATAAGAAAAATGAATCCGAGATAAGATAAGATAAGATAAGAAACAAAAAGTATATTACAATGGCTGAAAATGAAAAAAAGAATCAAGATAAAAACAAACAAACAAGAAAATGAAAATAAAAATGAAAAGATGTATTTTACCAAAACAAAAGACCCGATTCTATTTTAAAACTAAAATAGCAACACTTTCAACATGATGTGTTTGGGGAAAGAAATCAAACCCTCTTATATTCTCAACAACATAGTTTTTCCCATTTGTAGTACTATTGATGAAAAATTCGATATCCCTGGCTTGAGAATGAACATTACAAGAAATATAAATAATTTTAGCCGGGTTATAATCTGATAATTGATTCAAAAATAATTCATCACAACCTTTTCTTGGAGGATCGAGAATTACTGATGTCTGTTTGGATGGGGTATCAACAGATGCAAATATTTTTTCTGCTTTTCCTGCTATAAATAAAGTGTTTTTGATATTATTCATTTGAGCATTCTTTTCTGCAAACTTCACACTATCTTTGGAAACCTCAACTCCAATCACCCTTTTAACATCTTTTGAAGCAGTTATACTGAATAGCCCAGATCCACAATATGCATCTATAAGATAATTTTCCCCCGTTTTGTTATTCTTTATTTTTAAATTATCACGAACATATCCAGTGACTAATGGTAATATCGAGTTATTGTTTTGAAAGAATTCTCCTGCAGAAAAATTGAAAACAAACCCATTAATGTTCTCAGTTACAATTTGTCTTGTGTCTGTTGTACAACTTTTAATCAAGTGTTGGTTTGAAACTTCATTTTTGGATTTGGTATAAGACAAGTTGCCATTAGAAAGATCTTTTGAGCCATTTTCTTGATTTAAAAAATCGATAAACTTTGGATTATTACTTTCATTACTTTCATTGTTCTCATTATTTTTGATTTCTTGTACCAATTCATTCGGTAAGACTCTCGTATTTTCTCTCAACAAAATTGTTCCACCTTTTCTCTTTGTTTTATAGATTTTTTTAAAATTCTTTCGTTCATTTTTCATTCCTATATTTATGATTTCAGTTCCAATTGAACATTCTTCAATATCCAAAATCGGAAAATTACCTCCAGCAGTTTCTCTAAATTCTGGTCTACCTTTGGATCCAAAACCTAATGTAGGCACAGGAGATGTCTCTGGATTAAATTTCCTTGGAATATCATAATGAGGGGTCAATTTTGTTCTATAAAAGTATTGTAAAGGTGATCCAATTGTATCATCAATTTTAGGAATTTTATTATTTGCTATTAAATTTTTAGCAAAAAATTTGTAAGCATTTTCAATAGTATTTTTTTTGAATATTAGTTGGGAGTTATAATCTAGCTGCTGGTATTGACAACCTGAACATCTACCAAAATATTTGCAATTGATTAGCGAATCATTTCTTAATTTTGATGGTTCAGCAATTTTTAATAGATCAGACTCGCAATATAAAGGATGAGTTTTAAATATTCTAATATTAACAATTTCACCAGGTAAAGCAAAAGGAATTAAAACAACTTGAAACCCATTTTCAATTTCTGGATTTTTGATCAAGGCTAACCCATCACCATTTGAGGTTAATTCTAATACCTTAACGTTTTCGACAACCCTGTTGAATTTCGTAGCCAAATCAGAATTATTCAAAATTTTATTTACATCCGTTGAAATTAATGATTTATCGATATTTCTTTTATTAATTAATTCGTCAATCTCAAGTTGCAAAACTCCAATAGGTGATGTAGATTCTACTTTTTTAGCTCGATATTTTCTCTTTGATTTGGTTGTTTTTTTCAATTCTTGCCTTGGGTTTTTTGCTTCATTCGAAGCATTGTCTATTTGAGTGTTTTTGATTTTACTATTAACATTAATATTATCTTCATTATTAACATTATTATTAACATTATTATTAACATTATTATTAGCATTATTATTATCTTTATTAATGTGATTGCCTGAAAAATTTTCAATGTTGTGTATCCTTTTTCCAACAGGAGAGTTTGATCTTGATAGCTTGGATGTGGTTCTCTTTTTATTATTATCCACTGGATGATCTTTTAATTCTTCGACTGACATTTTTTCCACTTTGTTTACAAACAAATATCCATACAATCTTTTCTGGAGTTGTATTCTTCTAACAAAAGACGCTCTGATTAAACCGCTATTCCCAAGTATACTTTTAGTTGAAAGTAAACTCATAAAAACCTAATATTGATTAATTGAGCTCAACCATCAACAAAAGAGATCAAATCCAAAGTGATAAGAGGAAGAGTGCTATATAAGTGGTCTGCTGAATCTAATCTTAGTATCTTGCAACAGATATCAGTGGAGAAAAGTGTTCCTTTTGGTTTGGGGTTATCAACTGTATTATTAATTCGCTTGATTTTATTGATCAACTGAAGAAAATTTTCAAAAATTATTTGCGCTGTCCGATTTAAGTTTTCTGCTGCAGCAATACGCATGGACACCTGCATGGAGCTGAGAATCAGAAATCAGAAAGAAATAAACCAAATCAGCTTCTCTTGGAGAGTGTTTGGAGGAGTTTTTTTGGATAGGTGTGTTTGATTTTCCCTCAAAAGAGAAAATAGCATTGGCAAATCTGATAGTTAAGATGATCAGCGATTTAGGCACTGACTGGTTGGAAAGAACATCTGAAATACCCAACGAAAAAGCAGAGAAAACACACCTTAAGCAGCTGCTCGACTTGTTACTTTCGTGAAAACACAGATAGAGCCTTGTGGGTCTATCTCTTGTTCCTAAAAACCAAATCAGATATAAGGTAACCATACAACCAACTGATAACTTTTACGCAGCTAAAGTCTTTTTATAGGGTTTTAGTTTCTGTACCGCAGAAATAAGATGTCAAGAGTGTGCTTGCTCACATAAAACATAAAGCTGCTGGCTGCGATTGGTCCTGACCTGAATTTCTCTGAGTAGGTTGCAGCTAAAATGGGTTGGGTGCTAGTCGAGATTGACTTGTATAAACATCTTTGTCTGTTTATGACTTGCCAGTTGGATCAGTTTCTCTTCCTCTCGCATGGTGTATTCTAAGATTTTATTTTCTGATGTTCTTGATTATATCCAAATTCAGGAAATTGTGTTTCCTCTTTGGTGCAGGCAGCCTTGGAATAGTTTGTCTGCTATTTTATACAATCAACAGAAATTGCTATTAAGCTTTACGAAATCAAAAATTATGGTCAAGACCTCTCAATTTGAAAGGAAAAATAAAAATAAAAATAAAAAAGAGTTGTCTGTTTTTGATTCAATCTTAAAATCTCGACTGATTTTTTGCTTGTTCTTAATGGGAGTCTGTTTTATGTTTCTTTAAATTTAGTACTTGGAGTTTTTGTATTTAAATAACGAGTTTCTTCTACTTTTTTTTCAATTGAGTTGTTTCTAATTGTTTTTACTATTTTCCAAGTAACTATCTTATCATCAATTGATTAATATTCATTCGCTCCGATTATTTAAAGGATACTCAAATTACAAAAAAACTTGGATCAATTGTCGAAAATGAAATTTACTAGTGTTTTATTAGGTGCTTTGGCTGCTACTTTAGCTTCTGCTAAATATTCCAATACTACTATCACAGATATTGGCACTACTGTCATCACTGTCACTTCTTGTGAAAGTGTTACAGTCTGCTCCGAGGTTCCAGTTACCACTGGTGTTACTGTCGTTACCACTACCATTCAGGGTACAGTTACTGTTTATACAACCTTTTGCCCATTACCAACAGAGACTTCAGTCCCAACCATTTCTATTCCTGAAGTTGAGACTGCTAATGTTGGTGCCAAAGCTGCTTTCGGTTTAGGTTCTTTTTTTGGTGCAGCTGGTTTACTATTATTATAATAAACGATTTATTTTGAAAGGAGGGTTTTTTAAAGGATTTTTTTATAGGTTCATTAATTTTTGGATTTTAAATTTGTTTGAAGCAAACTTATGGTTTAAAAATAATTTTTTATATACATATTTTTAATTAGACAAATAAAGGGTATTTATAATTTACTTCAAGTGTGCATCTTTAAATAACGAAAGCAGATTTATGCTAGCTGAGTTGAGTAGTTTTTTTTATGTAATAGTTTGTGAATAGTAAAATATAACATTAAAAATCTATATACAGATAAATATATAATTTTAAGATAAATAGGTGAATAGATGAATCGATGAATAGATGAATTAATATTCATTAGAATAATAGGATTTACGAACATCAATGACCTTTTTACCTCTTGCTAAAGCGATTTCTTCCAAAGTTTTTTGTTTTGTTAAGGCTTCTACGAAACCCTTGACGATATTCATACCATTTCTACTTTTGTAGACTTTGCCAGATAAATCTTTAATACCAGCGCATTGGCAGACTTCAAAAATATAATGATTAACTCTTAAACCAAAACCAGGAGAAGCCGATCTTAAGAATAGTTTGACACCATGGTATCGATAATCGATATCACCAAGAATGGTTCTATTTTCGTATCTTGGGATGTATTTCAAATTTTTAGTAGCATTCCACTGAGCCTTTGCCATTGCTCTTGCTATGGTTGTTTTATCTTTACCTTCACCGATACCCACCATACCATTACCATCGCCAATAACACCGAGACAATAGAAAGAAGGGATTTTACCCTTTGCAGTTTGGTTTGAGACTCTTTTTATTATCAAGTTTTTGTAGGTCAACTGGGATATATAATCCTTTGAGTAGCCAGTTAATTGAGATAGTTGTAGGATAGCTTGTTTATTTTGATTTGATATATTACCCTCACCTTGGACAATTTTTGCTTTATGTTCTTCGGGACTTAAGTCCAAGTAGGGAACGTCAGGTTCAGGTAGAGTTTGTTGAGCAGTTGATATATCTACATGGGGTTTATTTGGGTGGTCGTAATAAGGATCCAAGTTTGCTAAATCATCTAGATAGTTTGGAGCAAAACCTGCCATTTGTAGTTTTTTATGTTTCCAATCATTTGGGTCTATTTCAGATTCAGCAATCAAAATTGATTCTAGAATATTTTTAGGGTAATATTTTGCTAAGAATTCAATATGAGATTTTTTGAATTTTGGGGCATAAGGTTTTTGTTGAGGTGGATTTAAATCATTTTCGAAATCCAGAAAGGATATGGATCTTATTTGAGTAGGGTTAAAAAGAGTGGAAGTTATTATGGAGGATTTTCTGAATAATCTCAAGGAATTTCGAAACATTATTTCAGTGTATTATATATGTTATGTGTGTTGCTACTATTATTAGTATGAGCAACAGCAGTACTAGTAGAGGATTAGACTTTTGGTGATGTTATTACAATCTATATCATTGAATGAAGTGAAATTATTGAAATTATAAAATTTTAAAATATAGAAATCACGTGCAAATAAGCTGAGTTGGAAAAGCAAAAAAATAGAAACAAGAGAGGACTAAGCAATAAGAGAAGCAGAGTTAAGTTAGAAAATGGAAAGGGGGATTGAGAGATTAGGAGTGAAGAAGAAATATGGGTATCCCAGTATGAAAAAGAAGATAGAAGTGGAATATAAAGGCAACAATTGATAACTGATAGATAATGGACAACAGATAATATACAATGTATAACAGCTGATAGATGGTATATTGTGGATGGTATATAATATATTGTTGAGTATAGGAGAAGGTTGGATAAAAGAGGAGCGGGAAAGATAGAGAAGACTTAAATAAAAGCAGCAGAAAAGATCAATACTAGGTTGAATAGATTGTTCTTGTTGGCGATTTTGATGGGAATTGGAGCATCGCCGGCGAAAGAAGAGGTAGACACAATGGGAGAGGCAATTGAGGTGGAGGTGGAGGTGGATGAGTTCCAGCCCTTGAACTGGTTGTTGTTGCCGATAAGATTGATGTCGAAATTAAAGGCCTCTGGGGTGTCCCACTGACGAGACAGATCCAACTGCTGGGAGCTGTCAGGAACAGGAGAATTGAGGGTGCTGTGGGAAGATAGCGACAATTGAAGCAAGCTAGCGAGGATTTGCATGGCTGGAGGGTGGTGGAGGAAAAAAAGAGGAAGTAGAAGAGCAGAAGAGCAGAAGAAGACAAGGAAAGATAAGGAAGAAAAACAGCAGGGGAAGCAGAGTCAGCTGCCGACACCACTGCGAGGGTACCAGCCAGAATGAAGGTACCGACCACTGTGAGGGTACTGTACCATGCCAAAGGTACGGACCACCGCGAAGGTATCACAGTCGTGACGGAGCAAAGAGCGTGTGAAAGAGCGTGACACCCCGGCTGTGTGCGCGGCGGCATCCGGCCCTTTTACCCCATATAAACCGTACAGCTGGAGCTTGAAAGAGTTTGAGAGCGTTGAAGAGGTAGGAAGAGCTGCTCACTTTTCACTTCTCTTCTTTCGCTCAGTTCTTTGTGCCTCTCCTACCTTTTCTACCCTTCTTTAATACTCTTTTTTAATACTCTTCAAGACCCTTACTCTCTGCATTCTTTTACTTGTTTTCCATCCTCACTCCCATTCTTTTCCATTTTCCAGCTCTTCTCCAGACCCTTTATTTGTTGGCTTCTCAGCACCTCTCCCTGGTATATCTTCTATCTTTGATCCAGCTGCCACTTCCCTTGACCAATTCTTCACCAACTTTGCCCAAGCAGTCCAGTAAATGCCAGTTGCTCCTCCATTTGTCACTTCACCTCTTGATTCGCTTATTGTTCTACTCAGCTTTCCCCCTACTTATATTTGCTGACTGCCCTCACCCAGTTGTTCCCATATTTACCCATATTCACTTATATTTATTCATCTTTGTTCATCCTGTCAATAATTATTTATTTTTGTCTATACTGATTTATTTTTTTTGAAAATGAACCCGCAATCTGCTAATATTAATACTATTAACAATAACAATAATAACAATAACAATAATAATAATAATAATAATAACAATAACAATAATAATAATAATAACAATAACAATAACAATAACAATAACAATAAAATTAATACAAACAAATCGAAACCTTCTTCTTCGATCAGACCCTCAAAGAGAAGGAAAACTGTCCCTGATGATAAAAGAAAAAGAGCCTTATTCAGCTGTGATCGTTGCAAAAAAAAGAAAACTAAATGCAACAGAATTAGACTAAATCATACCGACGGTTCAAAAGATATCCTATATGACAACAAAACTCCTTGTATCAATTGTCAAAACGCTGGCGAAACCTGCGTCACAACGATCCCAAGAAAGAGAAGAGTTTATGGTAATATCGAAAACTTGGGTCTACATTACGAAATCCTTATCTGTCTAATCAGTGGCTTGTTTCCAGACATCGATGTTAATAACATAAACCAACTATTAAACTTGGGGAAATCTTTAGACCTTGAAATGCCCGAACCAATTAATAACAATGACGATGATGATGATGACGATGACGACAACAACAACAATAGCAACCTCAATTTCCCAAATAACAATATTACGAAGAAAAAAATCAAAAGAAATAAAGACCCAACTATATCAATCCTAAGTAACAAGCTTTTCGAAGTCATAAAACACAATGGAATCAAAACTAAAAAGTTTGATAAAGTCAAAATAATCGGTGGGGAAATCATCAATAACATCATTCCAGATTCAATTACAACAAACGTCAAAGTACCGAGTAGCCTTAATATAGACCTCAATTTAAATCCAAAATCCCTTCAAGATGATGAAGAAAATGACGATGAAGATGATGACGATGAAGAAGAAGAAGAAGACGATGATGATGATGATGATGATGATGATGATGATAATGATGATAATGAAATCGAAATTGAAATCAAAAACCAAAACCAAAACCAAAACCTCAATCACAATCACAATCACAATGATGATGGTCAAGCCTATCAAAATCAAAATCCACCAAAAAATACTCGCGACATAAATAACAACATAAATAATATAAATAACTTAAATATTGTTAATAAAAACAACGATAAATCGAAATCGAAATCTAAAAACAAAAAAAAAACAAAGAACATTCTCAAAAACACAAATAACACCAACAATAAAAGAATTAAAAAATCAAAAAGAAATCGTAAATCAAATCTTTCCTCTGACCATGAATACTCAACTTCTGAAAGATTGCTTTATGATAAACAAGGCAGACCTCATTTCATTGGTTCTACCGGTACTCCCGCTCTTTTAAATGGTTTATGTAACATCATCTTAAAAAAGTCAATTCAACTATCCTCAAATGATAACATCACGACCACAAACAAATCTACAATCAAATCAATAAACGATAATAATAACACCACCTCTTCAAACAACCTTTCAAACAACAACTCTCTAAACAACAACTCAGCTATTCTTGAAAGAAAAAATTCCTTCCTATCTCATTCAAATATCTCCTTATATTCTCTAAGTAATGCCTCACTTACCCATAATCCAATTAATAACTCTCGAACAAATGTGTTGGAAGAATTTGTCACCACAAACTTCAAATCTTATCCTTCTGAAGCTTTGAATTTAGTTGAACATTCTGTTAATCTATCCACCCTACAGTCAAATAATTTGAAAATAGAATTGAGTAATTTCCCTCTTATTAATCTACTAAATAAACACGAAGCTGATTTTTATGTCAATGTCTTCTTCACAAGAATCCATCCTTACTATTTTGCCTTTGGTAGAAGTATCTTTGACGAACGCTATGGCCAATTTTGGGACGAGTTAAATCAATTGGATAACGATTACTATTATAACAATAACAATAAAAATGAAATCAACAAAAATCAAAATATTGACGTTGACGACAATGTTGACACTGATTATCTCAATCAAACCCCAAACCATCAACTATATGGCAAGAATTCTAGCCCGATTACTACAACCACCAATAATAATACTAATCATAATAATAACAGCAATAAAAACAATAACAACTCTAGTCCAAATGGAAATCAAAATAATAAAAAATTATCAAATTCTTGGATTTGTTGTATTTACATGGTTTGGTTACTAGGAAGAAGATTCACAGAATATCCAAATCCCCAACTAGATCAAAACCTAATTAATAAATACATTGATATTATTAAATTGGCTTTACCTGATTTTGTCTTAACTCCCACAATTGTTGGTGTTCGATTGCTTTATTTATTATCTGTATACCTTTATTCCTTGAAAAATAGAGATGCATCTTGGATATTAATTGGATTGGCATCTCGTCAAGCTTTTGCTCTTGGTCTTCATAGAAAATCTGTTGTTAATAGTTTAACTTTAAAGAGATCAATTGTAATTAGAAAACAATTATGGTGGACTGTTTACAAATTTGAAATGATTTTATGCTCTGCTCTTGGACGACCTTCTTCAATAAATGATTTAGAAATCAGTATTGATTATCCTTCAGACATGGGAATTGTTGGAACTAATATGGAATTTTCAACTTGTTTTGTTGAAAGCATTAAACTTTCAAGAATATTGAGCTCGATTCTTGATTCAAGAAGATTGTTATACAGTGAAGTTAATTCAACTCCTTTAACCCTATCAAATGTTGAAACTGCCTTGAAAATAAGAAGATCACTATTATCTTTTATGAGGGGTTTGATCCCAAAAAAACTCACAATAAAAGATGTTTTGCAAGAATTATCTGATTATGCCAGAGAAAATAGTCATAGTATTAACTTAGACATTCATTCAATTATTTTAAATAATAATGACCCAAACGATATTAAACTGATAAATTTAAGATTTAAAGTTAAACTACATTTACAATATCACTGTTATGTTATAAATTTAACTTTGCCTTTTATTTTATATATTATCAATTTGACCATCTCAAAGTCGATTACAATTAAAGAATTTAATGATCCAATAAAGTTAATTTTAAAGATAGGTATCAAATCTTCAATTATAATGTCTGAACTATTGGATATCTTGAACAACTTGAATTTGATTGATGGAACTTTATATTTCGATATATTTTACGGTTATGGTGCAATCATGGCATTAATTCCTTTATTTATTTATTTCTCATCTACAAATATAATTAAAAAAGATTCTAAAGAACCTAAAAAAGAAGACGAAACCCCAAAATATCACACATCTCTTACCATTGAAGGAAATATCATTGATAAATCTTTTGTTTTGAAATCAATTAATCAAATTAGAAGAGCCATGAGAAATCAGTATGCTAAGCTAGATGGTACAATGAAAAAAATATGCGATGTCTGTGAAGGTTTATTAAAAGATGTTGGCTTGCTGAATGTTTTGGACAAATCTTTACATAGACCCAGTCCAGATTCATTGGATTTTAAGATAACTTTTAAAGCTGATGGGTATGAATATAAAGGTACAGCTAACATGGAGGAAGCACTAAAAAAAATCAAAGAAAGACACATTTTAAAAAAATTATTTCAAGCAGAGACCAAGGATACAGAAGATTCTAAACATAAAAACGATGCCTCTTCTGTAAAAGAAGATAAACAAAATTTTAAAAAGATTAAACAAGACCAAATTCCATCACTGAATGAAGTTCAAAATCAAAATCAAAATCAAAACCAAAATCTAAAACCAAATCTAAATTCAAATAAAACTCAAAACTACAATCAAATTCAAAGTTTCAATCACAACCAAAGTTTGAATCAGAATCAAAATCAAAACTTGAATTCAAATGAAAATCCAAGTCAAAATCATTTACTGAAATTAAATACACCATCTGATCAAAACCAATTACAAGTTCAAGCTCAAATTCTAAATAATAATGAAGCTGGAAATCGAAACATTAACCCAAATAATTCAAACACCAGTTACCTTAATAATCATAATTTTAGTCAAGAATTTAACTCAAGTAATGATTTGAACCCCAACATAAGATTTAATAGAAACTATGATAGGAATTCCAACAGTACTGGATCTACCCATCGTCAAAATAACTATAGCTTTCTTGACTTGCAAAATCAACAAAATAGACAATCTCAAATTTTGCAATCATTTTCTCATGAATACAATAAGCCAAGAACTGATGATCCATATAAAGATATAAACCATGAACGACAGCTTTTTTTTAATGACTACCAGGAAAGTGCTGAACGATTAGATCCTTCAGAAAATTATAAAAACCAACAAACCTCTTACAACTCACCCATGTTTACTAATATGAGTAGACAGGCCTCATTTCAACGCAGTGGTCAACACCAACAGCAGCAGCAAAATCAACAACAACATCAACATCACAATCTTAATAATATGAAAAGTGGTATCCACAATATTAACAATAACAATAGGTTAATAACTTCACTGTATGAACATCAGCGCTCTTTTATAAACAATGATAGATGTACACCAGAGGTAAATAATGATAATAATAAGTTTGGAAATAAGTTTGGAAATTATTTTGAAGGGGATTCATCATCAACACCAGGCTCATCTGTTTATCAATCAGTGCCTTTCCAGAGAAATAATGAGAATGTTTCTTCTGATCATCAAAACATGTTTTTGAGAAACAGAGTTACCAACAACTCTGACAATTCAAGTCCTAAATCTAATAATAGCAATGAACCCGAAGTGGTGTTAAATCATGAAATGATTGATTCATTTTTTCAAGCTGCCAATCACAGTCTTTACAGCTCTGCTAATAATGGGTTCAAATTTTTTCAAAATAATGGTACAAGCAACAACGCATCACCACAAAATGACTTTAATATTCAGCCATACCTCTCGAATCAACTGAATCAAAGAGAGGGTTTTCATCAGAACAATGAAATGAATAAGGACAATGCTCTTATGAATCAACATCAGCACTTAATGCGACAGACAAACTCATCAACTAGTAATTATGAAAGTGCATCTAATACAAGACAAAGACCAATTAATAGGTACAAAAGACAATTAAATATATTAAACTACAACGAGGAACTTATGAAATACGTTGATATTGAAGATTTACAGGATTTTTTTGAATCTGATATTTTATGAGTATTAATGACCGTAATGATACTACTTTATTTTTATATTTTTTTTAAAAATAGTTTTAAATCTTAGATTTAAACTCGTTGCATATAAATTTTTACGAATTTTCCGTTAAAAGTATTTTATATATATACTTTTTAATATTCATTGTAGTCTAAAAGGTTAGATTTTAACTTGAAAATAAACAAGGCAAGAGTTTATGTAAATAAATACAATTCATGTGCAATAATTTTAAATCAAGAATCACTATTGTAATTTTCATCTTTTAGTCTTTCTATCCAAATTTCTTCTGCTTCCACAATTGTATTATTATTAGCTTTCATTTTATTCATTGTTTCAATATATTCATCATAAGGATCAGAATCAAAAACAATACCACCACCAGCTTGAAGATAAGCAACACCATTCTTGATAACCATTGTTCTCAAGGCTATACAGGTATTCATTGTCTTCCCATCGTAGCCCCAATTTCCAACAGCCCCAGCATAAACACCTCTTTTTTCTCTCTCAAGCTCGCTGATGAGTTCCATAGCTTTGATTTTGGGAGCACCACTGACTGTTCCTGCAGGAAATATAGATCTGAAAGCATCGAATCTAGTTTTATCTTGTCTAAGAGTTCCAGAAACTTCTGAGACAAGATGCATAACATGAGAAAACCTTTCAATTGTTAGCAACCTATCGACGTTAGTAGTTAATGGATCGCAAATTCTGTTGATATCATTTCTTGCCAAATCGACCAACATGATGTGTTCGGCTCTATCTTTTAAAGAGGTTTTTAAAATATTTGCAAGATCATCATCTTCTTCCTTAGTTGTCCCTCTTTTAATTGTTCCAGCAATTGGATGAGTGACAACTTTATTTTTACTATTAGATTTGACCAACAATTCAGGAGAAGCACCAACAATCTGAAAATCAACATAATCAATATAAAATAAATAAGGAGAGGGATTGACAGTTCTTAAGTGCCTATAAATATTAAAGGGATGCAAAGATGTTGGTCTCGAAATTCTTTGAGAAGGAACAGCCTGGATTATATCTCCTTTCAAAATATGATCTTTAAGGATTTTAACATGGTTTTCGTAGCCTTCTTGACCAATATTGGAAACAAAAGGCTGATTCAAGATGACCTGGGGTTGATAAGGATATGGAATTAGCTTTGACGTGTCTGATAATTTTTTTTCAATCTTCTGGATTTCCTTTGAAGCTTGAAGATACTTTAAATTTATAGTGTTTTTATCATCTTCTGAATTGATTTGAATGTTATTAATTATTTGGAATCTTTGAAAGAGATTGTCAAAAGCAACAACAATGTCAAATAACATTATAATAGATTCTGGCAATTTCAAATTGTCTGCTAAAAAATCTCTTTTGGTTTTTGGCTCAAAGTATTTTATACAATCGTAACTGATATAACCAACTGCACCACCATTAAGACTAGGCATATTCAAACCAGGTAATTGAGCTTGTTTGAACTTGTTTAATTCTTTCTCTAATAAAATCAATGGATCTATATCGGTTTCAGGTTTCCCAGGAACACCAGTTTTGATAATTTTTCTAGGATTGAATCCAATAAAAGAATATCTATCAACAGTGTCCCCATTTTTAGCACTTTCAAATAAAAAACTTGGAGTCTTTGGCGAAGAACTGTCATTGCACAATTTCAAGTAGGCCAAATGAGGAGTAATTGAATCATTGTTGACAAAAGAATAAATGGGATATAAATTATACGCGTCGTCCTTTGGCAATGATGATCTGTGGTCTACAATAATATCATATAAACTTTGAAATTTTGGTTGAACAAGAGTCTAGGTGATGAAAACAATTAGTATATTTGCAATTTTAAAAAAACCGAAATATAATAATAACCCAGCTGCACTTACCATGATGAGAAACTCAGAAAACGTTCCACTAATATTATTTGGTTTGCAAATTGGTGTCTATTGAAGAAATCGCTAAATAATAAACAATTTTGAAATATTACTTGCTCTTTATGACTCTAAAAATGCTGTCTATTTTTTTTTTATTTTTTTTAAAAAAATAGTTGCTAAGAGCCCACTTTGTCGGGGTTCTTGCACCGTGTTATTTATTATATCTATATTTAAAAGAGTGAATGCTATCTTTGTAATTCTACCGTAAATGTGAGGAAACCTTGTAATTAGGAAGAAAACCCACATCAAAGACAGGAGTGTGAAATCTAAGAAGATATATGCTGGTGTCAAATTACCTGATGAGTTGCCATGTATAGGAGATGAATATAATGAGTTTGCATATGCCCCATTTTGTCTCTAGATATGTGTGAATGATTTCTGGGTCCACTTCGTCAGGGAAAATTGTTGGAATCTCTGAACAAATTCTAGCCCGTGAGTTTATTGGACATTGGAAGACATAATGAATTGTGCTATCTATTATCGAAATACCACTCTAAAAATAGATTACTCATACAATTGAAAAATTTAGATAATAAATATATTTCATTTTAAAGCCAGCGCGAAAATTTCTTTTTTGGTTCAATGAGTTAGAGCTTCGAATCCAGCTCAAAGGCTCAGCGGTTCGATCCCGGCTCTGAAATTTATCTAGATTTCACTGAGAGATTTGTTTTATTTTCACAGGTTAGCCGCAACGCCAGTAAAAACAGTGCAGCTAAATACAGACAATGTGTGCTTGACAATAGACGTCAAGATTTTTTGATTGGTTTTTTTTTACACGCTAATGCATAATTTGTTTTTAGCTTTTTGGATTTGATGTAGAATTCTGCATTTCTTAAATTATGTAATACTGTTTTGACCCACATGAGTGGACAAAAAGATCTATTATGATGCTTATTGTATATATTTAGAGACTGTTCGTGAGATGTTTCAACTCACTAAAACTTTTGTTCTCGATATCCATAATTAGTCTTCTTGCTTCCATCAACCAGCTACGCTCTTTGGCCTTTTTCTCGTCGTTTTGCATTTGCTTGGAAATCTCCCATGCTTTTTCTAGAATATCCTCAGGTAGTTGTGCCAATTTTGCTGCATTTAAACCATAGGAGCTTTTCGATATTCCTTTTACTAGAGTGTATAAAAAAGTTATTGTTGGAAACTTGTCCAATTGATTACTTTCACTATTTTTATCTTCAATAAAGCCCATATGATAGTTTCTCACTATTCTAGGATTGCTCAATTCCAAATCTGATAAGGATGTGAAGTGTGTAATAAATAATATTAGCGGTTTGACTGATATTTCTTCATCAAGAAAATAATTCAAAATTGCATATGCAATGGCAGTACCATCAATTGTTCCTGTTCCTCTACCAACTTCGTCAAAAATTACCAATGATTTGGAATTGCAACTGTGTATTATATTTGAGACTTCCAGCATTTCAACCATAAACGTTGAATAATTTTCAAGGATATTATCCTCAGCCCCCATTCTAATATGAATTGAATTGAATATTGATAATGAACAACAATAAGCAGGAACATAACAGCCGATCTGTGCCATAATCACAATCAATGCAAGCTGTTTAACAAACGACGATTTTCCTCCCATATTTGGACCAGTTAAAATGGATATTCTTCCTTCAGTATCTGAAATCTCAAAGTCATTGGAAATATACCCATTTTGCGAAACAAACTGCTCAATTATAGGGTTTCTTCCTTCTTTTATTTCAATCTGCTGGGTTTTTGAATCATCATAAAACTTAGGCTTAACATATCCCATTTTTGACGAAACAACAGCTAATGACAATAAACAATCAAGTATTGACAAATATTTTACAATTTTATTAAAATAAATGAGATTTTTGTCTATTTCCCTTAAAAATATCTCTTTAAAAAACCTTTCGTTTTCCAAAACCAACTTTTCATGAAGTACATTTTTCTGTTTGAGAAGATCAGTACAATTGGGAGTTCGAAACCTAGAAAACTTTTTTGTTTTAGAAATCTTCAACCAATCTTTTGGAATGGTTTTGGCCACATTATTACTAACTTCAACCAAGTAAGCTTCCTTTGAAACAGTAGAATATTTCAAAGCTGATCTTTTTAGCAATCTTCTAATGCATTTCAATTCATCTTCAAACTGGCCCTCGATAATATCAATTTTGCTCTTTATCTCATCAATAGTTTCCAAAAATAGTGTATACTCGTTATTTTTGAAAATAAAACTATGACTATCCACATTTTGCTGACTCTCAAAATTTTTATTTTGCAGTAATGTTTCAATTCTATTGAAAAAATTCAACTTTTGAACTTCAAAATCGGATTCGTCCATTGCCACTGAAATATTTATCATTTCTAAAAGTGTCTTAATTACTGGATCCAATTTAATAGTTGTATTAAATAACAGATTAAAAATATTATGCAATCCATCACTCTTAAAACATACTTTAAAACTTTTAGCTTTATAATGTTTTAAGAAGATATCAACAATTTCACAAAAATCCCTTAAAAACAAATAAATTTCTTTTCTTGAACATTTTTGATAATGAACTCTCATAATACTTTTCTCCAAATCCTTATTAGACTTTTTAAGAAATTTCACTAAAATCTCCAAAAAATAAAACGATGATTTTTTATTATCATCTGGTGAAGCCGAAAACTTGAAATTTTCAACCAAATCCTCTACCGAATTCAATCGTTTCTCAATCTCTACTTTATTTGTCAAAGGTTTTAGAATCCATGATTTCAATAGCCTATAACCATTTTTGGTACAAGTATTATCTAATAACCATAAAAGTGAGCCTTCTTCATCCAAATTTGTAGAATTTTGAAAAATTTCAAGATTTTTAATTGTTTGCGAACCCAAAACCATATGATTCAAATCTTGAAATGAGCTATAATTTGAAATTATTTGAAATATATTATCTAAATTGAATTCCTTTAAATACTCAATTAAGTGATAAATACATTTATAAACATTTGGGTCCAATGATAATACAAAATCCCTTAGCTCATCTGCATTTGGTAGATTTAGTTCATTGATATATCCAACAATTTCATGCTTATAGTAATTTTCATAAATTATATTATCGTATTTTTTAACTTTAATGTTATCATCAATAGAAGAATTAAATTTTTTTTTAAATATCTCCTTTGAGGTTTTAGTCAAAAGTCCATTTATAAGAACAAATTCGTTTGAGTTAAAATATAATAGACGTGATTCAAGTTCACTTCTTAAAAAAGAGTCTTCAAATTGGTCATATATTATTTCACCTGTAGAAGGTTGAACAGCCACTAAAGATGTTAAAGTTGTTTTATTATTTTCTTTTGTAGAAGTTTCAATTAAACAAATAACATAATTGTTTTTTCGACTTAATTGAACATCGTCATTAGAGTAATCTTCAATGTATGTTGCACTAGTATAAACTTGTGTCAAGTCTCTTTTAAATAGTTTTCTATCATTATTCAACTTTTTAACATTGGAACTCTCAATTTGTTCAACCACGCCTACTTTGAAACCATGAGATATCAAACGTTTGATATGAATATGCAATCTTTCAATTGGTATTGAAGAATGAGCCAATTTATCATATTTATAATCATTTTGATTTGGATTATTAAAATCAATTGATAATTTTCCAGCCATCAACATTATATGAAGAGTTTCGGAGGCAATGACAGCATCACTTGCATAAAAAATATATTTATAACCTGATTGAATCATTAAAATTTTATCTAAATTTTTGAGCTTCAAGTCGACATATTGTTGTTCTAGTGGTGTTAGTTTTACTTTTTTGCTGTCAAGTTTTATTTTCTTTGTATTTGAAAATTTTCTGTTAAAGGGAGTTTCCAGGTCCTCTAAATTTCTTTTTAATGATTTTGAAGAATAATTTGTATTCTTGTCCTTCTCATGAGTATTAATTATCTTTTCTTTTTCAAACTTGAAGTCATTAAGACTAAGATGTTTTTTCATTGGAGTTCCATTAGTTTCATTTAGAATACCAGTCAATGAACTTTCAACTAGATCGATAATATCAGTTTGAAAAGAATCTTTGTCATTCGTGTTATTATCAACAAAGGAGCTGAAATTATTATTTTTCAACAGGCAATCGCTCGAAACATATGAATCTTTATTACGGTTTTTGAAATTACTGCTGCTCTCATCATTAATACCTCTTGAAAATTCTGTCGATTCCTTTTCAACTGGATCCAAGTTAATTGGTTGCTTCTGTGAGCCAACATTTGATCTTACATTCTCCTGAGAATTTGTTTTGGAATCAAGTTTATTGTCAATTTTTGTAGAGTTTTGACTATTTTCATTTGGTGCTTGTTCAAATGGCTTGAAAAAACTACTCAATGTAGTTTGAGTGGAGGTTCCTTTGCTACTTTGACGTAGGTTCTCATGATCTGAGGTATTTTTATTTAATTTTAATTTCAAAACATCTTTTTCCTTCTTTTTAAGATAATTTTTTCTGAAAAAGAAGCTCTTTCTTGACATTGATAATTTTCAGTTAAAGCAATAACAAATCCCCCAAACCGAAAATTATTAATTTGCAAAACCTTTTTATTTTGCGCAAGATATTCGGCGGAGCGCCAGATAAACAGTCTTTTTGTTTGGCAGCTCTCCAGCAAGCAAAATTACACCGCGCTAAAACACAACATCAAATATAGGTAATAAAAGGTCAATTGATTATAATTCTAGAGATTTAAGAAAAATATTAGTTATCTGACGTCTTTATATTTACACTTTAAGACATATATAAAACATTTTCACATTATATAAGCTTCTCTCAATTGTTTTGATATATTAATCATCTTTATTTTCCTATAATTCAAAGATGAGGTGGGTTTTATTTTATTTATTCGACTTTAATATTGCTTTTCAACATGACCAACATCAATTTCATGCTCAATTTCAACAACTTTTAATATAATTTATATTGCCTTTTGAAATATACTGATTTTTAAATTGCTAAAATTTAAAAGTAAATTCAATTATGGAAAACCATAGTATATCCAAAACTTTCAAATTTCTTAGGGAGCATTGATCACAAATGTTTCCAATATAATTATAGTACGGATTCAAGATAATACTGTAATAGGGCTTAAAATCTTATAATTATAAGTTTTTTTTAATTTCCTTTGTTTTTTTTGTCTATTTGTATTTTAATAAGAAGAGTTAAATCATTGGATAGTGAAGTTCAAATTAGAATATCTTTAATAGAATATTGAGCTTTGTCTTAATAAATATCCTTTAGATTCGGCAACTTAGGACTATTTTTCCTGAATAGATTTTTCATTAATTAACCTCCTAAATTTGTTGCTAAATAAGGGGATGGATGGAATATTGAAAATTTCAAAAAGAATTTAAATTGTGAGATCAATTTTTATTTCAAAAATTTACAGAAAACTTTGCTGAACGACATATAAATAAATCCGATTAAAGTCTATGAATGAATTTAAAATGTATTTAGTGGAACAATTTAGCAATAAGGGCAGAAAATATAATAAATTGGCAAATTTATCACACAATAAGGAAGAAATGTTGCGATGCGGTAAAATACTGCTTCTTTTATTTTCAGGTATACAATAAACAAGAATATATCTTTCGATTGATGGAAATTCCACCCCAGTCTTAGTGTGCTATATATTGCTAATATTTTTTTTTAAGGAGAGACAAATGCCAATTTGGGCCATCACATGTTGGTGTGTCTGTTAGGCGCTTGCATGCATAGGCAGATCTGTCAAAGCTTCAACGGCAGACGTACAAGAAAAGCCAAGACCATTGAGCCATCAAAACAAACCGAAAGAAACGCAAATGCTGGTTTTGTGTCATTGAATGTGGTTCTTGGAAATATTCCAATTCAAAATCAGGGCTTATTCGATTTTCCGTATTTTTTGAAAGAGTTTTATATTAATGTTACCACCAGGGTATACAAGGATGACTGCAATGTGTGAATGTTCGACTGTATAAACTAGCAACTAGTTAATATACTGCTAATATAGGACGAGCAGAAAGTGCATTTAATTTGATTTAAGGAGTATTTGTTGCTGATTCAAAGAAATAAAAAGCAAACAACAAAAGTACGTGAGTGCTGCAAGAACTTTAAAATATTTATAGACCCAGTAGGAAAATTCGCTAAAAGCAGCTCAAAATTTATATTATTAGCAGAAGCTTGCACAATTATAGTTTTAATCGGCAATAATGGCTACTTTATCTGTTTAAAGTGGAACCACAAATTTTGAAAACAATAACAGTTTGAAATACTTTAGTTATCGGGTTGTTTATGTGAATTTGTCTTTGTTGCAAGTAACGAGCACAGATTATATGCTCTTGGTGAATTTCAAGTATACAGAATTTACACAATTTGATTTTGAAAAATAGATTGCCACAATTCAAACTCCGTGTAGTGGTTTCTATCTTTTTTTGCAAATTTGTTTTAATCCAAATCCAAATTGTAGAACATTTTTTGTTGTTTTTTTCGAAATAAAAACAACCGAAAAAATTTATAGCAATAGATCTTTTAGAAAATGTTGTTCATGAGCCAATTTTTATTTTATAACACTAATTATTTTTGAATGTCGTAAGAAAACTAAAAAAAAACCAAATAAAATGAAAAAAATAAAATATAAAGTAAAAACATAAGATAAAAATTAGAACCAAAAAAAAAAATATGATTATTATAAAAATACCCAGCATTATTAAAAGTTTTGTCTGCTAATTATTTCATTAAAGTCGTCACAAATACATATAATATCATTCTTTCGAATCAAAAAATCAATTCCCCCAAGATTAACTCTTCGTATATTTTTTAAACAAAAAGTTATTTCTTGTAGATGTGGAATAATTGAGTGAATGATTAGTCTCACAATAGAATAGAAATGAGTAATTGCTATTTTATATAAATCTTTTTCATGATCAAAAACCATTTTAGAACAAGGAAGCATGTCCATATCTAGTCCTGAGTATATATTAATTGAATTTTTTGTATTATATATTAAAAGTCGTGATTTCAATTTGGAAAGAACAAATTTGTAAAAAGATTTGTAACTGGTCAATTTCAAAGATGTTTTTTCATCTAAAAAATGAGTATAGTTTCTATTGAAAATCTGACTTTCTTCAACACCATTATTGCAATAAATGTCGACTAATTTTCTTGATTTTGAACACTCAAGGCAAGAACATCTATTCAAGTCTTTGACAAATTGAATGGAATGATTATAATCTAGAGAGTTGAAAGCCGAATCAGAAATTAAAAAAATAGACCAATTGTATAAGAAATCTGGAAGAATTAAAGTTTTCAAGTTTTTATTTAAATTGAATAAAATTAGTTGGAAGATTTTTCTTTTCTCAACAATTTGAGATTCTAAAATATTTTCATCCAGGATATCATCGAGATTAATGTCTCCACTACTTAGACCAAGGAATAAATATTTCAAGCTCTTGAAATAAGGTATATAGTTTAATAAAACTTCGTGCCAATAAAATTCATTGACTATAGAAATTTCATCAAGTTCATTTTTTGAAAGTTGACTATATTTATAGCTGTCTGATTCAAAATAGGAGTAATTGATTAATGATAATTTTTGAATATTTTCAAATGGTTTTTTAAGGATTTTATTATCAATATTTGTAGAATTATTGGGTGAGATCTGAGTTTTAGAAGTATTTTGATTGATTTGATTATTTTTATTTTTTTTATCGAAATTGATATAAAGATATTCATTGTCCATTTCTTCGTCGTCATCTACTATTGAATCATTATCTGAGTTTGAATTTAAATCTGACTCTGAGTCTGAGTATGAATCAGAATTTGAATTTGAATCAGAATCATCGGTAATATAAAAATTACTATTATTATTATTATTGTTATTTTTATTACCGATATTATTTGATTTATTTTTTTTGATCAATTGATTACAATAATGACGCCAATCATGAAAGAAATCAACAACGGAATTGTCGTTACTCAAGATATCATCAGATCTAAATTTAATTTCAAGATTGTTGATATCATTCAAATTGACAATTAAATTCAAATTATCGAAATTAAAAAGAGTTGTATTATCTAAAGAAGTTATGCTAAAAGTTTTCAAATTTGATAATTTTAAATCACTATTTTCAATTAGGTAATTAATTTGATTTTGAATGTAATTGTCATTTTGGTGTTGATTGTCTACATCAATGACTGTTTCATTTTGAGATGGAAGTATTTGACCAGCAGCATAAGATATCAAGTAATTTTTGAAATAAATAAAATTTTGAATAAATTCAAAAGATAAAAACCAAGAATTCAAATATAAATTAGTTAAAGCTAATAAGTTTTTGAAACCTTTAAAATTCAACTTAAAAGGCAATCTATAAATCTTTGAAGAGTTATAAGAAAAGACGATTAACTTTTTAGCAATTGCGGTGGGTAAAATGTTGATATTATTTAGTACAGTAATTTGATAGGAGGATAATGGTAGAATATTATTATTATAAATATCTTTTTTATAAGAGGATAGTAAAGAAGATGAGGAAGAGGAAGTTTTATGATTTGAATTGAAACGGGATTGGGTATTACTTTCATTATAAAAAGCTGAATTTTTAGGCTGAATTAGTTGATTTTTTTGGAATGAGTTAAATAAAATTTGATTTTTATTAAAGGTGATAAAATCGCCAAAATTTTTAACATTGATATAATCGAAATTATTGAAGGATAAATAAGATTTGAAAAGAGAAGTTGAAGAGGTGGAGGAAGAGGAGGAGGAGGAAGTTGGATTAGAAAGCGAATCGGGATTTGAGGTATTTTGATGAAAGATGAAGAACAATTTTTGGTATAGAGGTTGATAAGGGTTAGTATTGTTGATAAAATTTGAACGATTTGAGGTTGAGTTGGATATGATTGTAATTTCATTAATGATTGATTTTTTAAATAAGGATAGATTTAAAGAATCAATGAATAGATCAAGATTTTTTAGAGGTAGAATGGTGTAGTTAATATTTATGAATTGATTATTTGAAGTATTTTTGTAGTTATTGTCAGTGATGAGTATTTTATTGTAAAGTTTTAATTTGACAAGGTTGTGAAATAATGAGTTTGATTGTGCTAGTTGAATTAGATCAGATTGAAAGGAGATGTTGTTGATGATCTTTGATAGTATAGATTGAGGTAAAAGAGATAGGGAAAATTTGAAGTTTGATTTGTTTTTGTTTGAGGATTGTTTGTTTGAATTTCTTAGATTATTGAATTCGTAGATTGTGACTAAAGAGGATGAGTTTAAAGGAAGTAATTTTTTTAAGGAGTTGTTATTATTAGGATTATTATTGTAGGCAGTATTATTGTTATTGAAATCTATTGAATTTTGTAATTTTAAAATGTTTTGATTAATATCATTGTGAAATTGATCGTAATTGTAATTATTTTTTTTAAAGTTTTTCAAGTAATATTGATAGTTAATATCATTGACATAACTGTAGTTATTATTGTAGGAAGTGTTTGAGGAGGTTGTTAAAGAGTTTGAAAGAGGGTAGTTATTGGCGATTGATGATGTGTTGATGTTGATGTTGATGTTATGGTTGTTATTTGTGATATTTGAGTTGTTATTATTGTTATTGTTGTTATAATTAATGTTTGAGAATAAGTTTGAATAAGATTTTAGAGAGCTTGAAGCGGAAGAAATGAAATCCAGGTTGATGAAATTGTAGATAAAGGGATCATTTGTATTTTTATTTGGGATGATTGATTTATCTTGGATATTGTTATTGTTGTTATTATTGTTATTGTTATTAATATCGATGTTATTGTTGATATTATTGTTGATATTGTTATTCGTGTTATGATTTTTAAATATTTCAGTTATTTTTGATATATGGGTTGGATGGGATTCATTATTGAAGTGGTTATTGTTGGAGTTATTAGTGTTGATGTTATTATTAGAGACATTGTGATTAATGGGGTTATCGAGGTTATTTGTGTGACTATGGTTATGGTTATGGTTATGGTTATGGTTATGGTTATGGTTATAGTTATTATTGAAAAAGGAGTATTCTGGTTCTAGTATTTCAGACATTTTCGGAAAGAAAGAAAATTATGGATAGTGTTAAGAATAAGATTGTGAATAAGATTATGAAGCTAATTGGAATTAGAAAGGAAAAAAAACAAATAAACGCCGATGTGAAAAAAGAAAAAGGATCAAACGAGATTGGAAAAACAAAGCATCAATTGGAATTAAGTGGTAGCGCTTACATATAAATTGAAATGGGACAAATAAGGCAATGAGGTGAAGGCAATGAGATGATAGATTGAGGATTTGATATAATACAGTTGATAGGAACAATCAGATGAAAGAAGATGGAATCTGGGGATTTGGATAGATTTGAAGAGAACAGACTGAGAAAGTGGAAAAGACCAAAAAAGAGAAAATGAAGGAGTGGAAGAAAAAGCAAAAAGAGAACTGAAGGAAAGAGAAAGCAAATGAGATGATAGAGAGGGTTTTGGTGATTTATATATTGTTGGACGAGAGTTGGAAGGTGCGTAAAATAGCTTTTAAATCATTCTTTTTTGAATTTTTTTTTTTACTTTCCTCATTGGGAATATGTCATCGGTGAGTCTATTTTTAATTGTTAGAGCATTTTAGCGCCATTGTGGGGTTAGAAACACTGCAACACCACGGTCCACACGCAACACCACAACAGTGCCAATGTCGCGACGGAACACACGCCCAGCACGGCGGGCCTGGGAGCAGATGCTGCGCTGGAAGGCCCAGGCTCTGTGCCAACCCCTGCTGGAGAACAATTCCAGCGCACTGGGCACTGTTTTTGTGATATTGCAGTGTGTTTTTTGCGGTGTGGATTTGTGTTTGTGTTTCCTCTCCCGCTGGTTTTGTGTTGTGTTGTGATGTGCTGTGATGAGTTATTATTGCTGGATGATTGCTAATGGATGGGTGCTGACTCAGCGGTCGGGTAAAGGAGGCCCCGTGAAGAGGATCCACTAATCACACAGCAGCGTGTTTGGATAAGCCGTTAGTGAGAGCAAGCCCGTTCGCAGAGGTCTGCCATGTGGACGGGAGGGCATTGGCAGCGGTTTATCAATTCGATCTGGACAACCAATCACAGCACGGTGCCGGGGAAACAGTGCCCAAGACAGCAACTACTTCCAGGTCACGCCACAAAGTAAACAATGCTCAGATGCAACACTCAATTCCAACGCTCAGGTGTTCAGACCGGGAAAACCAAACGTGACAGCGCAGCCGCGGGCTGCTAACCACACTACGGCACGTGTCAACATCCAACACGCGTTGCCAGCATCCAGCGTTGGGTGGTTGTCATCATCGTTTGAGAGCACGCACTGGCTTGGATTGCTCAGCTGAGGGGCGACGTGCTGTTTGCGCAGGGGTGTCTGTGTGCGGCAGGGCGTGATGCGCTGCCTGAGCTGAAGCGGCCCCGCGCGGGGGTTCGCGTTGCACAGGGCCGGACGCTCAGCCTGGGGCGAGGAGCGCTGGGAGTGGAGGATGGAGGTGAGCTAGGCGATTAAGGCTGGAGCAGAGCATCAGCACACCAGCACTTATCAGAGAGGAGCATAACGACAAGATTCATCCAGGGCCCAAAAAGACAATCAGCATATAATCAGCATATAATCAGCATTCAACCAGCATAATCGAGATAGAAGCAACCGATAACCAAGATATATATCCAAGAGACTTTCCTACTTCTATTCTCTTTCACCTTTGCTGTTTTTTTTCATTTTTCGGTTTTTTTTTCTCGATTTCTTCGTTTTCCTCGCTTTTTTTCCTCTATACCATTACCTGTATATTTCAATACCACTCAAGAACTGGTTTCTCAACCTCGAAGAATAGGTCTATAGTCGCCATTTTCAAATCCAATACCTCCAATTTGCAATTTGCTGCTTATCTTTTATACTCCCATCTTCTGCTTAATCTTCATTCTCATCACCCAAAATGTCCAGGTCCCACAGAAAAAGTTCTCCTGATATCTACAAAACATATAGTAACAACTATCATTACAAAAACATCAATAACAACAATAACAACAACACCAATAAGGCCTCCAATACGAATATCTCAAATATAAATACAAAAATATTGAAAATTAACCCAGAATCAAACCATTTAAAACCTTCCAAATCTATCCCCCCAAATCATCATAAACAGCCCACCTCTTATGCCTCAAATAATGATGAATCTGATCCCTCAGAAAAAATGATCTCAAATCAAAATCCTTCCCCAGATAATTCCCCAGATGCCCATTCAAATGAACACCACTCCATCTTTAAACAATCCTTCTTCTCTTTTTTCTTCAAAAAAAGTGATACTTCTAATAAACAAAAATCTTCCACCTCTTCCATCTCCCCTACTTCTCTTACATTCCCAAAAACTTTTAAAAAATCTTCCAAGTTCTCTTCCTCCTCAAATACTCACTCACCCTCACCCTCTCCTTCTCCTTCTCCTTCTCCCTCTTCTTCTCCATCAACCTCCCACCCCCCTTCGGCGCCTCAAAAATCTCCAAAGGTATCTCCAATCCTCAAAATGCCCTCTTTAGCCGAAAATGGCATCATCGATGAAGTTCTAGAAGACGACATATACTCTTTAAACTCTGAATTAGACTTGGGCTCTCCCCCTCAGTCTTATTTATCAAATAACCTAATCCCCCCTAACCCCATCAACAATCCCTCCAACAACAACATCAATATTGTTATTAGCAAATCAAACCTGAACAGCAGAAGAAACTCATTCAAGAAAAACTCCTCCTTCTTAAAGCTATCCGCCTCAATAAAACAGTCAAAACCAAGATCAAGATCAAGCTCAATTAAAACAAACAACTCTCAATCTCATCACTACCCTTTTAACCTAAACTCAAACAAATCTCTAAGTTCAATTGAATCCATCGATCAAAAATTGCTTTCTCCTTCAATCATCAATAATCCCAACTCTATTCCCAATTCCAATCCCAATTCCAATTCCAATTCCACCTCTAATCTCAACGATAAAGAAAAGGAAAAGGAAAAGGAAAAGGAAAAGGAAAAGGAAAAAAAACAAAACTTCACAACAATAAACTCCCTCATCCTCTACGATGACGGCCATCACAGCCACTCCTTGAAAAAATTAAAAATTCAAGAAAAGATTCAATCAAACTCTTCTGTAGTTAACCTATTTGCAGGCTTGTGGAAAACTAAAAGCAATCAGCAGCATTTCTATGATAACGATGTAGCCTTCAGTTTATTGCCTGACCATTTCAACTACCAGCTTAACAACCAATCAACTCCTCAAAATAATCTGAACATTGAAAACGACGATTTTTCCCTATCAAGTGCAATATCAAACCCTGAAAGCATTTCCTCAATGTCTTCTGAATCAATTCATTCAAATCCTTCAAACCCTAATCAGCCTCAATTTAACAAAATCAAACCAATTATAGGCAAAGAACAAGTAAAATTGATCGAAACTTTAACCAACAAAATTAAAAAATCAGATTCCTTCGTAATACCTTCAAACAAAGTTAGACCCCATCATCACCACCACAATAATGATCCCACTGACCATCACTCAATCAATGACTCAAACTCCCTTGATGTTCCTTACCAATATAATATAAACGCCAGCTCTTCAACTACAAACCATTCTCATCTAAGTGAAAGATACGGCAAAGCTGTAGGAATCGTTGGAAGAGGCTCTTATGGTTTAGTCAAAGTTGCATCGAAAAGAATTCCGGGAAAAGAGGACAAATTATTTGCCATCAAAGAATTGAAAAAGAAGAAAGACGAAAAAGATGATCATTTTTCAAATAGATTAATATCAGAGTTTTTAATCTCCTCATCATTAAAACATCAAAACATTGTTAAAGTATTTGACTTAATGAAGAGCAATCTTGACATCTTTTCAGAAGTTATGGAGTATTGTGAAGCGGGTGATTTGTATTCATTAATATCACAATCTCATGGGTTACATTACTTGGAAGCTGATTGTTTTATAAAACAAATTTTATCGGGTGTATCATATATCCATTCAAGTGGAATAGCTCATTGCGATTTAAAACCAGAGAATATTTTACTAACTATTAACGGATGTTGTAAGATTATTGATTTTGGTACATCAGTCGTATTTTGTAATGCATGGGAAGATGACATTCATTTATCGAATGGTGCAGTTGGATCAACTCCATATGTTGCACCAGAAGAATATGACGAAAAGGATTATGATCCAAGGTTAGCAGATATTTGGTCACTTGGTGTCATTTATGTTGTTATGAGAATTGGGTCATATATTTGGGCAACGGCTAAGGAGACTGATGAACATTATAAAGAATATATTGATACCAGAAAGAGCAAGTTTCAATCAAGAGATGGCAAAACAAATCTGAAATTAAATGGAAATTCAGTTAAAAAGAATTCAAGATATGAACCAATTGATAGCTTAAAGGGGGGAGACCCAACTATAATGATATCAAGAAGAAATGCATTGTATAAAGTTTTAGAACCTAATGTTGAAAAAAGATTGAGTGCCAATGAACTTTTAAGAACTGATTGGGTATCAAGTACTGAGGTTTGTAAATCTGGATTAGGGAAATAAGAAAGGAGTAATTTAAAAAGATAAGAAGAATTTAGGGATTATTTTAATGAATTTTTATAGTTTTATTTTTATTTTTATTTTTATTTTGAATCTTCTAATTTTTTTAATTTTTTTTAATTTTTTCTTTGTTTTTTTTTAATTTTTTCTTTGTTTTTTTTTATAAATTCACCTTCTCTTTTTCTGTCTTGTTTTATTTAATGAATTACGATAAAATTTTCTTGTTAGATTTATATTATTAGCTTTAATTCAGTTAAGTTAAATTTTAATTTATAATAATTTATATTTATAATATATAATTTTAATTAATCAATTGGATGAACGTTATTTAAGAAATATTTTGTATTTAAATTTTGATAAACCAATTTGTAGTTTGAATTTAAATTTTGGTCTACTTTATCAAAAAAGGATATTAGAATATTTAAAATTGAGATTAATTTCAATCTCTTTTCAGATAATTTTTTGTAAAGATCAAATTCTTTTATTGATAAATCATTTAAAATGTTGTAATTTTTTTTATTTAAATTGATCAAGTATAGGTTGTAATTGATCACATCATTTCTAATTTGAAATAGGATTGAGTTGATTGATAGTTCATAATTGTTGATTAAATTGATGATCAATTTGTTTAAATAGATTTTTTCGATTAGGATTTTTTTGAGATTTAAATTTTCGTTGATCAAGTTGTTTAGCAATTTTTTTTTATTTAAATTATTCAAAAAGAGATTTTGGATTAATAGATTTTTATATTTATTTGAGTTAGTTGAGGAGACTGATTTTTGTAGGTTGTTAATTGAGTTTATGTATGATTGATATATAGAGTCATCAGTATTTAGTTTAATAGATAATTGATCTATAGTTTTGGTGATGTTATCTTTGATTTTTTTATTTTGAGACAATAATTGTTGAAAATCAGATATTAAATCGTAAAGAGGAGTTAAATTTTCAGTTTGAGGAAGATTAGGCTGTTGCATAGCAGACATTGTTATATAAAAATGAAAATGAAAATGAAAATGAAAAAGAAGAGATTATAATGCTATGAGATGGTTAATAAGATCAAGAATAGAAATAAAATGTATTGAATAAGATATAAGATAAGATAGGTGAAAGATCACAGATCTAACAAATGAACCAAAAAGTAACAGGTGGTTAATTCGGGGAAGCCGCGGTTCGTGTATTGCGGTGAATGCGGATATTTCCGTGAATACAGGCTAATTCGCAGCTTTCAATCCGTATTCATCGTACTCCACGCCGACGAGCGTGTTCGATTTGTCGTAAGTTGTGTAGAACATTGAGTGCTCGTTTGCGTCGAACAAGTGCCGGAACATGAGCTTGATGTTGTCGACAACGCCAGAGTTAGCAGCATGGCCAATCCAGTCGATGTGCTTCCAGTCCAAGAGGCCCTCATCAAACTTCCTGGGGGTTTTGTAGTGGGCTTTTGAGGTGGGCTTGATTTTTGCAATGAAGAGGTACATGCCATTTTTGAGCTTGCTATTCTTGGTGTCTCTACTATTCTTGTGTAAGTCGTCTGTCTGATGGTGCCACTCCATCACACCCTTCTTTTCAATGCTCACCAAGTCCTCAGCTGGGTCCAATCCTGTTTCCTCGTAGATTTCTCGCTCAATGCACTGATGCTCGTCTTCGCCCTGTTCTAGCTTGCCCCCAATGCCATTCCAACGACCCATCCAAGGTGCTTTCTCTCGGTTCAAAAGCAAAACCTCGTCGAGCTTGCCCTCGAGCTCTGAGTAGATAAAACATATAGTGTAGCGATAGTTTGGGAGTGTGGCCACTGTCATTTCTCTCTGTTCAGCTTGAGAAGCTTCTATTCAGTTTTGTTCAGTTACTCAGACGCTCTAAGACATTCTCAAAGATGCACTGATAAAGAGCAGCTGACGTCCTGGCTTCAACAAAATAAATCCCACTCCAACACCAGACACTAATATTGATTTAGTTGCTATCGCTGTCCTTGATTTTTCTTCCTTTTCCTTTTGTACTTCTCCTTTTGTACTTCTCCTTTTGTACTTCTCCTACTTTTTTTGCTTCTCCTGCTGCTTCTGCTTCTTTTTCTTCTCCTGCTGCCAGTCCCCGAGACGATAACCCCCAGGGTGTCTGTGGAGCCCCTGCGCGTGTGGGCGCTGAGAGCAAGCATTGCACAGTGCTGCACTGTTTTGTGTGCACGGGCCCCGGCCAATACCGAACACACCTTCTTTAGCCGATGGATCAGGTATAAAAGCTCTTCTGCCCTTTCTTGAGCTTCTCATGGTTGAAGTTTACTGTTTTTGCTTCCTGCTGTGCTGTTTCTGCTGCTTTAAAAGTTGTTGAAGGAACTACTGCCAAAGTGTCTGAAAACTGTTGAGCAAGTGCTGTTTCTGCTGCTTCTGTTGCCCAATTGCAATCTACCCATCTACTGATCTACTGATCTGCTCTTCTTCTGACTACTGCCCTATTTATCTATTCATTCACCATGACTTCTTTCTTCGATGAGTATCAAGGCTGGATCTTGACCATTTTATCCTCTTTGATGTGTCTTCTTGGATGCTCTTTAATTTACTCTGATATCCTATATCAATCTCTCTTTCCAAAATTATTCCAAAGGTATCCCTTCAACATACAAAACTCAAATAAAGTCCTTATTGCTACTTTATCTTTATCCTCTGGCTCGTTGATTTTTACTTCCTTTTATGAAATTCTACCTGAATCAAATGAATATTTTAATAAGAATTCCTTTCTCCATGACAAAAAATCTCTCTTGAATTTAATCCTTTTCTCTTGCTTCTTCTCCGGTATTCTTATCTGTCAGGTACTAAATCTATTGATTCACATTTTCACCAGCCAAAGTATCGTTCATTGCGCTCATGATCAAGATGATTCCTCCTCAAATGATGATGACCACATTCATAAACACAACCATAATCATGATAATGCACACTTGAATGGCTCAACTAAATCAACTTCTAATCTAAGTAACCTCAACTTCAATATCATTAATAATAGCAATAATAACAGTAATAAAACTGATGAAGAAAATCAATTGATTAATACCAATAATAATCACCTCATCAGTAATAATAAAAAAAACATTACACAACCTGCTAACGACAAAATTCCCAATAACAATTCTACCAAGTCTAATGAAACCTCTCCTCTATTAAACAACAATCAACAAAATATTCACCAACAAAATATTCATCAACAAAATATTGAATCCTTTTTAGACAAATCTCTACGAACATTGTCTAAAAGCAACACCGTCACTTCTATAGGTAAATGTCATGGCTATCATGATGATATCATTGACAACCATATCGATAACAATATCGATAACAACACAAATGATAACATCAGCACTAATTTCAAAAAATTAGACAAAAAAACCATTAAACCAAACAAAATCTTTAAATACAAAGATTTATCTTCCATTAAAAATATACCAATCTTATCAAAAGTCAAATCTTCCTCTTTTATTGAACCTAAGGATTTAAAACAAATTAATACCATTAACACTATTAGTACCACTACTACCAACAATAATGAAAACTTAACTTTAATTGCTTTTAAATCTCACTCTCAAAATCACAACCATTTTAACCCAATCTCTCTTTCCCAATCCCTTTCTCACCTAAACACAAGCAGAGTTTCCTCGTCTTCTCCTTCCTCTTCAAACTCAAACTCAAACTCAAACTCAAATTCAAATTCAAACTCTTCTCTAGATCTAATGCTAGTCAATCAAAACGAATTACACAAACATTCTCTACATCCCTCAGATCACCATCATCACATTATAACCCCAATATCAAGATTATTAGCCATTGGTTTACAAACGACCCTAGCTATTTGTTTACATAAATTACCCGAAGGTTTTATAACTTATGCCACCTCTAAAATGGACAAATCCCTAGGTATTAACATTTTCTTATCTCTAGCAATGCATAATATAGCAGAGGGCTTTTCAATGACTTTACCTCTATTTTTGGCTCTAGAATCAAGATGGAAAGCAATCTGTATTAGTGGAGGTTTGGGCGCAATGGCTCAACCTCTAGGTGCAATCATATCTTGGTTATTCTTTAAATTAACTCAAAACAATTTTGATATCCAAAATTTAAATCTCTTATTTGGTTGTCTAATGAGTTTAACGTGTGGTTTTTTAGCTAATATAGGTTTCCAAATGATTATAACCGCTGGAATAAATTTCGGTGGTAAGCAAAATTTTATCCTATTTTGGTGTTTCATTGGTATCGCCATTATTGGCATCAGTACAACATTAACTGGTACGATTTAAAAATTCTCCCATTTTTTACTATTTCTTTCTTAGATTTTTTGTTGTTTTTTGCATTCTTTTTTGGTTTTTGTTCTTATTAACTACTGGCTTATCCGTTTTTTTATACTTTCTATTACTACTTGATTAGAAGTTTTTTTTGGGACTCTATCCTAAATTCCTTTTTTTTTTGGTTTTTTTTTTGGCCGGCATTTCAAGTTTATTTGATATATTTAAATATACCTTTTTTGTTGTTTTTTTCTTGGTTTTCTAGTCTTTCCTTCACTCTCGCTCCCCACTTTCATTTTCCTTTTCAAATATAATAGACCTATTACTTTCAACCCTTTTAATCTTGTTTATTCTTTGTATCTAGGTAAATCAAATGTTTTTTTTTTCCTCATCCCATAGAAAGCCTTTAATCGCTTTAGAAAACAACAATTTAAACATAAAGCTACCAGTTTTTGCAGCTATTCAATTGGCTGAAAACTAATCATAAATAATAAATGAAAACAGGTACTATCTACTAACTTGGATCTAAAGTTTAAAATCTTTAATATTTTCAAACAAAAAATACTTTTACATGTCTCAAGAAACGATTTAAGTAGATTTAGTTTCTTCCAATCACTATATTCTTTTAAAAATGTCAATTTCAATTTTCAAAACAAACATTGAATCAATTATCTTTAAAATTAATTAAATTGTGATAATTGTGAAACCAAGTTAAAATAAACCTTTACCTTTTTGTAAAATCATTAAAAGCAAGTAGAAAATGATAATTAAATGTATAAAGTAATTGATATTGATTATAAAGAATCTTGTTAAAAAAATTGTTTAATATCTTTCAAATATAAATAGTCAATTTGATATTTTTATTTCTCAATAGATAGCACCATTGTTTTTACTGATAAAGGGTGTGTTTCAATCTTCTATTATAATATGAAAATCTTCTGATTGTTTCTTTTTGAATACACTTTTTAATACTTTCAATTACACTTCTGTTATCAAATTAAATTAAATTCAAGATATTAGAGCACTTGAAGAAGCGGAAAATTTAAAACTTGATCTAGCAACAATTTTAAGAAATTTAACATCACTAGTGAGATCGACAATGAAAGATGATAAGAATAGCAAAATTAATAAGTATAATCAATTTAAGAATTTGAGGTTTTGAATTTATCAAGAAATAAGATTGAAAATTAATTTGCATTTCAATGAATATTTACCAGATTTGAGATATCTCAAAAGCAAAAGCGATCAGGATGTACTGTTGAGCGAGAAAAACAAGAAAAGAAAATGACAAAAAAAGCAGCAAAAAGTAGATAAGTCGGCTTTCAGTTTATAAGAGATAAGCCATTGAGTAATTGGAAATATATATCGACATACATAAAGATAAATTAAGATAAAATAAGAGATAAAGAGTCTTTGGTTTAGATTATAAAAAATTTGGTAATTTTGAAAGACGTAATGTGATAAACCTTTATGAACAGTATCAATATATGATATTTGATTATTTTCAGTTGATCTGAGTTGTAAAGACCTGTGTTTTATAGGATATTTATTTATATAAGATGAATAAATGTTTATTATAAATTGCGTTGGAAGATGAACGAAAAAAAGATTTATAATGATAAGAAATGACAATGCTTTGAAGGAAAAAAAAGAGGGAAGTTTATAGAGAAGGTGAAAGATGAAAACGTTAGTAATTGAGAAAGAAATTAAGATGAATTGAACCAAAAAAGAGAAATGAAAACCAAATAAAAAACCGAAAGTGGAGTAAGAGAAAACAAGCTACACAAATTTATCAATAAAGTCATTTAAAGATTCAAGATACTTGTCAGTTCTGATTGTAAGCTCTTCGTTATATTCGTAGAGTTTTTTTTTTCTTGAAGAATCATTGGAAGAGTAAGGTTTGTTGTTGTTGTTGTCGTTTGAGAGGGATGAGAGGTGATTCAGTAATTCTACAGGAGAATTGATCAAGCTAAAGGATTCAAAGATGACGTTTTTCAAAAGATTTAAATTTTCAATATCAGTTGTTTTGTTTTTGTTTTTGTTTGAAATATTCTTATTGTTGAAATTTGAGTTGATTATTGCGGAATCAATAATATTTATGAATTTCAAATTTAGATTTTTCAAGTCATTATCCTTTTTTCTCAATTTTTGTTTGCCGATTTCGATTTCTTTGAATTTGATAAATTTGCCTTGAATTTTGTTTGATATTTTTTTCAATTCTTTGATATCGTTGTTTAGGATAATTAAATTTTTTGAGTTTTCATCAAATAATTGGTTTATTTCTCTTTTTAAGATTAGTTCATTTTCGTTTTGAGTTTGCGTTTGCGTTTGCGTTTGATCTTGGTTTTGAGTATTGAAATTGAAATTGAAATCAAAATCGTTTATATCTTTTAGTAGTATTTCAATATCTTTATCTATTATATAATTATTATCGATGAAATCATTTGAACCAGTTGTATCAATTGAGTTTGAATTATTTGAAGAGAAAACGGAAGTTAAAGTATCTTGCGATTTATTTTTGAACTGATAATTTTTATTATTCATAACAGTGTTGTTTTGACGATTTATTTGATTATGATTATGATTATGATTATGAGTATGAGTATGAGTATGATTATAGCCTCTATGTAATTCGCAGTCTAATGAGGATGAGCTGGTGTCTGAGCAGAACTGATCAGATTGAACACAACAGCTACAGCAATTATTCAACTTTGAATGGATGTGTAGAGAAAACGATCTTTTGTTATCCAATTGTTTTGGCCGGCTAGCAAAATTCGGGTTCGAGTCTTTCGTTTGCTTTGGGCCAGGATTTGTATTGGCGCTTGAGTTATTTGAGTTATTTGGGCTCTTTAAACTGGTGAAGTGTTTGGATTTCCTTGAGTTTCTTGAGTTTCTTGAGTTTCTGGAAGATGTTGATGTTTTAGGAGTAGTCGTTGGAAGGGTCTCTAGCGAGGTCTCGGAAGAAGTCTTGGAGGGTCCTGAGGTGCCTGAGGTGCCTGAAGTGCCTGAGGAGTATTTGCTGCGTATGAGCTTCCTGGAGTGTGATCGTTGGCGAGGTGAGCAGCAGAAGGAGGAGGGGCTCACGACGTCTGGGGGCGAGGAACAAGTGAGCTTGGTGGTGAGTCGCAAGTTGGGAGGGCCTTGCTGGGTCAGATTGCTGTTGTCGCTGGAGGCAGCTGGAGAAGCAACAGAAGCAGCTGGAGAAGCAGTAGAAGCAGCAGGGGAAGGACGCCTGAACGAAGCTGACAAGCGACGAAGTTTGGAGGCAAGCATGGTGGTGAAGCTGGAGAACTAAGCTCTAGTGCTGGAGCTGCCTTGTTCCTTCTGCTTTGAGAAGTGGCTGCTGTTGCAAAGCTGACTCCATCGCCAGTAGCTCCTCGTTGCGCTGCTGTTAGAGAATACTCTGTGCTACGTCTACGTCTGTTTGTTATTGCTCGTCTTTCTCCTGCCTGTTTCGCCTGCCTTTTCTTGACGTGATCTATCGTGTATTGCTCTATCTCGCCTACGCTGTTCTACGACAAGTTGAAGCCCGAATTGGAATTGATTGCAAACAACAACTTTTCCCTCAACACTCTTTTGTTTCTGTAGTTGGGCAACTTCAACAAATTCACACACGTCGAAGCTGTGGGCAATCTGCTTACATCACTTCCCCCAAATCCTATTCCAAACTTCGGGTTCAACTCTTGAAATCCCAACAATGGGGCTCGTGGAACACTCGTCACAAACTTGATGAATCTCGATCGCTCCTCCTCTGAGAACTCTTCCAACACTTCCCATAACGCCAAAATCGTCGGATCGCTGTCATGGTACCAGCTCAACTTGATGTTCTTTTTCAAATCTTCCAAGTCAATTCTGGTCCCACCTCCCGATATCAACATTTGCAACTCGTATGCGTTAAATATATTCAACCATCTTTGTGGGATCATCGAATACAATCCCTTTAAAAAATAGTGCAATTGTGGTCCAATGCAAACATTCAATTTAAAATTAGACAACTGTGCAATATATTGAATTTTGTTCATTCCATTTAGTGCAACTTCTGATCCATTGTTTATCAATTCAACATTTATCAACTCTTCTTTTTCTTTTCCTTCCTTTTGTTCATCTTCATCATAGAAAATTTTTTCATTGATACTGAATGTAAATCCCATTTCCTCAATCTGCTTGTCCGTCATTCTCAATAAATTGTTCAACCCATTATATAAATCAAAATCCAATGTTTTCAAATCATTAAAAGACGGTTTCAACAATTTGTTGTTGGAATTCATTTTATTTAGAAAAAACGGTGCAAAATTTAAATCAACTAATATATTTTGATATAAACATTTTCCAACAAGTTTACCTAAAAATTCAATTTCTTGGAGATTTTTAGCTGCATTTCTCACAATTTTATTGTTATTCTTATCATTTTTATTACCGCCCTTGTACTTTAATTTCAAGTAAATATTGGGATTGGGATATAGCTGATGATATTTGCTGTCCAAAAACAATTTGTTTTCCTTCTTAAATCCTTCTTTAATGACACTGATTAAAAACTCTTTTGTCAAACCTCCTCCATCGACTCCAACTTCTTCTTGTCCAAATTCATCCAAAAATTTAATTGATAATGGCGCTTTGAAATTACTAATCCCATAGAATTGTTCAAACGCATCCTTCAATAAATGGTCCCGACGAAGTGTTGCCTCGACAATATTAACTCGAACAAACTCGCCAGTAATTGGATTAAACTGTGTATTGACCCGATCATAATTGTTTCGCTCTTGATCTAAACTTATAAGCATCTGTAAAATACGCGCTCTATCTGCAAATGGTATAAAATACGGGAAATACTTGAAAACTGTCATAGTGCCTTGAGCTGATGAAGTTTTTAGTTTTGAATGTAATTTAGAATTAAATTCAAATTCAAAATTGTAGTTATAATGAAAATTGGCAAGATTTGAAAAATCAATTTTAGTATTATTACCATTATTATTATTATTATTATTATCTTTTTCTTTATTTTTCTTCAGAGTCTTTTCATTAATAATAAACTTTAAAATATGATTAAACTCATTTAAAATGTTATCGCCATCTGTATCTATGTTTTCATCTTCATTCTTAATAGATTCGTCAATAGCATTATCGATCAAAATCAAGGGAATTTTTCTATTGGGATTCTCAGTTATAACAATATCATTATCAAAAATAGTCTTCAAACTATCTTTTGCAAAATTATTTTCCTCCTTTTTTTTTTGATCAACAGTATCCATTTTATTAGTCTTATTCAAAACATTATTATAGTCATGTTTTTCTTCGTCTTCATCTTCGTCTTCATTATCATCATCATCTTCTTCTTCTTCTTCTTCTTCTTCTTCATTTTCCATTGATTTTAAGTCATTTTCATAGTATAACTCTTCTATTTGAGCAATAAAACAAGAAAGATGAGACAATTTATCTACGGAGTGTTCGTCATCTGGCTTAATTGTCCAAAACCCCTGTTCAAGAAAGAATAGTCTTGAATCTAAAAGATAAATTTGATTTAGGACTTTTCTTGAAGCGTGTTTTAGAATGATAAAATTTGAAAGAAAAATATGAGAATCGGTATCATAGTGTATGTATTCTGATATATTAAAAGTACCTATTTTAGGCTGATACATGTTATACATGATAAATTCATTTGAAAATTCACTTTTAGTCAGTAAAGAAGATTTCCTATATATGGAAAAGGGTAGATTATGAAAAGGGGTTTCATCTTTTGATTGGATAATTTTTAAGAAAAATTGAATAATTAATGATTCGTTCCATGCTAATAGTAGACAGAATCTCCTTAAAAACTTCGAAAAAGATTTGAATTGCTGTAAGGGTAGAAAGAATTTATAATTTGAGGTTGTGTTGTTTGAGTAGTTTTGATTTAGAATATCAACATCAGTTGAAACATTTAGAGAAAAGGATAAAATCTCTAAGAAAAATAGTAAGTCACTGAAGAAAAATTTATAAAATTTTTCTTTTTTATTGTCTATATTTGGTAAGAAAATAGATAAAAAATCAAAATTGTCGGAAGAGTTTACGTCTTCTTCGGAAAGAGATAGAATTTCGTTGATGATGTGATGGGATATGCCATTTTTATTGAAATATGTGAGATAGTTGTTGAAAAAATTGGAAATGTTTAGGTGAATTAGGATTTCGTTTTTATGAGAGGGAAAGATTCTAAAGAGATTTGAATAAAAATGAGAAATTCGGTCAACTGGTAAAGATGAATTGAGTAAGAGGGAGCAGAATTTTTTGGAGTAAAAAAATTTCAAATTTTTCAAAGAGGTGTTTAAATGTAATTTTTGAAAGATAAAGTTGTTGTTTTCGGCATTTGGAGGTGCTGGGGAATTTTTAAAGGACAATTGGCAATTTAAAGATTGGATGATGGAAGAGGAAATATTGAATAAAAGATCAATAGGAAATGTTGAATCTAGTGATTTTATGAATAGAAAATTAGATAGAAATAGTAGTTTGTTGTAATTTGAGTTTGAATTGGATAATAAGCCGGAAGATTTTAAAATTAGGGGATTTATTTGATCAAAGGAGGAGGAATAGTTGCTTTGGATGAAATTTGGGATAGTTTGAATAGAATTTTGAAAAGAGGTGTTGTTGGATGAGACGTGATGTAAAAGATTTGATTCATAATTTGATTTTAGAGCAGAAAAAATGGATTTGAAATTGAAGGTTGATAAGAGGTTTATTAAATGGGATGAATCGTAAAAGGATAGGTGGAGAAAAAGATTGAATAGGGTAGATACATTGTATTTATCTCGATGTATTGTTTGGGGGTTGATGTTGATGTGTAGCAAGTATTGAAATAGAGATTTGGCTGAATTGGATAGAGCGTTTATAATGGAGCTATCTTCTGTTGGGACGAGATTATGGAAAAGTAGAAACAGGGCCAAGTATATGTAATCAAATAAAACCCGCTGAAAATGGAGATTGGTGTTATTAGATTCAGAGAAATAGTTGTGATAGGATTTTAGAGTGGCAAGTGCCTTGGATATTGTGAGGGCTAGGGAGCTGAAAGTTTTGTCTTTCTGGGTGGGAGAATCGAAATTGAGAGAATTGAGGTTCGATTGAATGTGATTCCTTAGGATATGAATTGCATTTGAAGTATCGTTTAAAGAGCCAGTGACAATGTTTGAAACCAAGATCTGGTTATTAAAACAGTTGAAATAGGTGATCAATTGTTTGATGTCGGAGCAGGACGTGTCACGGCTGCTAGCAATGAATTGGTTAAATAGCTTTCTTCTGATGTTTTTGATGAAAATGTAAGAGCCTATGTAAATGTTCAAGCGATAAAGAGAGTTTGATTTCTTCTTTTGGAGAGTCCTCTGTTTTCGGAGCAAGTTGTTCTTCTGCAAAATGGTGGATGCAGAGTTGGAGCTCCTGGAGCCCCCAAGATTGATGACTCTCGTTTTCCTGTAGTCGCCATTGAATATCTGCATTGTGTGGAACAGAAAAGTCTGGTGAAAGAGAGAACCAAAAACGAGTTGCCTCCAGAGCTTCTTACGAACGAATATATGGGTACTGAGGCAAGAGCTGCCACCGGGACGGATCTCGCACACGTGCTCTCGGCTTTGATCGCGGAGATCTGGATGTAACCGAGCTGAGACGTCTCCGCGAAGAGCGCCCACGTGGGCCCACGGACGGATGCAGGGCGCGTGCGAAATCTTCACGGCAGAGCGGCGCGTTGCAGAGCCTCCCGGCGAGCGAAGGGCTGCAGCTGATTTGACGGCAGAGCAGCTCCAGCAGCTGGGAAAGCGTCAGCAGAGAGAGGGTTCTTTGCTGCCATTTGTCGCTGGGCTCCAATCGAATTGATCTGGTTCAGGCTCCAGTCCAATTGTCGTCCACATTTCCTGATCCAATCTCGTTGATCTAATCCTACTCTGCTGTGTTTGCGGTCCAGCTTTGCTTTGCTTTTGCTTTTCTCATCCTTTGTCATCGCTCTGCTCTATATAAACCATTGCTTTTCTCTTCTGTTCTTCTTCATTTCTTACCACATCTCTTGTCCCAACATCCTCTCAATTGTCCCCAGCACCACGCACCACAATCAGCTGCACTTTCCGGCTGTCCCCTCCCCCCCAGAATCGTTCCTTAACTGTCCAATTCCTCTCCAATGACTGTCTTTGTCGCTACTCTGTATGTATTTCTTTCTATAGCAACGCCAGCCAAATCCTCCTCTTCAATCAGTACGCAAGACTAACCACCACCTCTTATCATATTTTGTCTCGTTTTACAGTTTTCTTCCATACACTGTCGAGTTCCAAATTGAATCTCCAAAGCTGTTCAATGTCAATTTGGCCTCTCCCCTACCTTCCTCTCAGTCCTCATCATCCTCCAATTCGAAAGCTTCCGATGCCACTATTAATCGCAATCTACAAAACTTAAAATTGGTTAATAACGAAAACATAGATACCATAACTGACAAAAGAAACAAAAACACCATTGCCGATGTTTCCAAGATCCGCAATCCAAACTCCGCCCAGTTGAATTCCTCTTTGCTCGCTTCTGCTCCAATTAACAATGTCAACATCAAATCAAATCAATTCAACAAATTCACTAAAAAAAATGCTCCCGACAATAGCTTAGAGAAAACAACCTTAGAATTCCAAAGAATTCCTCTAAAGAGATCTCAAACTGCTCCAATTAACCCAACTTTGAACTCTGCGGAAAATTTCTTCATCAACAACATCAAAAACACCATCATTGAAAACCCTGAAAACTTGCTAAAACAATCCTCTTCCTCAACCACCTTGTCGGATTTAATCTTGGCCGAATCAGAATCCTCAATCATTCAAACTTCAGATCAAATTCCTTACAACTTGAATCGTTCCTCCTCAAATCTAAACCTATACATTCAACCAAAATCAAGATACAACTCCCTAAAGAATTCCTCTTCAAACATTGTCGATTTATCCTATCTTCAAAAGGCAATCAATTCTACAAATGATCTAGTCAAACTAAACAGAAAACCCTTATTGAAAAAGGCTTTTACCTCCAATGAAAACCCAAACGCCCACCAAAACTTGGTTAAAGTAGACTCATACTCCAGCATTACCTCCCTCTCAACTGACTCTTTAAAAGAATTGGAGAAAACACAATTGAAAATTCAAAAAAATTTCGACAACAACTTGATCAACATTGAAAATAAAAACAACGCTCTAAATTTCGCTCCCTTCGGTGGTCTATCTCATCCCCAAGTTCAAAACCTCCTACTAAACCAATCACAATCTCAATTGCAAGCTCAATCTCAAAATATCTTTGAAAATGCTCCCTGGTCAATCATTGACTACAAAAAGGGCAATGGTGGTTTGAGAAACGCTGTCAATTCTTATTTCTTGGATCAAAACCCCAATTCCTCATTTAAATGGGTCGGAACAGTTGGCATGCCAACTGATGAATTGCTAGACAAAACTAAATCCAAAATCCAAAAATCCCTTATTCAAAACTTCAACTCAATCCCTGTTTTCCCTGATGACTACACCTTCCAAGGTCACTACAAAAACTTTTGTAAACAAATCTTGTGGCCAACTTTTCACTACCAAGTCCCTGATAATCCAAGATCAAAAGCCTTTGAAGATCACTCGTGGGAATACTATAAATCTCTAAATCAATTATTCGCTGACCAAATCATCGATAACTACGGTCATGGTGACATCATCTGGGTTCATGACTACCATCTCTTATTATTGCCCCAAATGATTAGAGAAAAATTGCCCTATGCCAAAATCGGCTTTTTCCTCCATGCTTCTTTTCCTTCTTCCGAAGTATTCAGATGTTTAGGCCAAAGAAAAAACTTGCTATTGGGTATACTAGGAGCAAATTGCATAACTTTCCAAACAAGCGAATATGCCCTACATTTCTTGCAAACTTGCAACAGAATTCTATTGGCTGACTTTTCAAATGACGGATTTTTAAGATATGACGGCAAAATCATCGAAGTCAACTACTCTTCCGTTGGAATTGATATCAACAAATTAAAAATACAACTAAAAGACGAAAATGTCATACAATGGAGGAAACTAATTAAAGAAAAATGGTTAAATAAAAAATTAATTGTCGGTAGAGACAAATTTGACCGAATCAGGGGTGTTAAACAAAAATTATTAGCTTATGAAAAATTCTTGAAAGAAAATCCCAACTACATTGACGAAGCAGTTCTAATTCAAATCTGTCTAAAATCATCGGCTTATGACAAAGATCTAGAGATTGAAGTGATGCAAATCGTTGATAGAATTAATTCTTTAACCACAAATATATCAATCTCTCAGCCAGTGGTTTTCCTACATCAAGATATTGACTTTCAACAGTATTTAGCATTGATCTCTGAAGCAGATACATTTATTGTATCAACAATGAGAGAAGGAATGAATTTAACATGCCATGAATTCATTGTTGCAAGCAAGGAAAAAAAATCACCTTTAATATTGTCTGAATTCACTGGATCGGCTGAAATATTTAAAAAGGGAGCAATCTTGATTAACCCATGGGACATTGAAAATCTATCAAACAGTTTCTATAAGGCGTTGCACCTTGAAGAAGAAGAAAAAGTCAAAAGCTGGGAAATATTGGACGATATTTTAGAAAAACAAGACTGCAATACCTGGGTTCAAGAATGTATTGAGTCGATTGAATTGTCATGGGAAAAACAAGAAGAAAGAAGAGTCACCAATATGATGTCATTGAACTCTACAAGTTTTTTCAACAAGTATCTAGAAATTGAGAACAATAAGGACAACAATTTTGGCGACAAAAGAGTAATTATACTAAATCTCGAGACATCGTCAAACACATCCAGCATTGTCAACAAAACCTTAAGGAACACACTTCCAGTTGAGACTCAAAGAACGTTAAAGGTGCTATCCGATTTGACATCTGATGCTAGAAATGTTGTATTTGTGATGAGTTATAACATGAGATCTGATTTAGACTTGATGTACCGTAGAGTTTCAAACTTGGGGTTGATTGCAGAAAATGGAGCATATGTGAAGTTGCCAAATTCAACAAGCTGGGTGTCAATTGTAGACGAGAAAGAATTGAATTGGATGGACTCGGTGACTGAAGTTATTAGGTCGATGATTGAAAGACTACCAGGGTCGTATCTTGAGTTGGAAGAGTGCACATTAAGGTTCCACACAGAAAAAGTGGAGGATACTGAGAGAGCGATGTCGACCATCAGTGACTGTATAACACACGTCAACGACTTATTCAGCAAAGATGGTGTTCACGCAACTCTGGTGAAGTACATTGTTGTGATCCAACAGGGCGACTTGGCTCTAAAGGCAATATCATTTATCATGGACTCGCTACAAAAGGGAGAATTGGAGTTGGGAAACAAGTACAGATTGATGCCAGCATCGAATTCCCCATCAGTGAGATCTTCGCCAATTGCGCAGCCAGACGTGGAAATATATCCAAACAACGGGAACAACACCTTGGAACAGAATCTCTTGAACTTGAACTACTTGACCAAAAAGTTGAACTCAGGGAAAATTGAATTATTGATGCTAGCCGCAGGGTCCAACTCGTTAATAGAACCCATCTTCGAGTATGGCAACGAACTCTACAAGGAAAAGAAGATCAACGACGTTTTCACGGTTTCCATTGGGCAGAGCAGCGGGACCAGTGCCATTGCCAGCGTCGAAGGTGTGAATGAGTTGCTTTCCATCTTGTCAAAGGTCAGCACACTATAAACAGGACTAGACACACGTATGCTTGATTTCCTATTTACATATCTGCTTATTTAAACACTTGCCTATTTACATATTCATCTATATACATACACACATACACATATACGCCGATTATCCACCAATCATCCCTGGCACCATTCCAACACCCAACACCAACATCTTACACCCAGTCGGGGCACCAGAGATAAGCCCGATAAGGATGCCGCCGCTGGATGCAGGAAAACGCGGTGATGCACAGAGGCGTGCGGTCCTGAGAACGCGCGCAGGCGAACAGGCCCGGTGTCAGCGGTTTGGCCGTGCGACGCTTTGTTTCTTTTTCCAAGTTGTTTTGTTTCTTTGTCTGCGTTCCTAAGGCATCTCGAAACGAGCGCACAACGGCACGCTTTGGGCAGCAGACAGGGCGCACAAAGGGGGGAGGTGGCGCGCGGAGGACAGCTCAAACAGCCGGCCACGAACAGACCCCCTCGGGGGCCAGCGCCGCCAGGGCCTGTTCGCGCTAGGGCTGGAATATAAAAGAAATAGGCATAGATAGAGACCCACCAGAAAAAGAAACATATATTCTCCTTTCTGCTCTCCCACCAATTGGCCAGTTTCTGCTTCACGCTCTGAGACTGCTTTATTCTTTGCCAGTTGCACCTCTCAGCTCTGGTTCCTGCTCCAGCTTTCCACACCTAAATCCTGCTTCTCTATCTGCCAGTTTGCCTGGATACTGCTAGCTATTGCTGCTTCTATTATATCTGCTTGTCTGTTCTCCAACAATGGCCTCCCAAACACAATTGCCTAATGCCTATGTTACTCTCCTATATTCATCAGACTATCTATCTGGGGCATTGAATTTAGTCAACTCTCTCAGAAAAACTAACTCTATTCTTGGGAAATATGTTTGCTTGGTTCCTCATGACCATTTCAATTACTTTAACCCTTTTCAATTTAATCTATTGAAGAAGAACTTTGATTACTTGATTCCAATTGACATACTCTCAACTCCTAATTCCAACTTGAATGAATTAATCCACTCGCTAAAGAGATTCGATCTAGTTTACACTCTTTCTAAAATCCATGTTTTCAACCTATTTGATCGATTCAACACTATAATCTATCTCGATTCAGATGTCTTGGTCCTAAACAATTTAGATCACCTATTTCAATACTCAGCCAATCTAAACCAATCCCACAACCAAATTATTGCCTCCCCTGATTCTGGTTGGCCTGATATCTTCAACTCTGGCTTTTTGGTTTTGAAACCTTCTCCAACCATCTTCAACCAATTGATAAATATCTACTACAACTCAATCAAAGAAAACTCAAAATTATCCTTCGATGGTGCTGACCAAGGCCTATTGAACGAATTCTTCAACCCCATCGGTAACTTCAACACTGCCTTGGAAAGAGACTGGTTCAAATTATCTTTTCTCTACAACGTAACTCCCAACGCAAACTACGAATACAATCCGGCCTTTGTAAGATTTTTTAATCAAATCAATTCAATCCATTTCATCGGCAACAATAAACCATGGAATACTCCTCCATCCACTATCAACGACCAACCCAATTCCGATAATGAAAATCTAAACCAAAAATTAATCAACAAATGGTGGGATCTTTGGTTCCAAGTCTATCCCAACAATTCTTCTGCAAATAACCTAATTAACCAAAATTGTTTCAATCCCTACATCAGCAACTCCATTATCAACAAAAATGTCAACAACACCATTGATATTGCTATCAATGCAAATACTGCTATCATTACTAATGTCGATAATGGAAATCAACAATACACTCCTCAAATAGACACTCAACTCTTAACTACAAGCGAATTGTTACAAAATGTTTCTACTTTTATCCACAAAGATTCCCCATCTCAACCATCATTTGATGTTTCAAAAGATCATCTAAAAGATGATCTAACTGACAACTCAAATGATGATTCAAACGATAATCCATCCTTATTTTCTAAACCATTTATAGAGCCCAATATCACCGCTCCTCCATCTCCTCCATCTCCTCCAAAGAGAAACTACAAAAATGATCAGGTAATCATCCAATTATTACTAAACCCTGATACCTACAAATCTTTCAAAACCGTTGATCCTGTTCAAAAACCAACACCGATAAAAGATCTCAAAAAATCCTTTCAAAAATATCAAGTTAACGAATGGGATGAATCAACAATCAAAGATCCCAATTACGGAAAACCCGCTTTTATTCCTTCTCGAGATAACTCCTCTCATAATATTGGTATCATTAAAAACTACTATCTCCAGCTTAAAAAACAACAACAACAGGAAATACGCGATAGACAAATAAGAGAGGAAAATGAAAGAAAAAAATGGTTGGAAAATGAAAGAATTGCAAAAGAAAACTGGCTAAAAAACGAGCAAATAGCCAAAGATGAATGGCTCAGAAATGAACAACTAGCTAAACAAAAAGAAAACGCTACAATTACCAAACAACAATTGTTGAAAAACGAACAACTAGCAAAAGATGAATGGTTAAGAAATGAAAAATTAGCAAAAAAAATTCAAATTAAAAATGAAAATGAAAATGAAAGAATTGCTAAAGAAGAATGGTTGAAAAATGAAAAAATAGCAAAGGATAAAGAAAATCAAAGAATTTCCAGAGATGAGTGGTTACGAAACGAAAAACTAGCTCAAGACCGAGAAAATCGAAGAATTGCCGAAGAAAACTGGCTAAGAAACGAGCAACAAGCTAAAGACAGAGAAAATGAAAGAATCGCTAGAGAAAAATGGCTAAGAGATGAGCAACGGGCTAAAGATGAATGGTTGAAAAATGAAAAACTAGCTAAACAAAAAGAAAATGACAGAATTGCCAAAGAAGAATGGTTGAGAAATGAAAAGTTAGCTAAAGATGAATGGCTAAGAAATGAAGAATTAGCCAAATATAATTTTCTAGACCCTAATAAAATTGACACCAACGAGGACACAAAAACTATAAATTACCAAATTGAAAACAAGCCATTTATAGAAAAATTTGAAGATAAAAAACCAGGTTGTTTTCAAACTCAGAAATTTGATTCAAAAATTCCAGATTTTCTATCCATGAATATATTAAAAGAGTCTATAGCAAAAGAAGAATGGTTGAGAAAAGAAAAAGAAGCCAAGGAACAGTGGCTTGAAAATGAAAGATTAGCTCGCGAAGAGTGGATTCGAAAAGAAAATGAATATAAAGAAAAACAACAATGTTTTTCCAAACAAAGAGCGTTGAGAATTAAACAAGAAGCTATTCAAACTGAAAGAAGAAGGAAAGAAGAAGAAGAATGGTTAGGAAATAAAAAAAAAGCTGACGCTCTAAAAGAAGAAGAAGAAAAACAAATACAGATTGAAAAAAATAATTTGGAATTACAAAAACAGACTATAAAACAAAGAGAAAGGGCTCATCAACTTTTAAAGGAAAAGGAAGAAGCCGAATGGTTAGAAAATGAAAGAAAAGCAAAGGAAGAGTGGTTGAGTAAAGAAAAACTTGCAAGAGAAGCTTGGCTTCAAGCAGAAAGAGAGGAAAATGAAAGAAAAAAATGGCTAGATGCCGAAAGAAAATCCAGAGAAATATGGCTTGCACAAAAGGAAAAAGATGAAAGGGATTGGCTTGAAAATGAACGTAAAACAAGAGAAGAATGGTTAATAAGAACTGCTAGAGAAGAAGAACAATGGTTGAAAAATGAAAAAAAAGCCAAAGAAGAATGGTTAGAAAGGGAAAGAAAACAACGCGAAATACAGAAACAATTGGAAAAAGAAAGATATTTGAGAGAAGAAACACAAAGAAAAGAACAAGAAAGGAAAGATAGAGAATTAGCTGAGTGGTTAGAAAATGAAAGAAAAGCAAAGGAAGAATGGCTAAAAGGTGAAAGAAGGTTTGCTGGGGTTCAACGTTTATTAGCAAAACAAAGGATTTTACTCGAAAAAAAATCAATTAAGAGCAAAATTTCAGAAATTTCAGCCGATTTGAAAACAAATGATCGCAATATCAAAAAGACTACTGCCGAAGAAGATTTTAATAAAACAGGGACAGAGAAAGCTATTCCTGAGAAACAGTTAAGTTCTATTTCCACTGAAGAAGTAATTGAAGAAACCGATGCTTTTTCTAAAACAACAAAGAAAGACACAGAAATTAAAACCGATAAAGATTTTCCCACAAAAGAGAAAAATTTTAAAACTTTTAACATAGAAATCAAAGATTTTGTGGATGATAATGATTTTGCAGATGACAAGGATGTTTTGGCTGAAAAAGATGTTATAGAAGACAGAGATGATATAGTAAAGAACAAGCATACAGTTTCCCCGAAAAGTGAGTCATCAGATCAAGAAGAAAAAAATAGATCTATTTCAACAGAGTCCTCCAAAAGCAGCCCAGATGATATTTCTGAGTCAAATTTAGATAAAAATCTTGTTTCAACTTCCAAAAACGAAGAAAATAAAGTAAATACTAGCACTGTTGATGTTGCGACTGAAGAAACAAATGAGTTAGACAAAGAGGATACTAAAGGAAAAATTGGTGAAACTAGGAAAAAAGATGGTGAATTGCCCAGGATTTTTCCTTGGGAATTGCAAAAGAATTTACCAAAACCATCGCGTGTATTTCATGATTTTTCTTCTTCATCAAACAATTCAGATTCAGATTCAGATTCAAATTCAGATTCAGATGCAGATGCAGATGTAGATGCAAATGCAGTTATCTCTTCAAGTGCAGACATTCCAATACAAGATGAATCAATGTTTAAAAACAAAGATATTAGTAACATTGATCTGGAGTTTGATGTAACTATTCATCCTTGGGCTAAAAGCAAAAAGTTTCTTAAAATCGTTAGTTCAACTTCTACTAAAAACAAGATTGAAAACCTGCCTGTTCCCAATTCCAGTCTTCCTTCTCCTAGAAGTGAGGACGTAGCTGAAAAAAGCAGTATACTAACAATGACTAATTCTCCTGAATTTCTCGATGAAATGCTGATTACGCTGAGCAAAAGTTTTCTCAATTTAGTAACTGATTTTGGCGATAATGAAGAAACGGATTCTGATTTTTCGATTGATGAAAATCAAGATTTGGACAACAGCAAAGAAACTGATGAAAATGAATCTTTCAATATTGAAGCAAATCACATTGAAACTGATGGCTCAAGATTAGATAAACTTGGTGTTGATACTCTTGAAACGGAAAATCAAGTTCAAAAAAAGGAGATCCTGCTGAAAGATGATTCTATTAATCAAAAATCTCCTCAAAATGTTTTAAATAGTTTATCAAAATACAATTTTGAAAATTCCGAGCAAGACGATTGGGACCCTAATCAGCAACTTGAGAATTTAATTAAACACTCAGTTGAAGTTCTCATTGAAAAATCTAATGTTCAAGATGCTGAAAAGGACAAATCTGTTGAATTAAATTATGATGTTTTTCCTGGCCATTCAGAAGATTTTGGATTTGAGAGTAGTGAAAATATGATTTTACTTGAAGAAAATAAAAAATTAGAAAATGATAATAATAATTCTAGTGCAAGTAAAAAGAAAACTGAAAAAGAGGACGATGAGTTTAATGTTGTCACAGAGGAGGAAGATAGTAAAGAAAAATTAGGAAAATTTAAAAGAAACGAAAGTTTCAAGCAATTTTTAAAATACAATTTTGAAAACAATTTAAACGATCAGTGGAACCCTGAAGAACAATTGGATAAATTGACAAAAGAAAAAGAGACAGTGAATAGTTATGTTGAGTCTGCAGATTGGACAGATAAAAACGATGATGAAAATGATTTTATATATTTCAAATCTACAAAAAAAAGCTCAGATAAAAGCAGGAAAATTGATTTATCAAAAAACATTAGTTCAAACAGCGACCTAACAGCAGGAACATCATTGACCATTCCACTAAGTTTGACAAAATGGATACAAAGTGAGTCAATCACCAAAACTCCGGTACCTGAGCCAGCTGTTGAAACTAAAGAACCAGAGCCAGTCGAAACCAAAGAACCTGAACCAGTTGTCGAAACTAAAGAACCTGAACCAGTTGTCGAAACTAAAGAACCAGAGCCAGTCGAAACTAAGGAAGTTGAACCAGTAGTTGAAACTAAAGAACCTGA